TGTGATGTGGATAGACAGATAGGCATTCTATGATCAGGAATGGGGAGAAGATCAACACAGCTATTAGTTGATTATTATGGAAATGTATCATTCATAATCTCACTACATTCAAGGTAGTTCCTTTTCATGTTTGCTCCATATTGACGAATTAAGCCATAAAAATATAACATTGTCCTGTTACTTTTGAAGTGTGTTGGACAGGATTATGTTTCTGTATTTGCTTTAGACTTGTGTTTCAGCAGATTGCTTTGTGTGTGTTTGTGAGGATGAAACGTACAGACTTCAATGGCTGAACTCTTGTTTCCATTCTTTTGATTCTGTTGATTTTGGAAGAACTGAATTTAATATGATCACACTGCTACAATGGTGGGAAAAAGAGATATATGAGTGAGTGAGTGAGTGAGTTTATTACTGCTTTGAATAGTCTTCCAGTTAAATCCCAATGTGATTGGTTTGTGGGAGGAAAGACCAAAGCAGGACTCTGACGTTTACCACTTTGGGAGCGGTGTATGGTCCTGTGGTAGAGCTCAGGTCATGAATCAGTTGAAGTTAAGCAACATCGAGCTCAGAGAGTCCTTGGATGAGTGACTGTGTTAGGTCCTTGGATGAGTGACCGTGTCTGTCAGCTTGACTCCTGAGAGTTTCTAGGACTTCAGTCCTGCCTCACAACGAAGCGTGTGATACATGTGGTCTTAGGCAAGTGAGTTTGTTCCAATTTGCCTCTGTTTGCCCAGCAGAAAATGGGTACTCGGTTGGATAAAGTCATTTGACTATAACCCTCTAGCACCTAACAGGCAGCTTGGGTTATCCGGGGTAATAATAATCAGATTCTGATTACAGCATCCAGTGAGCAACTAGTCAGATGGATACTAGGCACTATATAAATCAATTATTATTATTTATTACTTTGGTGAAACCCATCAGACTGGGTATGGTGTTGACAAGTCATTGCAGACTGTGATTTGAACCCACAATCATGGGTTCCTGCCATGCACATGGGACGCCTGAGGGATGCATAGACAATGGGGCAACCCATGCCTCTTGTTAAGGAATAGATATAGAAGAACACGCATGCAACCTTTGACAGGAGTGCTGGACTATTCTGTTCCATTCAGATGGAGAGATATCCATGCATGTTTAGTATATGAAGGAGACTAGGGATATGTCAATCAAGCATTGAACAGAATACACACCATGGGGCAAGGAGTTGTCCCTCAGATCATGTCTTTACCCTATCATTTGTAGATCCATAGGACTCTCCCCATTGTTTATCACTTGCTGTCGGAGTTAATGTATGAGTTCATGTGAACCAGACCCCTTGATCAGAAAGTCTGTGGTTCAAATCCCATCAAAGTTTAATATTGACCGAGTTGATGTTTGTATGTGTAGAAATGAGTTCATGAGGGACCCATATTGGTACTGTGCTAGAATGACTTATGAGGCAATGGCTGCCGAACTTCTAGAGGGAAGCCTGGAATTTGCCACACTCACTATAAGCTACTTTATTTTGTCATAACACACTCTATCTTGTCGTTATGAATGAGGTAGAGATTGTAATAACACCGGTTTTATTGGAACAGCTACAATAAATACTTTGCAGATAATGTGTTTTTGGTGCAGGCTGTCATGTACGGAGTTACATAAATATGTTTTGAAATATTGATCATGTATCTGATTGCACAAGGGCATTTGAAAGTGTTGGAATGCTGTGAAGACTTTGCTCTTTGTTGTGTCAATGTACACACAGATTCTAGAGTAGCTGTTTGTCCTTGGAATGTTCCTGTTAGCTGATGATGAATCTTTTATGGGTCACCTTAATCCTCCAAGGATTCTTTTGTTGCGAGTGAAGTCACTTCTTGTACATTAGATGTATTTAGCTTTGCACTCACTCTGTACAAGTTCATATGTCAGATAAAAGTCGGCCCAAGCGAGAAACATTCATCCTATGCATCATCTCACACATCTTTCAGCCTGTGTTCAGTCACTCACTTTTAAATTGAAAGTATTCAAAACTACATCCTTCATATAACAGACTACATCTTTTGTAATGCAGACTGCATCCTTCATATTAGGTCTTTCAGACTACATCTTTTGTAATGCAGACTGCATCCTCTCTAATGCAGACACCATTCTGCGAAAAGCAGACCACATCCTCCATAATAGACATCCTTCATAATGGTAACAAAATCCTCCATATTACTTACCACATCCTTCAAACTACATACTCCATACTGCAGATTCCATTCTGCATAATACAGACTACATCCCTCATTGTGAAGACTAAATCCTTCATAATGAAGACTGCATCCTGCATTGTGCAGACTATGTATGTCAAAATGCAGACTACACCCTCCATTGTGCAGACTAATTCATAATTCAAACTACACCCTTCCTAATGCAGAATCCATTCAGTATAATGCAGACTGCATCCTCCATTGTGCAGACTATGTATGTCAAAATGCAGACTACACCCTCCATTGTGCAGACTAATTCATAATTCAAACTACACCCTTCCTAATGCAGAATCCATTCTGTATAATGAAGACTGCATCCTCCATTGTGCAGACTATGTATGTCAAAATGCAGACTACACCCTCCATTGTGCAGACTAATTCATAATTCAAACTACACCCTTCCTAATGCAGAATCCATTCTGTATAATGAAGACTGCATCCTCCATTGTGCAGACTATGTATGTCAAAATGCAGACTGCACCCTCCATTGTGCAGACTAATTCATAATTCAAACTACACCCTTCCTAATGCAGAATCCATTCAGCCTGTCCATTCTTGCATACTAATGCAGACTTCAAACTATACCCTTCCTAAAGGAGAGTCCATTCTGCATATTGCAGACTGCAGACTGCATCCTCCATAAAATATACAGACTACATCACTGATGATGACTGCCTCCTCCATTGTGCAGACTACATCCTTCATAATGCAGACTGCGTCTTCCATTCCACTGACTACACCTTCCATTATGTGTCTGAACATCTGCAGAGTCTGCACTTACGTGACTGTGTCGTGAATTGTGGCCATGGCTCTGAGTCACACAGTTATATAGGAGACACTAGATTTACCAAAGTAGTGATGCCACAATGCACTGAAGCCCGGGGCTGTCACAGTAGTTGAAAGAAGAACATGGTCAAGTGTTGTCACGTCCATTTGGTCCACTAACTTTATCAACACTGTGTTCTATTGAAGGTCCATTAGTGCTAACACAGCAACCTCGGCGATGTGGCTGTGGTTGGCTGAGGCTGTTGCAGCTACGTAGTTAACATCCATACTGACTTGTTATTTACTTGATAGCTTGCGTTATTGTCACACACATTAGCAATGTGTGTCTATTCACAGGCTTTAGTTCTTGTGTGGTTTGTCCAACACTTACATTAGAAGCTGCACTTGTGTAGTGACTTGGAATTGATTGTCGTGTCATAAAGGACATTTATTGGAAACAGGTTTACAGTGTATGACCTTCATTGATGGTTTACCTTCAAAACAGATTTGAAAATCCATTTGACCTGGTGGTCCCCCCTATACCTATACTGTGTATCAATGTGGGCATATGCTGCCTTAAGTGTTTCTGTTTGGCCGTGACTGTATACAGTCCTATGTGTATTTGGCCCTATACTGTCCTATGTGTATTTGGCCCTATACTGTCCTATGTATATTTGGCCCTATACTGTCCTATGTGTATCAGTTTGGCCCTATGCTGCCCCATGTGTATTTGGCCCTATACTGCCCCGTGTGTATTTGGCCCTATACTGCCCCATGTGTATTTGGACTATACTGTATCATGTGTATCAGTTTTTGGGCCCCATGTGTACTTTGGCCCTGTACTGCCTTATGTGTATTTGGCCCTATACTCCCATGCCCTATGTGTATTTGGGCCTATACTGCCCCATGTGCCCTATGTGTGTTTGGCCCTGTGTATATACTGCCCTGTGTATTTGGCCCTATACTGCCTTATGTGTATTTGGCCCTATACTGCCTTATGTGTGTATTTGGCCTATACTGCCCTTGTGTGTGTTTTGGCCCTATACTGCCCCATGTGTATTTGGCCCTATACTGCCCTATGTGTATTTGGCCCTATACTGCCCTATGTGTATTTGGCCCTATACTGCCCTATGTGTATTTGGCCCTATACTGCCCTATGTGTATTTGGCCCTATACTGCCCCATGTGTATTTGGCCCTATACTGCCCCATGTGTATTTGGCCCTATACTGCCCTATATGTATTGGGCCCTATACTGCCCTATGTGTATTTGGCCCTATACTGCCCTATGTGTATTTGGCCCTATACTGTGCTATGTGTATTTGGCCCCTATACTTCCCCATGTGTATTTGGCCCTATACTGCCCTATGTGTATTTGGCCCCATGTGTATTTGGCCCTATACTTCCCCATGTGTATTTGGCCCTATACTGCCCCATGTGTATTTGGCCCTATACAGCCCCATGTGTATTTGGCACTATACTGCCCCATGTGTGGGCCCTATACTGCCCCATGTGTATTTGGCCCTATACAGCCCCATGTGTATTTGGCACTATACTGCCCCATGTGTATTTGGCGCTATACTGTCTTATGTGTATTGGGCCCTATACTGCCCCGTGTGTAGGCCCTATACTGCTCTATATTTATCTGTTTAGATGAATACAGCCTTTTGTGTATCTGTTTGGCCGTGTCCTGTCCAATGTGTATCAGTTTGGCCATGATACTGCCCTGTGTGTATCAGTTTGGCCATGATTCTGCCCTATCTGTAGCTGTCAGGTCATGATACTGCCCTATCTGTAGCTGTCAGGTCATGATACTGCCCTATCTGTAGCTGTCAGGTCATGATACTGCCCTATCTGTAGCTGTCAGGTCATGATACTGCCCTATCTGTAGCTGTCAGGTCATGATACTGCCCTATCTGTAGCTGTCAAGTCCTGTGCTGACTTTATGTGTAACTGCCATATTACCACTTCCTTCTTACTAATGGTTGTGTTTTCTGTTTCAGCTTCATGATGGTGCTCATCTGCCTCATCTTCAGTGTCTTATCTACCATAGAGCAGTACACAGCCTTCGCCAACGAAACACTCTTCTGGATGGTATGTTCACATTTATACAAGACTTCATGCATATGTGAGGAACAATCTTTAAGGCAACCCCCATATTTATTTAGAAATGATAGGTAGAGTAATTATATTATGGACAAGTAGAGTAAGTTTAATGTCTAGTCCATTCCACACGGACATCGGTCATGCACAATATCTGGACATACTGGATTGTCTCCCCTGGTATTCTTAACCATTCTTTTGTTAAGGCATTCTGATGCAACTTCTAGTAAAGCTGAGGCTCGTTACACGCAAACCCTTCCCCCAGAACATCAAACAGTGACATGTCTGCTGATGTGGCTGGCCAGGATGGTGTTGGGACACCTTTGTGCCTCAGACAGATAACAGTAACACAAGCTCTGTGAGGATTTGTGCGGTTATTCTGGAGCTGAAAATTCTGACCTATTGGTCTGGGCAAATGGGATGAGTACTGGACATAGATAAGATTTGATCCACATAATGTTGATAGATCGTCAAATCTGTCCAGTTGTATGTGATGCCAACCCAGACAATGATCCTCCACCACCACCATGAACTGTTTCCAGAAATAACTGTTCTCCATTCCATCTCCAAACCACTGGTAAAGGACAGAGATTCATCAGGAAACATTGTGTATGTCCAATGCCGCTGTGTACAACCTCCAAACTGTTTTGCCCACAGAGCATTCCTCTCAAAGGACGTCATGATTTCAGACACCCCAATTTTGTATCATAGATGGATTCTTGTGGCAGTCCTCTAGGTGTGCTTCTGCTCTTGTGGAGAACTGAATCTGTGCCACATTGTAATGTTGCAACAACAGGACTAGCAAGAATGTTCAGCAACCGCCTGATGTGATTGTCCCTGAGAGCCATTAGAGACATCAAGAAAGTAGTTCTAAAAGAATATTGATTAATTACCAGATACAAGTGTTCTAAATAAAAGAATATTGATTAATTACCAGAGACAAGTGTTCTACAGGAGGCAACAAAGATATCAAGAAAGCAGTTCTAAAAGAATATTGATTAATTACCAGACACAAGTGTTCTACAAAAGGCAACAAAGATATCAAGAAAGAAGTTCTTAAAGAACATTGATTAATTACCAGACACAAGTGTTCTACAAAAGGCAACAAAGATATCAAGAAAGCAATTCTTAAAGAACATTGATTAATTACCAGACACAAGTGCTCTACAGGAGGCAACAAAGATATCAAGAAAGTAGTTCTAAAAGAATATTGAGTAATTACCAAATACAAGTGTTCTACAAAAGGCAACAAAGATATCAAGAAAGTAGTTCTTACAGAACATTGATTAATTACCAGACACAAGTGTTCAGCAAGAGCCAACAAAGCTATCAACAGAATTGTCTATAGAAATATTGATATATTCTCCTATAGATTGTTCAACAGGAGCCAAGAAGGTTGTCAAGGGAAGAAAGTAGACCATGAGAATATTGATCCTTGCCATGTATATGAGATTCAAGAATTCATATAATGGTAAAACTGCAAGTAAAAACTAAAGGAGCATGAATGACATAAAACATTGAGATCTATGACAGGGGAAGCATCCACCTTATTACCATAACTTCATCCATCAGATTACAATTGTATATCATGGGAGATATCAAATATTATAAGTTGTTCACTGGTCACGAGGGGGGGGCATGGGTTGATGTACCCTTGATGTTTGTTTATGTTGGCGAGGGAAACATAAACAAACATCGAGGGTACATCAACCCATGGGCCCCGAGGGACCAGTGAAGAACGTATTTATCTTGCCAAACACCTTAATGTTAATCTTGAATTGTTTGAAGCACGGGTACAAATGTTTTTGTAGCCATCGCTAGATTTTGCTGACAAGAAAAACTGATTTAGAGTTACCTCCCTTCCATCGATTTGCATTCGCAAAACATCGGTAATTTCCGTACATCATAGGTGATTCAATGTAATTTGAGATAAAGAATTACTACCATGAAGTACCAAATGAGTTGCCATTGACAGCGGGGTACATTGAAATGTACCTCGCTTGTAATAATAGAAGAGCGCGCTCAGCCAATCAGAAAGCGACATTTATGTGTGAGGGAAGATAAAATTTATTATTCCTTATTGCAAAACAAACATAAGATTTCCAAACCGGTTTCCTGGATGTAAGTACACATTGCCTGACAGTCCAGCTCTGCGTCCATGTGGACCTAGGGATGCTGGGATGGTTAGGTATTGTACCAAAGATGGTGAGTTAAGACAAGTTCCATTTCCTCAAGAAAGCTTCATTTCCTGACGACCAAATTAGGCCCAAATCGATGTTGTAATTGTCTGTTTAGACTCTCTGTGATTTGGATGTATAAAGAGACATTTTATGTAAGTTTTTATGGCAGTGTTGACCTTTAGTTGTAGACTTGATGGTAGTAAAGCAGGTGTGTGGACCTTATGGCCCCAGGTCTAGGAAAGAGTTGCATCATCACACGGCAACCTCGTCCAAACACAAACATTGTCTTCCCGGCTACACATGAACTCGTTTACCCAAATAGGTAAATGGATGACCACTGTGTTGGGCTGTTTGGAGCAGACTCATTGTCTTTAGCAACAGGAGATGTTTTGCTATGACGTCAAGAAAGCCTGTTCCAGATAAGATGTGCAATATCTTTGGCAACTTATCTTAATGCTGCAACCATGCTTTTAATCATTGCTAAAATATTTAATGGAGAAATCAGTTGAATGAGTTGATTCTGTAAGTAGAATTAACATGCCTTTTAGTTTGTTGGTTATACTTCAAGAATCCACATATTTGAATCATTTATCCCTCTTAAACCATACTATGGTTTATATATTTTTTCTCTATAATTTGACCTGTTATGAAATGTATATGTCAGTTCCTTTGTGTTATTTTGGTGTTACAAGGCTATCCAATTGCCCCTCATCACACACATGCACAGACAGTCAGACAGACACAGAGAGAGACATGCATGCACGCATGCACACACACGCACGCACGCACGCACACACACACACACACGCGCGCATGCACGCACGCACGCACACACACACACACACACATTTAGAACTGGTGGACTCTCCTGAAGAGGTTATTTACTTATTTCCGTAGAATGTATGTGTCTGTAGAATGACAGGGATGTCCACCAGGCTGACCAACCTGGTGATGAACTGCTGCAATCATGGTGTTTGTTTGTCTGATTGGACCTGTTCAGCTGAAGAAACCATTTAACTGGGCAACCCTGTATTAATGTAGGTTGGAAACAAATGAAGGTGTCAAGCTAGGCCACACATCTGTCAGTAATCCTGCTACTTGCACGACCTGGTGTCTAGCCTCATTTGTCTGTCTGTGACTACATCACACAGAGGGTCGCTGTGCAGGTTATCTGTTATGGAGAAACCACTCTGATCGGTTGATTCCCGTTCAACAAGCCCCAAGGAAACAAGTTGGTTCTACTTCTGGAATCAACACATGATTGAATCTCTGACTTTAACAATTTTTGGGTGATGTATGATTTCCTTGTAATTTTACAAAGAGACCAAGTTCCAGTGGTTTTATTTGTTAAAATGCACATTCAGCATGGCCAGTGAAATCTTGGCTCAGAGTCAGCTCACACAACCATAATATGACGTCAGCATAATCAGGGAGAGACTCTAGGCAGGGTTATAGTGTTGGCCAAGAAAACAGACTTAAGTTCTACCAAGGAAAGTAGTCCCAGGCAATCCCCTTGCCATAGAAAATCGTCCTGGCATGGATTTATATTGATAGGACAAACGTACCCTGCAAAAGAAATCTTATTTTTGCCAACAGTTTCAATAGAATAGAGTTTTACTTGAGAATGTCTCCCATGAAAACATTTGAAGGGAAATTGTTCTTGCCCCAAATTATGCCATCAAAGGTCAAAGTTTCACAGGCATTATTATCCCCGATCAAACATTCCAATAGGGGAAGTGTGTTTTGGGGGAAAATGTAACTATTTCACTTGTTGTTGAGAGTTTATATTTTTCTTTGATCAATTTCAGGAAATTGTGCTGGTTGTGTTCTTTGGGTTGGAGTACGTGATCCGGTTGTGGTCGGCCGGATGCCGCAGCAAGTACATGGGAGCTCGGGGACGATTACGATTTGCGCGGAAACCCATTTCAGTTATAGGTGAGTACCTGAGTTGAGGAAACAGTTGCCAGTTTCTTCCAGCCATCACAGGGAACTTCGGAAACATTTAGATCAGCCATTGAAGTATCTCAGGATCTATCTAAAAGAGAATAGCTGTGATTGGCCTTGTTTAGATTCTATACCCATTTGAATGATGTATGATGAAATTGGACATTGCAGTCTTTAAGAATCTGTTAACAGAGTACTTATGTGGAATTGAAGTGATACTGCCCTCGCTTGTGCTAGAGTTAGTACACAGCAGACCTCTACTGAAGCGGTGAATCTCGAGGATGGGGAATCAGTCTGCAAGACAGCTTTAGCTGAGCTTAATGAGGAAAACATACTGCCCTGTTTAAATGCATGTGGAAATTCCCCTTGATGCATGATTCAGAGAGCATTGACCACTATGTTTCATATCAATACCGGTGTACTCAATGTACAAGATCGGTCCAACTCATGATTAATGGCACCCAATCTCAATCTTAAACATTTACCTTCACGATTACAAAATGTGAACCGTGCTCAGTGGGAGCGGATGATCACTACATGCGTGAACTTTCATACCACTAAGAAGTAGTTGTGTGTATATTAGTCTTGTTGACTCACAGCTAATTGATATTTGATTATCAAACTGATTTGCTGTAGATTCATCCTTGAAGGGTGTAGGTTCTTTTGATGGTGGAAGTGCCTTGTTTACTCTCAGCATCTCTCACCACAAAGTAATTGAATTCCATGCGTGGATGTGATGCGCGATTAGATTTCACTTGACGTAGAAAGCTGAGGAAGTAGCGAAATCAATGGCTATTTGCTGGTACTTGAGTAAACATACCAATGGTGTTATAACAGTCAAATCTCACTCCAGTTTGTTTCATCTCAGTGGCTTCATAGACAGAGCTCTTCATTCCAGACAGACTTTTGAAAGAGTTCATGTCAACATAGTTTAGCCTGACAACTTATTCTGGGATGGTTTAGTTTTTGAAAAGCTTCCCCTTGAAACTATTTAGCAATCCTGGTCTTCAAAGTAAAATGTAAAGGTTCAGTGATGTAAGTATGTGGACTTATATACTTCTTAGTGAAATACTACATGATTTCTGTTCAATATACCTAGAACAAAACAAATGTGTTAAAGTAATGAATGGTGCCAGGGTTGAGTTGAAAATAACACACAAAAAAACCCGTAAGCAGAAACATCTGTAGGATGGTTAGAAATGTGATGGTGATGGTTAAGGATGGGGTGTGAAGGTGGGGTTGGGGTGTGGTGGTGGTTGAGGATGGGGTGTGAAGGTGGGGTTGTGGTGTGAAGGTGGTGGTTGAGGATGGGGTGTGAAGGTGGCGTTGGGGGTGTGAAGGTGGTGGTTGATGATGGGGTGTGAAGGTGGGGTTGGGGTTTGAGGGGTGGTGGTTGAGGATGGGGTGTGAAGGTGGGGTTGGTGTGTGAAAGGTGGTGGTTGAGGATGGGGTGTGAAGATGGGGTTGAGGTGGTGGTTGAGGATGGGGTGTGAAAGGTGGGGTTGGGATGTGAAGGTGGTGGGTTGAGGCTGGGGTGTGAAAGGTGGTGTTGGGATGTGAAGGTGGTGGTTGAAGATGGGGTGTGAAGGTGGGGTTGGTGTGTGAAGGTGGTGGTTGAGGATGGGGTGTGAAGGTGGGGTTGGGGGTTTGAGGGTGGTGGTTGAGGATGGGGTGTGAAAGATGGGGTTGGGGTTTGAGGTTGGTGGTTGAGGATGGGGTGTGAAGATGGGGGTGGGGATGTGAAAGGTGGTGGTTGAGGATGGGGTGTGAAGGTGGGGTTGGGGTGTTAAGGTGGTGGTTGAGGATGGGGTGTGAAGGTGAGGTTTGGGATGTGAAGGTGGTGGTTGAGGATGGGGTGTGAAGGTGGGGTTGGTGTGTGTGGAAGGTGGTGGTTGAGGATGGGGTGTGAAGGTGGGGTTGGGGTGTGAGGGTGGTGGTTGAGGATGGGGTGTGAAGGTGGGGTTGGGGTGTGAAGGTGGTGGTTGAGGATGGGGTGTGAAGGTGGGGTTGGGATGTGAAGGTGGTGGTTGAGGATGGGGTGTGAAGGTGGGGTTGGGTGGTGGTTGAGGATGGGGTGGTGTGGGTGTTGTGTGAAGGTGGTGGTTGAGGATGGGATGTGAGAAGGTGGGGTTGGTGTGTGAAAGGTGGTGGTTGAGGATGGGGTGTGAAAGGTGGGGTGGTGTGAGGATGGGATGGGGTGTGAAAGGTGGGGTTGGGATGTGTGAAGGTGGTGGTTGAGGATGGGGTGTGAAAGGTGGGGTTGTGGTGTGAAAGGTGGTGGTTGAGATGGGGTGTGAAGGTGGGGTTGGGGTGTGAAAGGTGGTGGTTGAGGATGGGAGTGTGTGGTTTGAAGGTGGTGGTTGAGGATTAGGTCTGGTGTTGAAAGGTGGGGTTGATAGGTGGGGTGTGCTGTGAAGGTTAGGGTTGTGGGAAAGAGGTGGGGTTGGGGGTGTGAAAGGTAGGGTTGGGGTTTGAGGGGTTGTGAGGATGAGGGTGGGGGTGGGGTATAAAGGGGAGTATAAAAGGTGGTGTATATGAAGGTGGAGTTTGTGGTTTGGGTGTGAAGGTGGGGTGTTAGAGTGGCGTGTGAGGATGTGGTTTGAGGATAGGATGTGAGGGTGGGGTTAGAAGGTGTGGATTGGGGTAGGAGTGTGAAGATATGGGGTTTTAGGTTGGGATGTGAGGGTGGTGGTTGAGGCGGTGTAACAATGGGATTTGGGGTTGGGGTGTGAAGGTGGAGTTTGAGAGTGTGGTGGATGAGTATAGGGTATGAGGTCAGTGAGTGAGGGTGGGGTTTGATGATAGGGTATAAAGGTTAAAGATAGTATGTGAAAGTGGGGTTGGGGTGTGAAGGTGGGTTTGATGGTGGTGGTTGAGGAGGAGGTGTGAGGATAGGGATTAAGGGTGGGGAGTGAGGCTGTAGTTGGAGGGTGAGGTATGAGGGTGCTGGTTGCGATGTAAGAGGATAGGAGGGGGAGAGAAAGGGTGGCGGGAGCGGAATGTTTGTTGGTGGATGAGGTTAAGGGGCAGAGCTAACAACAGAATTTCAGCAAGATAAAAATGACAAGAATCCTTTTGACTTTTACAAACATTACCATTCTATTGTTTTTCAAGTAGATTCAGTTTAAGTTAGTTTTGCTAAAAGAATAACAGTTGACTGACATGACAATGGTGACTGTCAGATGAGATGGGCCTGCATACTGGTGAGGTGATCATAGCACATTGACAGTCTTCACAGGCATTTAGATGATGGGTATAATCTGGGCAAGGAGTATCATGGGAAACAGCTTCTTTACTGTACAGACATATGAGGTGATGTAGGGGCAAGACGTAGCCCTGAAACACTGCATATGTATAATACAGAAGTTGTTATCCATTTTGTGGTCATGAATACAGTATTAACACCACAAGTCTTAAGTGTTCCAAATCGGTGAGACAGAAAGCCCTAGTGGCCTGTATGTTTGTCAAGTCAGACAGTGCCATTTCAAGGCTAGATAAGCGCCATGCTGATTCCAACGGTGACTGAATTGAAAATGATATATTCTGGCGTAGAAAGACGAGTGTATGTCTAAACTTAATTATCATAGCCGTAGCAGTGCAACAGCTTCTAAGAGAGTTTGATCTGAAGACCTAAATGTTGACTTGGATTGGAATGAGACCGTCTGCTTCCACCATTAGCAAGAAATGAGACCCACCACAGTGAAGCCAAACTTACTTGTAAAGAAGTGCAGTTAATCCTAAGAAAATTGTGAGCTTCGGTGTCAGGTGCTGCGTGAGAGGCATCAGCATTACAACATCGTCATGTCCACGGTAGATGCCACTGACACCACAGCTTTGATGATACATGTCTTCCATGCAGGGGATATCTCCTTCACGCTCATCTGTGCATTGTACTGGGGTTGACAGTGTCATGGTACATGGGGTTGACAGTGTCATGGTACTGGGGCTGACAGTGTCATGGTACTGGGGCTGACATTATCATGGTACATAGGCTGACAGGGTCATGGTACTGGGGCTGACAGGGTTGTGGTACTGGGGCTGACAGTGTCATGGTACTGGGGCTGACAGTGTCATTGTACTGGGGCTGACAGTGTCATGGTACTGGGGCTGACAGTGTCATGGTACTGGGGCTGACATTATACTGGGGGTATCATGGTACTGGGGCTGACAGGGTCATGGTACTGGGGCTGACAGGGTTGTGGTACAGGGGCTGACAGTGTCATGGTACTCGGGCTGACAGTGTCATTGTACTCGGGCTGACAGTGTCATGGTACAGGGGCTGACAGTGTCATTGTATTGAGACTAAAAGTGTCATGGTACAGGGGCTGACAGTGTCATTGTATTGAGACTGAAAGTGTCATGGTACTGGGGCTGACAGGGTTGTGGTACAGGGGATGACAGTGTCATGGTACAGGGATGACAGTGTCATGGTACTCGGGCTGACAGTGTCATTGTACTCGGGCTGACAGTGTCATGGTACAGGGGCTGACAGTGTCATTGTATTGAGACTAAAAGTGTCATGGTACAGGGGCTGACAGTGTCATTGTATTGAGACTGAAAGTGTCATGGTACTGGGGCTGACAGGGTCATGGTACTGGGGCTGACAGTGTCATTGTACTGGGGCTGACAGTGTCATGGTACAGGGGCTGACAGTGTCATTGTATTGAGACTAACAGTGTCATGGTACAGGGGCTGACAGTGTCATTGTATTGAGACTAAAAGTGTCATGGTACAGGGACTGAAAGTGTCGTGGGCTGACATCCTCAGCAGTGAAGTGTATTTTATGTGCATCCCATCAGAAATGATAGGCGTTCCCCTTATGCCACTAAAGCTTTGTTTTTTAGTTGACTTCCCCATTTCCGTTTCTTTATTCTGTTATCACTTTCTTACCGGCTACTTAGCACTTTCAGTCTTGAGCGTGATCTAACTGGATGACTGGCGTTAACCACATATCTTTCAAATACATTTAGACCTACTGTGGCAGCAACTGTGTCCAGGTTTTCATGAGGGTCCTGATTTTGAAGATCAGACGTCAGATTGTCTGTAAACATTTGTGTCTTCAGTCAGTATTATTTGGGCTGAGTGATTTAAAAAATGTGAATTGTGGAAAAGGTGTCACAGGTGTAATACAAATGTGAAATCGTTTTTTGTGTGAATGTGGAATATCAGTTTGTATACAGGGAAACATTAGGGCACCTGTTTCTAATTTTGTTTAATTACTGCAGTTTGTGTTTTGCAAATACTAAACACTGAATGGTATTCATGTTTCACTAGATCAATTATATACTGCTTTTAGCAGCTGCAATAAACAGTAGTTAAAATTTTGTTAAGCAGATTATTATGGAAATTTTATTATTAATTTTTTTATGAATGAATTATTATTTAAATTTGAGTCTGACAATGTGGACTGTTTATTAAACACATGTTTAAACATGTGTTTGTGAACAGATTTGTTTATTCACACAATACTGTGGTATGAATTAAATACTGATAACTGTTACATTAAACAGCATCATTAATGGTTGAGTATACATTATATACAGTTATAATGAACTCAGAGGGAACACCCACAAATATCAAATCTTTGAAGGGCATTTAGAAGTGGAATACATCGGAGATGCAAGATTTTATGGATGTCAACTTCTTTATTGTGAATAACACGACGTTTCGGCGTGTATGCACGCTTCTTCCACATGATGAAGGAGCAAGCATACACTCCGAAACGTCGTGTTATTCACAATAAAGAAGTTGACATCCATAAATCTTGCTTTTCCTACCCACAAATATTACAGTCTCTAAGGCTCAGGCATCTCAAAAGTAATGCCCATATTTGGGGCAGGGCATGAAAAAATGAACATTGTTTTGTGAAAGTTAAAGTGCTTTGGCTTTTGGCTTTCCAGGGAGATAAACTGTGCTGTGACATTGGACGGCCATCCAAAATATGACTAGCATTGGGGAAGGGTCGTTATGTTTAGTGCTTTAAAAACTCTGAGCTGTCCTGTAATTAATGACCAGTCTCTTATATGTTTTATTTGTTTGTTTCAGATTTCCTTGTAGTTATCGCATCTATAGTGGTTCTCTCAGTAGGCTCAAACGGCCAGGTGTTCGCCACCTCTGCCATCAGGTGAGACATGCACAAGACACACCTGTACTGACTAACAATCTCAATAAGTGCCATACTTTTACAAACACCTGTTTAGTTGTTGAGATGTCTGAGTATCATGAATACCTGGTGCTAACCAAGACAATACAGGACAGATAATATCAACAACAGTGTATTGTCACGACATCCCTGATGAGTCAAGAATGGGTGTGCTCTGATTTATTCTTCTGTGCCATTGTGCTGCCAGAGTTACATTAAATGACATACACCATCATGTACTTACTCACTCACACACTGAAGCAGTGGTCTGGTTATAGCCATGTAGCCCATGTATCCTCACAATGTCTTTACCACTCACTCACTCACTCACTCACTGGCCCACCCACTCACTCTCCTTCCCACTCACTCAGACACTGAAGCAGTGGTCTGGTTATAGCCATGTAGCCCATGTATCCTTACAATGTCTTTCTCACTCACTCATTCACTCTCCTTCCCACTCACTCACACACTGAAGCAGTGGTCTGGTTATAGCCATGTAGCCCATGTATCCTCACAATGTCTCTCCCACTCCCCCACTCACTCACTCACTCACTGACCCACCCACTCACTCACTCTCCTTCCCACTCTCTCACTCACTCTCCCTCCCACTTATTCTCCTTCCCACTCACTCACTCTCCTCTCCTCCTCACTCACTCACTCCCTTCCCACTCTCCTCACTCACTCACTCTCCTTCCCTTCCCACTCAATCACTCCAACTCCTCTCTCCTCCCACTCACTCCTCCTACTAAAAGTCAGGCTTGTATCAATACACTTCCCACTCACTCATCACCAACCAACTCTCTCCCTCCCACTCACTCACTCACTCACTTTCCTTCCCACTCAATCACCAACCAACTCACTCTCCCTCACACTCACTCAATGAAGCAGTATCCTACTAAAAGTCAGGCAGTCCATATATCAATACACTGTCTTTCCTTTCCACTCACTCACTCACTCATTCACTCTCCCTCGCACTCACTCACTGAAGCAGTATCCTACTAAAAGTCAGGCAGTCCATGTATCAATACACTGTCTTTCCTTTCCACTCACTCACTCACTCACTCACTCTCCCTCGCACTCACTCACTCACTCACTCACTCACTCACATTTTGCCAACATGGTGCCAGTGTGGGACATAGAAATGTTTGCCGACTAGAGTGAACTGGCACCTGTACTTCTGCAGAGTTCATTTAGTTTTTATTGCATTTCTAGTCTAGATGTTTTTCCATCATGTGTTAATGACAAAAGATTTTCTTCTGTGTTCCTTGATACAATAGCCTTACCTTGCGACAGAAGGTTCATCTCAGTAAGTGGTTTATTTATTTATGTTTGTATGCCTACCTTGTATTGAAACTTACTGTGTTGTGTTTACAGAGGAGTGAGGTTCCTGCAGATTCTGCGTTTGCACGTGGACCGACAGGGCGGCACCTGGCGTCTACTAGGCTCTGTAGTGTACATACATAGACAGGTACGTCATCAGCAACACGTTAAACATTAAACACTTCTCCCTTCACACATAAACACATCCCAGACATGTATTCAACAAAGTTAGAACCTTTGGTTTATTCCACAGAATAAATTTATGAAACGACTTTCACAATGTTTACATTGACTGGCAGTCTATACAATCTACTCACTGCAAACTGCTTTCTGCTTTGAATAGTGGGGTCGTCTTATAGACGGTCATATACGGTAAGCAGAAATATTTTATTTCTTGTTTTACGTGTATTTGGCAGGAAGAGAAAAACATATTTAAAAAATCACTTGTCAAAGTAATATTCCATTTAAATACTAAAAGTGTTTTACTTTTGTCAATTTAGGAAGTGTATATAGGGAAAATATCAGTCTAAAAAAAATGTTCATGTAAGTTTACATTTTTGGCCAATAAAAACATTAGAATTTTATTTTTTAGTGGTGAAAATTTTAATTTCTCAGTTCAAAACTAGGCATTGTGCATTATTTTCATAATGGACATTTCAGTATGACCTTCCTCTTGACCTGACTAGTGAGTTATGCCTGATAGGGGCGGTGGGATACCCCAGTGGTGGAAGTATTCAGTGTCACGCCAAGACCTGGACTCGATAGGGCTCACATTGAAGGCAGCACTGACATCTGTATGTTTACCAACATAAACCTTAAAGTCTTTTAACATGAACCTTACATGTGACTTGAGTCTGCTTTTTAAAAAAATACCACATTTCCTTGGAGGTTGCCCAAAGCATGCACCAGTCCACAAATTGCTTATTAAACTTTTTTTCTTTCATTAACACAATGTTACGCCTTGCGTATTGAAACCATAAATTGTTTTCAGGCAGTGTTCTCCATTCTCTATTTAAACTGAGGTGCCTCTGATTGTCTATATTGGTCAATATTTCAATTTAGAACATTGTCAGGTTTAAAATGAGTTTGGAATGCTATTGTTTTATGAGGCCAGTGGAGATTTTGCATACCAGTATTCAGATGAGGAAATATTTTGTGAAATTTAAACATCTAAATTTCAATGATTGAGTATGGTTTTACAAGTCTTTTAGCAATACTGCAGCAGTATTGACGCAATAATACACCTGGGCCTACCAGAAATGGCCTTCCTTTAAGTATGTTCAATGCTGAACATATGCCAGTCAAGAGCAGGACTCATGTACCAGTGTGTCGTTGTGTGTGTTGGCAGAGAGGCATGGGCCAAGCTGTCTCACCAACAGCTCAGGATGTATTTGTAGCCAATTTTAGGTCAGCTTAATGGTTATGGTTTTATGATAGATATACATTTCAGATAGTGAATTTTACGTAATATGGACATGATTAAGTAGAACTTTAGATATAGTAGATTAAGCAAATATATGGAAACAAACTTCAAAACTGACTTGAAATAATTCATTCAAAGTTTCCTTCAATAAGACAGGCTTACCAGTTGTGATGCATCATTCAATCAGCTGTTACCCTATACATGTGTGGTGATTGTTGAAATGAGCATCATTAAATCAGCTGTTATGCTATACATGTGCAGTGATTGTTGAAATGAGCAATTGACCAATGCAATGATTGATTGATTGAAATCATGATCGCCCACTAGCCCTGTACATGATGATTGATCATTGATTGATCAACTACACTGTACATGTACAAGTATTGATTGACATCAATGATGGCCCAATTACCCTGTACATCTGCAATGATTTATGGAAATCCATGGTTGATGACCCTGTACACATGAAGTGATTGTTTGAAGTGTCAGTAAGCAGATATATACTTCATTCAGATGTCAAGCTGTACGGGTGCTCCAGGTCGAGGCTGGTCAATTGTTGTCATAGGATTATTTCAACATATGAAATACGCTTATGGCCCTTGATTTTTATTTTGGAAACAGATAAGTAGAAATAATCAACATTTAAAGGTGAAAACCATCACTTTTTAATGCCTCTTGAAATCTCCTATTTGAATCTCATTTAGAAGTGATGTACATAAGGAAGAGAGTTTTATGGATGTCAGCTTCTTGTAAGGAACACTGTCAGAGTATACTTACTCCTTCATCAGGTCAATGAATGGTATGAGGCAGGAGGCATATATATACAAATGTAAAAACAACAAAAGTAATAAGACAACAAAGATGCAGGCTAACTATGGAAACCAACAGTTAACTGGCGTTGATAGGTTATTGGCAAAAAACAAATGGAAGCCAGCACTTAACAGTTACTTAGTATTGAGAAGTTGACATCCGTAAAACTCCCTTATACTTGAAATCTCAGTCAGTACAGGTGGTTCAGAAAGAGTTGCTTCCCTTGACATGTGATGATCTGCTGATACTTAGTTTAAACCCAGCATTATGATATTTGGTTGGTCAGCACCACACCTATGTATTTCAACAGGGACAAAAGCTGGTGATTGGTGTCACTGCACCTGGTAACTTCACCAGTTACACGACCTAAAGGATACATTACCTGAGGGAGTTTTGTTCAGTTTGGCAGAATTTCTGTGTGAATGTTTACTATCAAGGCACACATTCAGCACAGCTGATTCTCATCATCTCAAACAAATTAATTCTGCCTTCATCTTGAACAAATTGATCATATCTCAAAAATCTACTTTATGTTAAAGGAACAAGCTCCAGTGTGTCCATCTCATTTCAGGCGACTAAGTGAATGAAGGATGTATAATTAACAATGCCAAAAGCACTTTTACATCTGTGCAAGCGTGTGTGTATGTGTGTGTGTGAGAGAGAGAGAGGACAGCTGACCACTCACTGTGACATAAGCTTACTCATGTTTCCAGTCAAGAGCACTAATATTGGATTTAGAAGTTGTGTCTGGCATCTTGCTGTTTTCCTTGTTCGTGTGTAACCTAAGTAGAGTGGCCATAAAATAATGTTTATATATATGTATCATCCCTTTTGTTGTTACCTAAATTAAGGAAACTTTGGTAGAGTGGGTATGGTGCAATGAAAAATAGAAATAAAACAGATTCTGAAAAGCTCTCTGTGTCATTTCAAAAACCTTATCTTCATGTATCTAAACACATTGTTAGTTATATGCATGATATATAGTTTATGAATATAAATTTTTAAAGTTATTTTCAGATCAGTCCATTATGTTTTCTTGACTTTTCTTGCTTCCAATCAGCAGTTTATTTGAAAATATAGTCCTGATGAATGGAAATAGACTGGCCTGGTGTTTTGTATCATTATATGGAAGGACTGACATTCCTGTTTATTGTATAAACAGAGTGAAAGTTGCTGTCAATGCTATAGTCTGTTTGCAGTGAAAACGTACCGATGAATTTCACTTTAAACAAAAACGTAAATCAAATAAAGTGAAATTAAAAGTGCGAATCCTCATGATTTTACCTTGCCAATTGCACATTTAAGTCTCAGATTTTTATTCAACTTAAGATATAAGCTGTTTAACAAACGATCATAGTTTCAAATCGCTATTATTGGTTTGTATTACAAGGGGGTATGCACATTAAATGAAACACCGAGTAGATTAGGGTTGGTCTAAGTTAACGCTCATCACGTACTGCACATGCATTTGTATCACTGTTCCAATTACTGCGTTTACTCCCTTGTAATACAAACTGATATTAGCGATTTGCATCTATGATCGTCTGTTAAACAACTTTCATCCTAAGTTGAATAAAATTCTGAAATTTAAATGTTTAATTGGCAAGGTAAAATTATGAGGATTCGCAATCTTAATTTCATTTTATTTGATTTACTTTTTTGTTTAAAGTGAAATTCATCGGTACGTTTTCACTGCAAACAGACTATAGAAAGGCTTCTCTACAATGACCTGTCCCAGATTCTGTATGACTCATATATTCTGTAAAAGAACTGATTGAATGGAGACATATTGACAGTAGATGAGTTTTGAAGAAAAATATAATAGCACACTCATTTAGAGAACACATGTTGATTTAGCAGCTGACAGAGTTGTTTGTACAAGATGGTGGCTAGTGACCACCATTATCCTTTGTACGGAGGTCTCCTTTATTCGATATTATCCTTGAAGTCATTGCCCTGGTAGAGTGCCTCTATTGTCATCATAATCGCTCATGTTTTGTTCGTGTGGTTTTCCTTGGGGGGAAATAATGGAATTGGGATATTCTTCGAAATTAGATTTGTCTGAAATGGTATTTGTCGAGGCTGTATGCTGTTCCTTACATGACAGCTCTCAAAACAGAACATGAAAAACGTGTCTCCTAAAAAGAACTGTATTTGGACTGGTGCTGTGTTTTCGCGAGGGTTACAACTAATTTGCCCAGTGGGAAGGAAGCATTTTAGATTTAATAACATGCAGGAAATAGAAATATGTTATGGAATCTCAGGCACGAACAGGCTCATTTCCCCTCCAGTGTGGAGGCTGTAGGTTTTTCAGATTAGGCACCGCGAACGTCAAGATATATGGAAGTGAAGAAAAAAATGTTTTCCAGTAGTGATTATTTTCAAGCTCAGATGTTGGTAAAACTGACCTTTTTATAATTGAAGTCTTTGTCCGAGTTAATTCAGTTTAAAACATTGTTATACTAACACCACAAACATATTAAAGGTCATAATATCAGATGTTGTAGGAACCGTGAGTATTTGGGTCATACGGAACTAGATGTGGACATTGCGATATGAAATTAAATCTCTGTGTATGACAGATTAACATTTGGTAACACTGCAGCAGACCAACACGAGTTGTGTGATTCAGGATTAAACTGAATGTAACAGAGGATCGCGGCTGTTGGACATCTAACCCTGAGCAAGTCTTTAGCTGTGTTTAACATGAAGGCCGTTCTCTGTAAAATATATGTCAAGATTGTCTAGATAATTTCATTTTCTAAGAAACCAGAACAAGAGATGTGACAGGACTGCTGGAGTTGGGGATGTAGCTCAGTGGTAGAGCTTAACACTATTTTCAAAGATAATGGGTTTATGTTTATGTGAAGGAAGTAATATTGCATGTTTATGTATCAGGGATGTCTGATTAGTTAGCCATTTTGTAGACTGGGTATCAAATTCCTTGAAGGAAATGTTAGCCATTTTGTAAATTGGGTGGGCAATTCCTTGAAAGAAATATTAACCACTCAATATACTGAATGTCGATTCCTTGTAGGAAGGAATAACCTTTTTTTATATGAGGTACTTGATTTCATAACAGGAATAGCAATGATGTAGTAAGACTGTGTATAGATTGTTACATAGACTGTCTGTTTCCTTGCAGTAATTGATGACAACAGTGTTTAAAGGCTGTCTGTTTCCTTGCAGTAATTGATGACAACACTGTATCAAAGCTGTCTGTTTCCTTGCAGGAATTAATAACAACGCTGTATATAGGGTTTCTGGGGCTCATCTTCTCTTCCTACTTTGTGTATCTGGCTGAGAAAGATGCAGTGGGAGAGGATGGTACCACAGATTTCACCAGCTATGCAGATGCCCTCTGGTGGGGCGTGGTGAGTAGCTTGTCCCTACAATCAGCTATGCAGATGCCCTCTGGTGGGGCGTGGTGAGTAGATTGTCCCTACAATCAGCTATGTAGATGCCCTCTGGTGGGGCGTGGTGAGTAGCTTGTCCCTACAATCAGCTATGCAGATGCCCTCTGGTGGGGCGTGGTGAGTAGCTTGTCCCTACAATCAGGTATTCAGTCTGTAGGTATGTGTGCAGGGTTATTTTCCATAACCATGCCAGGATAAGGTGATTGTTTTCTGAAGCCCAGTTTCTCACCAAAGCCCTAAACTCATACATGCCGTGTCCTTTGGGCTCCCATCCCATACTAAGGAAAGGAGTGACTTGGGTTGAAGCTTTGCAAATATGAAGGTGACATGATAGTATATTTAAAATACAACTAAAAGTGATTTGAAATCAAAGCCCACTCAGTCACTCAAATGTATGTAATGGCTGGTACTGATGTACTAGGGTGAAGGTTCAGAACCAATTCTTTCATAGTATCATAGTTATTCTGTCATGCCTTGACACTGTAATTGTAGTGATATAAATAATTCGGTTATCCTCCTCCATCGGTGAAAGCAAGTGGAGTTCTTCATGTTAAGTTATATTTCAAGATATGCATATCTAAATGTGTAGACTCCTCCAAGATGAAACAGATGATAAGCACTTGAATTGGCTTTGATAAATGTGGCACAATGATAGAGGTACTAGACTGGCTGCATGGAAGTCTGGGTAGGGAAGTGATTTCAAGGACATAGGTTTATTGTAATGCAAGTGTAGCAGGGCGTGGAGTCATCCCACAGATGACATCCTTACCTTGTCAGTGTAGCAGGACGTGGAGTCATCCCACAGATGACATCCTTACCGTGTCAGTGTAGCAGGGCGTGGAGTCATCCCACAGATGACATCCTTACCTTGTCAGTATAGCAGGGCATGGAGTCATCCCACAGATGACATCCTTACCTTGTCAGCAGGGGTTAACCTTTGTGGACAAGGTGTCTGACTTTGAATCAGAAGGTCCGTGGTTCGAATCCCAGCACGGGACTTCGACATTCAATGGCCACTACATATAAGCTTTGATAAACACTGGCTTCTAATCTAATCAAGCTGGCAATAAGTGTTTTGTAACTCATCCCTAAGAGGAACACACAAGCTACAATTTACCTTTAATAAAAAACATGACCAAATTGAGCTTACTCTGTGCAGTGCTTGTGTTAGTTTCACTGTGCAGAGCTCTATGCATCACTCATGAACTAAAGGTGTGACGCCATCATCGGAAATTATTTCATGCATGATTTCAAAACACACAGAAACATCGACATACTGTCCCTTGCCTTAGAACACCATAATATAGATGAAACCTAAGATCTCCCACTAATATAATTGAAAAAACCACACCAAACATCCGAAATATTGTGATTGACATATCATCAATGTGGGAATATGGGTCACCAACATTAATCAATAATAGTTGTCAACACCAACTAAACAAATGTTTGGAAGTCCAATAGTTTCAAGTTGTTTTGCGACATAAAAATGAAGGATTGATTGCTGATAGTAGGAAAGCTGTCAGTGACTTAAAACTCTGGTAGAAACATTTAATAGCTTGGTTCAGTGAAGTGCTGACTGATCTGCTTGTGTTTCAGATAACTGTTACCACTATCGGCTATGGCGACACAGTTCCGCAGACGTGGATGGGACGTATCGTGGCTTCCTGTTTCTCTGTATTTGCCATCTCATTCTTCGCCTTACCTGCAGTATGTATAGTAACTGTATTATTCACATGGCTAAACTCTGCAGCATTGTGTCAGATGGTATTGCCGTATTTCCTTCAGCTAATAATATGTTTTACTTCAACTGCATTTGGTTTGGTTAATAATGTTTAACAATGGTGTAGCAGCGATGTTTAAGATATCTAAAACTGCTGACATGGCAGAATGCTTTGATGAAAGGGAACATTTGGCTGTTGTTAGTGATTACAGATAGCAAACCATCTGATCTAGAACAAAAAAAGTAAAGAAATGCTTGGCAGCCATGTCTTGAGAAAATCTTGTTGAAAAACACAACTTTCCTAAGTATGAAATATAACATTAAAACAAGCAAGGATCTATATGTTATTTGCCCCAAATCTTCATTTAACAAGGCATTGCCAATGTGTGTGAGGTTTTACACCACTTTTAACAATATCCCAGCAATATCACAGTGGGGGACACCAAAAATGGGCTTCACACATCATACCCATGTCGGGAATCAAACCTGTATTTACAGGGTGACAAGCAAACACATTCACCACTAGGCTACCCCATTGCCAGTGTAATTAAGAAATACAGTTCACTCTGCCCCCAGTCTAATAAAGTACAGTTTGCCCTGAACTAGCTAAGGCATGAGGATGTGTAGTGATGCCAGTATAATGTGATGTAAAACTTGAATAGAGTTTAGCATTTTGGCTTGGTGGGGAGGCATTATTCAAATGGGAAATCTTGTAGCCCAAAGTTACGGCCTAAATGATATAATGTCAACAGCAGAGGATATGTATTATGTAAATGGTAATGTTTATCTGACAAACAATTGGTATAGTTGTGATACCTTGATGACTTGTCCCAACATAGCTAAAACATTCCTCATGTAAGCATGTTTTTGGATTTTCAGCAATTTTGTTTATCTTGATTATGTTATGTTTGTTGTATGTAATGTCAGCTCAATACAGACTTTACCTGGCTTCAACAAGGTTGCAGGGAGACACCCAAAGTGTTTTAATTTATTACTCACAGAAACAGTAATGAACATCGGGAACTAGAAACCCCTGGTTCTGAGGCATGTATCTCCGTATTGATAATAGCAGGTCTGTTGTCGGCCCCCAGCTGTGGAGAGTTGTTGCTGCTGTCAGGGCTGGAGGAACAAGGATATAAACTAAACACCATCCTTGCCATCACTGGGAGGTGGAAACAGCTTCAATTATTGTCTTACATCCACCAGATGCAACTGTGGTGTAACCAAGGTTATAACTGTCGGGCAAACACTTGAATTAAATATTTTAAGAATCATAAATTGTGAAAAAAATACCACAAATTGGGTGTTGTGAGAAGTCAATTTTATGTCTCCACAAGATGCAATAAGATCTGGCCACTACTGGCACAGACAAAAAAAGTGAAATCTGAATAAAATATTCCATTTATTCCAAAGAGGTGCCATTAAGCAAATAGTGTTGAGAATCAATATCACAAAAAGGGAAGCTTCAAGTGAGCTAATTTTAGTCCACAGTCTTCTAGAAAGTTAATTTTAATTTTTCTAGCCCCCGAAACATAAGCTGTAATCAGTATTCCCAAGGTCAAGGAAGGATCAGCTCATCTGGTGTTTTGAAGATTCTTGATAAAAAACAGGTGTTTTTTATGCCTAGTAATACTTTGTATTGCACTAGAGATAGCTGCTGTATAGACATGGGTCTCCAAACCGGCAGTTAAAAAACATACCTTGATGGGAAAAGGATTAGACAAACAAGAAGAAGCTAAAAGAGGAAGGCAATGATGTTTTAAACGGTTAATCAAATAGAGTAATCAGCTGATTGGTGGAGATAAAGAGACGAGAGACAGGATGATATATAAAAATGTTCCTCCCCTTGAAGACAGAGCGGCAGGAGTATGTTTGCTTAACATTGGTGGGTGTATCGCAATCAGTGGCGCTGACAGAGGTTGCTGACGGATTAACATGTTGGGCCAATAACTGGGAGTCGTCAATCAATATGAAACGTTCCAGCGCCAGATTGATACGCAGCTCATCAAAATCTTTGTTTCATTCGCGTGCACTTCATACCCATAATGCCGAGAGGAAATAACAGTTTACCTCATGTTGCACAATTCAGTTGGCAGGAAAAAGTGTTGGTTGAAAATACTATTGGAAGCCATTGGATCAGTGAAAAAGATTGTTTGCCAAGATCATATGTTGTTATTGTTGGAAATGGTAGCATGTGCCATGTTTGTGAGAAGAATCATTGCAGTTTAAGGAAAATACATTTCAAATAATTTCAGATTGGAGATTGTGTAAAGGAAATTCACACTGAATCTATACCAGCTGATTGGCTATAATTATGTCTTAGTGCGACAGACATATAATGGCAGCTAAATTAGTGGAATTGAGGCTCTTCAAAAACATCTTTGTAAACAAGTACTGGTGCAGTTTAATTTGAAAACTCTTGAACACGTTACTAAAATTTTTAATAATCTTTTAATACTCATCATTTTAAAGATGAAATGGTGAATTAAGTTACTTCCCGCCAAATTAATTGTCACATGAATATTTAAGCCCTAGGGTTATTTCTGTTCATCAGAAGCAAGCCCTGGAGGTCGCCATTGAGAACTGCACAGAAATTACACAGTATTATATTAAGATTACTTCCCAACCTGGAATGGGGATGCTGTTGGAGCTGGTGTTTGCTGTTGCTACTGAGATGCAACAGCATGACCAGTATTTGTGCTGTCATAGTTGTATGGCATCAGTAGGAGATGAGAAGGCGGGACATTCCTGTATACTTAGAAAGGAACAGGAAAACACGTTTGATGAGTATTGATCGTTTTGTGAGGTTGACATTTGTATTGCACTGGATTTTGTTAAGTGCACAGTTATTGTAGGAACTGTCACTTGTTTGGCTTCTGGCAGGGCTGCCCATGAACAACCTTCTGTCTGGCTTTACAACTCAATTAATGTTTGCAAAATTAACCAAATGACATTTATCAAACTTAAATGGATGAGAAAATACTGTCAGAGTAAACCAATATGTGGAATGGTTCTACATACACCAGGATACCTGTGAATAAAAGTTTTATGATGCTAAACAATGCATGGGTTATTGAACCAATCCTGTCTTTTAAACAGAATCACCTTGACCTCATTTTTCATAAAACTAACCATCCATGGAGGTTTAAACAGAAGATTCCATTGAAATCCTGATTTGACTGAGGCTAATTATTCTGTAAACTAAACCATTCATGGAATATTAAACCTTTGGTGTCATTATAACCTTTAACAGAGTCATGATCAGACTTTTTACACATGTGAACAATCCATGGAAGATTCACCCTATGGTATCATTAACATAGACTTAATGCTTTGTTGGCTAAATGTATAAAGCTTAACAATGCGTAGACCATGGCACTAATGGTTTCAAATAAGTCTTTTATCAGAATCCTGTCACCAGTGAATATATGAATTATCTATCCCCAGTGAATATAAGAATTATCTGTATCCAGTGAATATATGGATTATCTATCCCCGGTGAATATATGGATTATCTGATCCCAATGAAAATATGGATTATCTGTTCCCACTGAATACATTAATTATCTGATCCCAGTGAAAATATGGATTATGTGTTCCCACTGAATACATTAATTATCTATCCCCAGTGAATATATGGATTATCTATCCCCAGTAAATATATGAATTATCAATCCCCAGTGAATATATGGATTATCTATCCCCAGTAAATATATGAATTATCAATCCCCAGTGAATATATGGATTATCAATCCCCAGTAAATATATGAATTATCTATCCCCAGTGAATATATGGATTATCTACCCCCAGTAAATATATGAATTATCTATCTCCAGTGAATATATGGATTATATATATCCCCAGTAAATATATGAATTATCAATCCCCAGTGAATATATGGATTATCTATCCCCAGTAAATATATGAATTATCAATCCCCAGTGAATATATGAATTATCAATCCCCAGTGAATATATGGATTATCAATCCCCAGTAAATATAGGAATTATCTATCTCCAGTGAATATATGGATTATCTATCCCCAGTAAATATATGAATTATCTATCCTCAGTGAATATATGGATTATCTATCCCCAGTAAATATATGAATTATCAATCCCCAGTGAATATATGAATTATCAATCCCCAGTGAATATATGGATTATCAATCCCCAGTAAATATAGGAATTATCTATCTCCAGTGAATATATGGATTATCTATCCCCAGTGAATATATGGATTATCTATCCCCAGTGAATATATGGATTATCTATCCCCAGTGAATATATGGATTATCTATCCCCAGTGAATATATGGATTATATATTATCTGTTAATGTATGTCTGTGAAGGTCACTAGTTTTGTCCAGTGTTTTCTTGATGCCTCTATTGGACTACTATTTTTGTTACAGGGCCTCTATTGGACTACTGTTTTTGTTTCAGGGCCTCTATTGGACTACTGTTTTTGTTACAGGCCCTCTCTATTGGACTACTGCTTTTGTTACAGGGCCTCTATTGGACTACTGCTTTTGTTACAGGGCCTCTATTGGACTACTGTTTTTGTTACAGGGCCTCTATTGGACTACTGTTTTTGTTACAGGGCCTCTATTGGACTACTGTTTTTGTTACAGGGCCTCTATTGGACTACTGTTTTTGTTACAGGGCCTCTATTGGACTACTGTTTTTGTTACAGGGCCTCTATTGGACTACTGTTTTTGCTACAGGGCCTCTTTTGGACTACTGTTTTTGTTACAGGGCCTCTTTTGGACTACTGTTTTTGTTACAGGGCCTCTATTTGACTACTGTTTTTGTTGCAGGGCCTCTATTGGACCACTGTTTTTGTTACAGGGCCTCTATTTGACTACTGTTTTTGTTACAGGGCCTCTATTGGACTACTGTTTTTGTTACAGGGCCTCTTTTGGACTACTGTTTTTGTTACAGGGCCTCTATTGGACTACTGTTTTTGTTACAGGGCCTCTATTGGACTACTGTTTTTGTTACAGGGTATCTTGGGGTCTGGGTTTGCCTTGAAGGTTCAGCAGAAGCAAAGGCAGAAGCATTTTAACAGACAGATTCCCACAGCAGCATCTCTCATACAGGTGAGCTATATACAGCATCATACTATCTACGGGTGAGCTATAAACGGTATCATACCATCTACAGGTGAGCTATATACAGCTGTGTATCACATACAAGTGAGCTATATACAGCATCATCCCTTACAGGTGAGCTATATACAGCATCATACCATCTACAGGTGAGCTATATACAGCTGTGTATCACCTACAGGTGAGCTATATACAGCAGTATCCCATACAGGTGAGCTATATACAGCTGTGTACCACATACAGGTGAGCTATATACAGCAGTATCCCATACAGGTGAGCTGTATACAGCTGCATACCATACAGGTGAGCTATATACAGCATCATCTCTCATACAGGTGAGCTATATACAGCTGCATACCATACACGTGAACTATATACAGCAGCATCCCTTACAGGTGAGCTATATACAGCCATGTACCAGATACAGGTGAGCTATATACAGCAGCATTCCTTACAGGTGAGCTATGTACAGCTGTGTACCACATACAGGTGAGCTATATACAGCTGTGTACCACCTACAGGCAAGCTATATACAGCTGTGTACAACATACAGGTGAGCTATAAACAGTAGCCTCACTCATACAGATAAGTTTTAGCCGTGTACCACATACAGATGAGCTGTAAACAGCAGCGTCACTCATACAGGTGAGCTATATACAGCTGTGTACCACCTACAGGTCAGCTATATACAGCAGCATATCATGTACAGGTGAGCTATAAACAGCAGCATATTACATACAGATGAACTATAAACAGCGGCGTATCACGTACAGGTGAGCTATAAACAGCAGCGTATCACATACAGGTGAGCTATATACAGCGGCATACCATACAGGTGAGCTATAAGCAGCCACATACCATACAGGTTAGCTATAAACAGCAGCCTCCCTTACAGGTGAGCTATATACAGCCGAGTACCATACAGGTTAGCTATAATCAGTAGCATCCCTTACAGGTGAGCTATATACAGCCGCATCTCTTATACATGAAGTTTAATAATTGATCAAACTAAGGAAGCATTAGGATTGACTATGGCAAGATGGCAGTACATCAATGACACTTTTACTGTGAAGAGTTGCTTCCCTTGGCATGCAGGAAACCTATGATTGTGGGTTCAAATCCCAATTTGTACAATAATGTGTCTCGGTTTGTCAGCACCAAGACAATATTCATGCCATGAACAAGCTAAACATCAGAAATCTGCTGGAACACACACACCATGATATACATGCAATACTGGACATACCGGCACCAAACTAACTCACTCACTCATTGTTATATATACATTGCTATAGTTGTACTTACATTGCAATACTTTCATAATGGTGCATTTAATTATAGCAATACTATTACAACTTTTGTAGTTGTATTGCAAAGGTTTTGCTATTGTGTATTTGAATATCACAGTATCACCATGCAATAGTGGTTCTTTTATAATAACTCATTATGATAGGATAACTCATTGGAATAGTTTCGCAAATAGTGTTAACAATAGCAATACTATTACAACTGTTGTTTCTTTGGTGCTATAGTTTTACGCTAGTTTAACAATAGTTCTTTTGACACTAGCAACACTATGGTAGTAATGCCCTAAATAGTTCTCCTACTGTAACAGATGAATAACCACCCTCCTTCTGTCTGTCTGTCTGCAGTGTTTGTGGCGGTGCCACGCTGCCGAGTCATCCTTCAACTCCAATGCTACGTGGAAGGTGCATGTACAGGAGAATGGCCACCATCACTACTATGGTAGCAAGCAGTTTGGGCTCAACTCCAATCCCTCAGCTCTCACACGTATGGCCCGCCGAGCTAGTCTACTGAAGAAGAAGCTCTCGTTCCGCGGATCCAACATGCTGGAGAGACAGGAGAGTTGCTCCTCCCTGTCCAACTATCAACTGGACGCTATCAAACCAGGTAACCTTTTAGAACACAATATCTAGAGTAGAATTGGTATCAGCAGCCAATGCCCGTCTCCCATTGAGATCTGGGGTAGAATTGGTATCAGCAGCCCATGCTTGTCTCCCATTGAGATCTGGGGTAGAATTGGTATCAGCAGCCAATGCCCGTCTCCCATTGAGATCTGGGGTAGAATTGGTATCAGCAGCCCATGCTTGTCTCCCATTGAGATCTGGGGTAGAATTGGTATCAGCAGCCCATGCTTGTCTCCCATTGAGATCTGGGGTAGAATTGGTATCAGCAGCCCATGCTTGTCTCCCATTTAGATCTGGGGTAGAATTGGTATAAGCAGCCCATGCTTGTCTCCCATTGAGATCTGGGGTAGAATTGGTATCAGCAGCCCATGCTTGTCTCCCATTGAGATATGGGGTAGAATTGGTATCAGCAGCCCATGCTTGTCTCCCATTTAGATCTGGGGTAGAATTGGTATCAGCAGTCCATGCTTGTCTCCCATTGAGATCTGGGGTAGAATTGGTCCTCAATAGCCCAATAATAATAGATATTTCTTTCAATATTAGAAAGAAAATAATGACAAACAATAGATGTATGAAATTGTTATATATTTCATTTCATATTAAAAACAGGACTAGTATGCATAAAATATACATTGTATAGATGTATAACCTCTTACTATAATAATTTTGAAAAAGATGTTATTATTATTATTTTATTTATATGGGGCCCTTTTGACTAGGGGTCTGAGGCCCTTTTGACTTTTTGATGCGGCCCTTTTGACTAGGGGTTTGCGGCCCTTTTGACTTTCTTGCGGCCCTTTTGACTTTTCCGTTTTGGGGCCCTTTTGTCATGCGGTGCTTTTAAACTAGGACCCATGACAACCCACCTGTTGGTACAATGAAGCAACCTGCACTCGCTGTCTGTTGTTCCAGGTACTCCGACCCGTTGTGGGTCGTACGGGCGGGGATCTGACGCTGACGTATCACTGGAGGATGAAATTGACGGTGATTGCATCATAAAGCCAGAGCAGTAGGTCATATCCCAGTGTCAAACACTCAAACATTTACTGTTTTAGATTCGAATCTTTATCAAACATTCTTGTTGATGGCAAGTTATGTTGTTTTTCAACATTGCAGCATCTTGCAGATCAGCAGTTTTACGACATACTGTGGAACTCTTCTTATCCTAGCCACAGGTGCCTTCTTAACATGCCAGCTACTTAAAGGATATATCATAGACCATATATCGGTATATCGTCTCTGGATATATACACTACATAAAATGCTTTTCTAACTGGAAATCTATTTTCTGGATTTGGAGAGTTACACCAATTACCAACAGAGTGAATTACATATTATAGTCCCACTTATCATACAGCAACAAAGCTTGACAATGTTTGTTTTACAATTCATCACCGAGGGCGTGTACTGAACAATTAAGACATGTTTTTATATTCTACAAAGTGTACAAGTAACGATTTTAAAATCGATGTAGGACATTTGTCATCTGTTGCAAAATAATTTGCATCCTTATGTAAGGTTTAATTACCATGTAATCCTGATATGAAAACAGTGATGCTGAAAATAATAAGCTACATTTTGTGTTGAAGTGAATAATAGAGTTAGCTGCTGTGTGGCGTTTTTCGTGCACCAATGATAAAATAATGACATTGATTGTGCAATAATTGTGTGTCCCTGTGAGAGAACATGAGTACTTGATGATGCTGTAATCTTACATTGTTTAAAAAAAAGGCTCCCTCGGTTCTGTAATTATTGTCATCAGGAATTAAGTATGTCTGTGGCGAACACATTGATTTCTTAAATAACTAGATATAGGGTAGCATGTACTTTGTCCCTAGAGGTAAAGGAACACTGTCAGGATAACTCGCAGAAAATAATATCTGTTCATGATTTGAATGGGTTATTCTGTTGGAAATCATTTGGAATTCTAAGAAATATTTCAATGAGGGCAATCTGGGGTACATGCATTTTTGTTTATAACCAACTTCACTAACCACCAAAGATTAACGTCAGTCATTAAATTACAAAGTTAATGATCACAATGATCGTGTTTGTGTGTAAATAATAAAGCCTAAGCCTTTTTAATGCCAGTTTTGAATTAACTGAAATGATGAATTTTGTATTATATGTCAGTGGTATGGCATCCACATCCAGCATGGAGCAGGACACTAAGTGGAAGCTCTGTGTTCCAGGTTGACGGAGTCACATAAGGTGATGATCAGGGTGATACGTAAGATCAAGTTCTTTGTGGCCAGAAGAAAATTCTCAGTGAGTACATATCTATCAAACATGTCAACTGTTTGTTTGAAACCATGCCACTCATTGTTTGTCTGTTTGACTCATGTCTGGGAGTTTAACTCATCCTGCTCAATGTTTGTCTGTCCAAACAATGCAGTTCAATCAATGTTTGTCTGTCCAAACTATGCCGTTCAATCAATGTTTGTCTGTCCAAACTATGCAGTTCAATCAATGTTTGTCTGTCCAAACTATACAGTTCAATCAATGTTTGTCTGTCCAAACAATGCAGTTCAATCAATGTTTGTCTGTCCAAACAATGCAGTTCAATCAATGTTTGTCTGTCCAAACTATGCAGTTCAATCCATGTTTGTCTGTCCAAACTATGCAGTTCAATCCATGTTTGTCTGTCCAAACTATGCAGTTCAATCAATGTTTGTCTGTCCAAACTATACAGTTCAATCAATGTTTGTCTGTCCACACATTCAGTTCAATCAATGTTTGTCTGTCCAAACTATGCAGTTCAATCAATGTTTGTCTGTCCAAACTATACAGTTCAATCAATGTTTGTTTGTCCAAACAATACCACTTAGTGTTCAAGTTCAAACCATGCCACTCCTTCTTATCAGTTATTCACAGTGAGCAGGTAAATTATTTATTATTATTATGATTCATCGAGTTTGATACTTTTTAAGACCCAGAAAAAGTAACCATAGACAACTTGTTTCCGGTCAGAAATTTGTCATCCAAAGGAAGACTTGCATCAGCTTATTTGCTTCCCCAATATCAAATGTATGATGTTATTTGATGTACGCGATGTGATAGAGGTCAAGGCCATTCGTTATAAACTGTTGATGTGTCAGCTTAGATTTTATGCCGCTTTTAGCAATATTCTGGCAATGTCATAGCAAAATGGGTTTTGAAAATTGTACCCAATTTGGAATGTGGGGAATCAAACATAGCTCCTTGCTGTGTTAAGTGAACACTTTAACCACCAGGCTACCACACCGACTTTAGGGACTTAAAGTATACAGATATTGTCATTTGCAGCAAGGTCAAGGGTTATGCTGAAACAAATATACTTGGAAAACCCAGAAAAGAAACTATGGGCAATTTGTTTCTGTCTTTACCATAAGTTTGTTTATAAGAGGATAATATTCATACCATGTTATCTTCCCTAATAACAAATGTATGGCGTTCGTTTGCAGCAAGCTCGCAAGCCGTATGATGTACGCGATGTGATAGAGCAGTATTCTCAGGGACATCTCAACATGATGGTCAGAATCAAAGAGTTACAGAGGAGGTGAGCAGGTCAAGGGTTTGTGCTGAAATAAACTTAGAACATTTACAAACCTGTTTGTAGAAGATATAATCTATGAAATTACAAGATTCTTCTTTGTAAAGCTGGAACGATGAGGCTAATTGTTACTATCTGGATGTGTACAACAAGACCTCGGGTTACTACATGATGACACCCTATTGGCCAGCTAGACAAACTTGTCACAGCAGGTGTATTGTGGACAGAGCTTTATAGGTAGATGTCCTATCTGTGTCCAATAGCACCTCAGCTAGCTGCTGGTGGGTGGTATATAAGGGTATAAGTCACATGAGAGACCTCTAGGTGCCAAGCACCAAGCTGGGAATCAAGTACCATCTTTCAACATTGTTTATTATGGTGTGCCTGGGGACTGAACCACCAGCCTTCTGCTATGCAGGCAAACGCTCTGTCTATACCAGATAATGGGAAATAATTTTGTAAATGTATATGTTGTTTTGCCTTATCATCAAATGGGAAAATGGAGTTCAGAATGTTCAGCGGTATGATTGTGGACTCTAGTGCTTGTCCACATTTGACATTGTACGTTGGATTCACCAGTTTTGGTGGGACCTACACCACTTTGTGTTGACACATTATAACGTGACAGAAATGTTGTTCAAGATGGCGTCAAAGTCACTCAGCAGGAGGCGTGTGGAGTGGCTAGAGTTCTATAGGCTGTGAGTTTTGATTGTGTGTCTAATTGTCCTCCAGACTGGACCAGACTCTGGGCAAGCCAGTATACTTTGGTGCAAACAACAAAGACAGGGAGAAATCAACACTATGTGCACGAGTCACAAGGGTAGAAAATCAGGTATGTCCAGTTATCCAGAGGGTGAAGAGGAGGGACAGTGTATGGATGCATGGGATGCCTGGCTATGACCAGATCTAGAGCAGGCAGACCACTGCTGCAGTGGGTGGGTGGATGAGTGGGAGAGTGCATGGATGGATGCACTGGCCGATTAGCACCTGTGGGAAACTGATTAACACCTATGGGAAACTGATTAACACCTATAGGAAACTGATTAACACCTATTGAAGGTATGCCAGGATCATAATCAGAGAACTTGAGAGGGCATAGACCTTTAGTTTTTATCAAATATCTGTCAGTTTATTTCACACTTGAAAAAAAATCTGGATTGTCTAAGAGTATATTTAGATATTCTTCCCTTTTGTGGATGCATGGCTGGACTGCAGTACACTCTAACCAGACCATGAGCAGGGACACCACTGCCTCAGTGGGTGAGTGAGTGAGAGGTTGAGTGCACTAGTACATTGGCTAGTGTTGAAGTTTGCAATGTCATGGCTTCCTTCCACTATGAAAAGGTAGAGAGAAGGCAAACACCTGCTTCAGTGAGTGAGCGAGAGTGAGTGAGTGAGTGGGTGGTTGCGTAAGCTGATGTCATACACTGAAAAATGTATCCCATGATCATAATCAGAAACTTTGAGAGGGCATAGACCTTTTGGTTTTTGTCAAACGTCTGTCAGTTTATTTCACTCTTCAAAAAATGTTAGGATTGTCTAAGAGTATATTTATAGATCTTCACTTTTGAAATTTCTTTGTCATGCTTGCTGTGTACAGAACATGTTACCCTCCCATGGCAGATCACAGGATGTGTGATGTTAAAGTTTTGTGTTTCCAGGTAAATCGTTTGGATACAAAGATGGACCAGATGCTTACATTAATGAATAAGCTAGTCAAAATGACAGAGGGAAAAGAATCCAGTAAAGAAGATAATTCCTAGCAGTGACTGAAATCCGTACATCCACACCAAGACCCTGATGCCAGTATGCCCGGCACCAGATGCACATGCACGTGTCAGTGCCAGGGCATGCCCCTGCTGACTTGCACATCAACACACATAGAGCAGGCTCAGATTGCCCAATAGGAGCCAAGGTCAGAGTTCAAGGTCATTCATGACCTGGATGGATAACAGTGACGGAGTAAAGATACAGTGTGCTCACCATCAAACTTTCACATTTGTACGAAGACAGCAACCGAAAATATTTGAAGTGCGAAGTCTGACACAAGGAGATGTACAGTGCTGTACAGTATTAGGCCGATGGCAGGACATTCAGTGGCAGGAGAAGCTTCAACATATGCCAGGCACACAGAAGCAGACGTCTTCCTTTAGGAACCACAGAGTGTAGTGTGTACAGGATACACAGTTCTTGAATACAGCATACATTGTACCATGGTACATAGATTGACTGAAGGTGTAGGCAGTTACCTGATACATAGCCAGAAACATAGACCATGGTTTGTGTTCCTTGTTACAATGTACAGAAGTATATGCTAACTGACTCCAGGTACCTTTCCGTGTTACATAGACCTTGATGATGCCACAAGAAGTTGACTGTTTCATCCTTCCCCGAAAGACATCAAGTTTCCATCTTCTCCACCAAGCCCATCTCCAAGCAGATTCATCTTTCAAAATTCTAAATGATGATTAATTTCAAGCTATTTCTCTATTGCCAGCACTGAAAATAATATAGCTTCTATTTTAATAGTTGATTCGTTTTGACCTCGGTACTGTTTCGCTCAAAGAGTCAAATTTGAATGACCAGTACCTTGATATGCAATATCGGATGTCAGGTGCACATGTCCTTAATATAACCTTTTCAGTCACAGAGAGGTTGATATGCAGTGTCACATTTCAGATGAGCTGGTCAGAAGAAGATCTGACCAGTAGGTTAATAGGCAGTACCCATGACCTTGATGATAGTACCCAGTTACACATTGCCATGGTAACAATCAGTGGAGCCTCAAACAGTATTGTGGTACACTTTCACACAACATGTACCACCATATCAAATCTTTGATGCGGCACTGATTGTTAAAAGCATGCACGTTTGTGGTGCAAGTGTCTGGATACACTCTCTGATAAATCAATACCTTCAAGCAACGTCTAGCTTCTTGGTTGAACGGGCATTTTGTGAATGAGTATGAAAATCTGGAAAACATTTTTTACATTCCATGATGAAGCAAGGTTTTCTGCATTTAACATTCCTGACATCCCCGGAAGATGTAATAATGGTCATCGACCTCCAGACATCCTCCTGTTCTCATTACTCATGACAGACATTCCATGATCGGTGAAGCAACAAAGCCTTCCTCAAGTTTGTTTTCTGAAGGTCACAAATTTAATGGCAATATCAAATATATTATATCTATTCTCATGTAATAATATCCTAAAACTTCTTATGATTCCTTAGAAGTACTTCCAAATTCAAAATACTTTACAAATAAAGAAGTCCATAACAGATGTATATAAAACATATATATATATATGTATTTTTCTCTCAGGAAACCAAAGATGATTGCCCATTTATCATATGGGAAACAAATTACCTACAACTGTAAATATTCAGAAAATATGAACACTCTTCTCATTTTATGGATAGAATTGCCCTAAAAAATCAAATTGGTGTGTTTGATTGCAAATATGTGTATTTGAAGAGAGCTGTTTATATTGTTATTTTATTGAGTGTATTTAAGGAGAAAGTGATCAATAATCTTTAATGAGTTTACCATCTTGAGACTTACCGGTAGATCAAGAAAATCTCTAACACAAGTCTTTTTGCATGTAGCATTTTTGTAAAATGTAAACGTATGGACACACAATGACATGAAACATTTATGGATAAGAAATTCTTCATTGACTGAGCAACGATTCAGGTTTATTTCTTGCCCAGGAAGCAACAGACTTCTATTAAAGTTTCATAAACATGTCATGTGTTCATATTCTTCCGACTTCTAAATACCATAAAGTTTTTTATGAAAATATGAAGACATGTTCCTATATACAGGATAATTACAGTAAGGCTGAAGGCAATAGAGTTCACACAAAGACTCTTACCGCAAAGATCCAGCTTATGATGTCAGTATTACTTAGAACACAGTCAGTACAGATCTTGTCTAGAAATTGGTAGCATTTCAAGAAGCAGTCATTGCCAGTATCATCAGACAAGTGTACATAACATGTCCATCTCAATAACAACCTCAACAATAAAAGTGTATCAAATGATTGGTAGTGAAATCCTGAAGAACGGTCTACAATGGTTTATAGTCCAAGGGAGACAACTCTGTTGATAATCATCACACATTCTGAACTGTCAGAACGTCATGCAAGTTTTATTACATTTATAACACTTTTCAGCACACTATTTGCAATAGGCACTCGAAGTTTGATTATTGTTTACGTCATCTTCAACCCTTGGGGCTCCTAACTTGGCACGGTCGGTAGTGTGCCTGTTGGTAGGAATCAGCCCCCTCTGTCAGCACCAGCACAAAGTGTGAGAGATTCAACATGCTAAATTACTCCTGCAATTATGCCTGGGAATGGTAGAAGTGATACAGTGTTTGATCATATCATTTATTCTCATAAATCATGTTGAGTTAAACAGTAAAGGTACAATTATAGAAAGGTTTGTTTTTCAAACAACATTATTTTTCCAACGAATGTATCAAATGGTATTTTTACAAAGTTTCCAGTGATACCTATCTTTGTTTTAGTCCTGTGGAAGCATCTGGTCACGGTTTCTCATTGTGTCTCAATGTAAAGGGGTGTATAATTCTATTGCGAGGCAATAACAGGAATGCCTCATGCTTGTTTTAACAGAATCAGCTAATAAATATGGTAATGACAATTACATAGCCAACCAGATCCCTGATTGAGTTGAGTGACTTCAGTACTGGGTCCTGTTTCACACAGCGATCGTAGTTCTATGGCTCTCGTAAGTCTATGATAAAGTATGTGACTTACGATCGTGTCAGATGACTAGTAAGTCATTGATAAAGTAAGGGAGTCAAAATCGTCTTATTGGTACATCTGTCGTAAGTCTATGATAAAGTATGTAACTTACGGTCATCTTAGCACTATAATTTACTTAAATAGGTGTGTGTGATTTAAATTCATGAAAGTACTACCACTGTCATAAGTCTGTGATAAAGTATGGAATTTAGGAATCTCAGCCATTTGTCTGTGTTAAAGTATGCCATGGCTGTCGCAAGTCTGCATTTAAGTTTAGGACTTGTGATGACATTAGCACTATAACCGCTTTGTGGAATCAGACCGAATACTAAAGTCATGAATTGGACTCATCACTAATGGATACTGATTATACAGCCTTGAATCATTGTTTACGAGCCGATATCTCCCACTTGACAGTGCCTGTCTGTACAGTACCCAGTTGTGCCACACCAGTCACATGGTCTTGGGGTAAATCTTAGCTGGTTCCATTTGTAGCAAATTTTTACTACTTTCAAACTTTTATGAAGAAAATGTTTGACAAATAAATTGGGCATCAATATATTAAATTATATCTGTTTGGATTTAGTATTGCAGTTTGCTTGTGTTTCAGTCTCTTATTTCTAGGACTTTAAACGCTTGTTGCATAATGATTACTGTTTCCCAGTGAATCATGGTATCGGTTAAGTAAGGCAGACACTGCATTTTCTAGTTGATGCATTTAATCAGCTGTTACATTTGCCATCTGTTTGTAGCTCATGATGTGTCATTTTGAAGTAGAACGATTAGCCAGCATTGTTTAGTTCTTTATCATTTATGAAACCTTTTAAGAACAGATGCATTTAATTTTTCTCTTTACATGTTTTTTGGGTCGGTAAGCCAAGAGGCAGTGTTGTCAGGGTTGGGTAATGTTCTTCAAATAACCTTTCTAACAAATATACATGGTAGAAAGTATGTATTAAAACATCTTACAGTGTTATGAGTCTAGCATACGTCTATAAACGTTAGTAGCTTTTGTTCATCCTTAGTGAATTAAATGGTCTGTATCAACGAAAATATGTATTTTAATGCATACCAATCAAAACAAGATAAGGATCACCATCGGTAGTCCATGCCAGATCATGCATGGTCATATGAAAACACTGGTGTTCCCTACAACCTTTGAATAGTATAGATGTGTTTTACATGTCAGTGTTCAACAGGTCAAATTTGTCAGGTCTGCATTTTAATGTCTACAATGGATTCAAGTAGGTGGAATATATGCATGATTTTGTATGTGATACTTACCAAATATGCAAAGATACACTCTGATACTGTACCAGATAAAAATATATAATATTTTAGCATTATTATTGAATTAAAATGACTTCCACAGAGATATTGAAATATTTTCAGACAGTTATAAATCAAGTCTTTGTAATTTTACTCCCAACAGGAACAGCCTCAGAGTGTATGGAGTTGACCACTGTGATAATTTTGTAAAGGATATGAAGGGAATTTATATCAGAAAAGGCAGAATATCTCGTAAGGTACACATTTTGTCGTCATTGTCATTAGTATATGACATGTAAAGCTTTAAACCTTCACCATGTACAAAATCCCTTCCCCCCCCCCCTCCTCATCATCACACCCTTCTAAGTTGCAATCAAAGTGTGAAAAGACAAACCCACATCTTTGTATGTTGAAAATGAAATTCAGATGTCCTCGGACCAAAAGATTCTCATGATATGCAAGAACAGATCTTCATTAAGGATGCAGGATAGTCCCCGTGTATGAAGGGGATGAGGAGAAAATGAGTGCTATATATATGATTCCAACAAGACATTTTGTTTCACCTTGTAATAAAGGTTAAGCTGTACATTATTTACACAGATATTAACCACGAAATATCTTTAATATATCTAAGTAATTTTAAAAGTTGTGTATTTTGTCACAGCATGAACCAGAATCCAATTTTTCAATACTCCCCAGTAAGTTTCAAGGCCCGGTAACCTAGAGTGCTTGTAACAAATGAAATGGTGAGTCTTTGACTAAGCATCAGGGTTACGACTGTCGTAGCGCTAGAATCGCTCTGCAGAACAAGCCCCAGGTCCCTGTTCAGTGGCTGTTGTACTACATACCAGGATCTTGTTCCATATATTGACCTTAAGTCTATAGTGAGTCTTAGATTGAGCATTAGAGTAAGATCACACTGCAGAACAAGCCCCTGGGTCCCGTTTCACAAGGCTCTCGTAAGCCTAAGATATCATAGCATTCGCACCTCCTATACTGTAACATAGGAAGTACAAATGCTACAAGAATAGTTACGAGATCTTAGCCTTACGAGAGGTTTGTGAAACGGGGTCCAGGTCGATAGCAAGGGTTTGTTCTAATACATGCCTCGGCCCTTATTCTCGAAACGTTCATAGCCTTAAGAATTCTTAACTTTGAGTGTAGCCAATGTGTTAAGAATGGGCTTACGAAGTTCGTAGGGTTACGAACGTTTCGAGAATAGCTAGCCTGGACTTCAGTCCACAGAGCAATCTTAACATAAAATCTATCGTAAGTGTATGATACGGAATTTTTGTTACAACGGCCTTAGTGGTAAGATCACTCTGTAGAACAAGTCCCTGGTCAAGGGTTTGTTCTAATACATCCCTGGACCTCAGTCCACAGAGCAATCTTAACATTACGTTATCGTAAGTGTAAGATACGGAAGACAGCGCTACGATCACTCCTCAAGTCCCAGGTCAACACTGGTCTGTTGTATCAGGCCTGTCCCTTGAAACAAATAGGGTACACCATGGCAGCTACAGATCTCACCAGGACAATCTCTGTCCCCAATGCTTATTTGTGTCAGTACAATGTACCATTATTCATTTGCACGTATATCAGACTTGCATTGCTTGATGCTAGGTTTGATAGTTTATATGTATGTATATTGATTCATCCTCTTTCAATTTTCACTTTAGTAATTTATTCAAAAATATTTGTCTCACCTGAGCGGATGTGCACGTCACAGTGACGGCTGGTTCGCAGCTGCTCGACCAGTCCAGAGGAAGCCATGTAAGTTGTTCTAGACTCGGAACTCAATCTGGGGATGGTTTATTTATTGCTCTTCTAATTATTATCAGTCCATTTGTTTCTTTTTTTCTTCTAGACAATGATGCAGGAGATGAAATAAAGAAATAATTTTGTTTGTCAGGGTTCGCTGTCAGTTAATTGAGGTAAATATGATTGCAGTACTTGTTTTTAGGAATTAATTCTTATCACTCTAAACATATAAAGGGTAACTGTTAATTTTCTTTATGAAAAGAAGCAGTAAAAACTAAAAGAACATTACAATCAACATCAGATATTGAGTGAAGACTTTAACAAGAACAACGAACACAGCAGTTGTAATGGGTTTTGTTCAGTGTGGAGCTAGAATAGTTCTGGGTCCCGAACCACAAAGTGTTCCTAATGTTACGACCTGTTGTTACTCTTTACTTTATCATAGGCTTACAAATGTCGTAGCACTATGATGGTTTTGTGGATTGAGACACTGATCGTAACCTGTGCTAGGTATTTATTTCTGTAATTTCACTTTAAGATGTAAGGACTTTAAAGTTTACATATTTAATACTTAATGTTAAACTGGTTTAGTGTCAGTTTGTACTTAACCTAGTTCTTCAAAGATAAATACAATAAAATAGTAGATATGCTCTTCCTCATCATCTGCTCTGAAGGCTGAAATGGGATTGTTGGGATTGTTGTTGTTAGAGTCCAATATGGCAAGAATACCTTAGAAGTCCATGAACCTGCTACAGTGAGTATAGCACGTAGGGACTACATCCTCAGTGGGTGATATAGGGTGTTATTGCCCGAGTGACTGGCCAGAGAGAGGCTAGTTGCCCAGAGTATGAGACTGGTAAGCAGATCGAGCGTTGTGTTTGTGTGTGTGAGTAGTGTGAGAGATTTTATCTTGAACATCACAATGTATATGGCAGTTATACACATCACTTTATCTTTATGAAGCAATCTTTGATCACTGTTTTTATTTATTAGAAATAAACCTATTATTTTATACACCCTGTTAGTTCTTGTTTTTATTTGAGTAAGTAAGTATGGAATTATTCTGCTTTGAGCATTATTCCAGTGTTGGACACACTATGACTGGGCTTAACGCACTGTACCAGGACAAGCCTCCATGATCCGTTCCGGTGCAGGCAAACCCATGTGATCGATTCTGGTGCAGACAAACCCATTTGATCAATTCTGGTGCAGACAAACCCATGTGATCAGTTCCAGTGCAGACAAACCCACATGATCTGTTCTGGTGCAGACAAACCCATGTGATCAGTTCTGGTGCAGACAAACCCATGTGATCAGTTCTGGTGCAGACAAACCAACGTGATCAGTTCTGGTGCAGACAAACCCATGTGATCAGTTCCGGTGCAGACAAACCCATGTGATCTGTTCCAGTGCAGACAAACCCACATGATCAGTTCTGTTGCAGACAAATTCATATAGGAAAAAACACAAAATATCAAAACAGTCAACTCTGGCGAATCTTTATATAACCTCATTCAAAGCTTTGATGACAATGAGGTGGTTGTACCATCTTAACTTATTACATCATAAACCTGACCCAAAACAAATCCTCAAATTCTAAGGTGAATTTATGTTACAATCATGTTCCCACTGTCACACCTACTTTTCTCACTAATATAACATGCCTTGGACTTTTACACAAGATTCTAAGTTCTCAAAATGTGTATATTGTTGTATACTCCCCAGGGAGTTGAGATTGATAATGCGAGGTGCCGTTGAGATTGACATCCAATGATCGAGGGAAAAAATACCAGCGCCTTGAGCATGCACTAGTGCGTGGATATGTGTGCTATATAAATATCCTATAATAATAATAATAATAGTAATAATAATATATTCCCCAGGGAGTAGAGAATGGAATGGAACACAAAGAGAGACACTACTGTTCCGGGGTTCTTAATGAAAACAATCCAGTGAAAGATTAATACAAGACAATGTACAACATCATAATGACAAAGATTGTAGTCACATGTGACAAAATCTAACTCTTTTTGCATGCTATATATAACTTTTTTTTGAGTAAAACACATCCTCCTGAATGGAAATCTGTTATGACTATAGTCATGATAAAAATACAGTGTCCTTAACAAATTTCAAGTTTTGTCAGATCATAGGTTTTGGGACATCATACATTTTCTGACAGCTGTGCTACTCGAGTCATAACGAGGACTGTCGGGTCACACTGATACTGTAAACTCTGGAATGGTGGCTTGTGTATGGGATAAGGTTATCTCATCAATCAATCAACATCACAAATCAACATCATCATCAGTCATACTATTTTCATCACAAGCTTCTCTTGAGTACAACAGTTCGGCATATATCTGTAATCCTCCTCGTGTGACGGAAGACAGGACCCAATGTCAAGGACATTGGGGGCCATTCATTCCCATTTCCAGCACGAGCTGTACGGAGTCAGGTTGTTACAGACTCCAGCCACCATCAATGATGAACTCCTGTCCGGTTATATACGAGGACTGAAACAACAAACAGGGTTGGAAACAAACAAACAAATGATCTTTGACATATACGGCTTGAAACCAAGAAAACAATATATCCTTGACACAATACACGGGGCTGGGAACAAACACAACAATATATCCTTGACACAATACACGGGGCTGGGAACAAACACAACAATATATCCTTGACATATCATATGAGGGTATAAACAAATAGAGAAACACTAGATCCATGTTTACAAACAAACAGTTCGTCCTGCCCCATTATGTAACAAGACTGGTAACTTTCATTCCCATGAACGAGAAATCCAAGTTAACTCACACATGTGCCACACATCATAGAGTTGTATTACTGTAAACCAGAAAAAACTATGGCTGACTGTACATAAAACCATCCCCACCTCAAGGTCAACCATTGATGCCAAACAAACCTCATGTTGTAAGATTTTGCGACAACTTGTAACCTCATCTGGATTACAATGGAGGGATGGGTGCATCACTGCATCAGTTCACACGTACCTCATCTGATGCTAGATACAGCACCAAGTTGGCAATCTCCTCTGCTGTTCCCAGACGCCCAAACTTCTGACGTGCAATGAAATCTTTCATAGCCTAAAACAGGGAGTTTGTTGGTTGCAAAGGATGAAAACAAATGATTAACACATAATTAACAGGACTAAACAGAGAAAGCCTGAGTGATTCTTCGGCACATAAACTATATGTTTGATTATACTTATCCTTACTTTCTTTTTTGTTCTTTTGACAGAGGAGTGAAATTGACCAGGAAGAAACTTTTCAGGCTCTCTAAACAGCTGTCCTGAACACATCCTGCTCAAGGACGTTCAGGAGGCTGATGCAGATGATGTCAGCAATGACAATATCTGTACCATCACAACAAAAATAATCCTGCCAATATATTGACTTACAGTAGCAGTTGCACTGTTGTTGAGAAGCCTTGGTTGGTTCATCAATACACCATATGTTACCTAGACAAGATATATCCTTGCCACACCCACCTGTTCCGGGTCTGGCAGGGCATTGATTCTGTCCCTGAGTGAAGGCGTGTCGACCGTGCCTATAGAATAACACAGTGAGTTAACAGTGAGTGAATGTTGTTTTATGACATACATCAGCATGTCAGCAGTGTATGAAATAAGCCAAAGACCCAGCCAGACATCTGGGCTGGTAACTTCAAAAACTTACCAGCTCAGAAGAGATTTAATCAGTCCTTCTTAAATACTAAATAGGCAGTGCCAGTGGACACGTTATCTGAATATATTTTTTTCACCCGTCCATCGGGCTGGCTTGCTGTAAAATTAGACCGTCCGGCAGAAATCTAGCCCGTCTCGGGCGGTCGGACGGCCTTATTTAATACACTGATGTCAGTACTACACAAGTTTGCTACTAGTTCACCTGTTCATGAAGGGATACAATTCATACAATGTTGTTTTGAACACACGATTTTTTAAATATCTTTATTCTTTTTTCAAAGTATTCCATCCCCTAGAACAGGGTGTACATTGTACATGTACTTATACATTATACCCACATTACCAAAGACCAAATCTGGGTCAAGCAAACAAACGTTTCATCTGAGCAACAATGGTCTTGATGGGATGGGATGATAGCATTGTATTTTACAGACATGAGGTTCTGTCCACTAATGGATCAAATACAAAGGTCATATTCTGACCCAGAACCTCCAAGTGGGTAGCACAACAGACAACATAGTTTGAATCTAAAAAAATATCATTGCCATCAATGTCGCATATTAAGATTGCACTTGGAGACGACATCAGTCTGGTCACTTTAGGGTAAGCCATTAAACTGTCTCCTATAAAACAGCTTACCAGGACAGATGCAGTTGAATCTGATTTGCTGGGCACAGAAGTCAGCAGCCATCGCCTTGGTCAGCCCAATGACAGCTGCTTTGGTAGTAGCGTACACAAATCTGTTAGGGGTACCTGTCATGTACAAGGTAAACTAAGTTTAAACATTAACAAGGTCTTACAGTGGCAGTACTAAACAGAGTGGCAGAACAAATTAAAAGGCAGTAAACACAAAAGCAGCGGATATATAAAAAAGGCAGCGATGATAATATTCTCCTCACTGCAACAATGGTGAATTTTCTAAAATAAGGCCTTGGCTGAAACTTCAGGGTAAGAATGACCTGCACACAATTGCTGATCTTGTTTAACTTGAGATGCAATGTGAGATGAGAGGCAAGTGTTAGCTCCCCTTGTTTACCAGGCGATTCTAAAGTTCTCTGAGTAAGAATATAGTGGAAACACCCAATGGGTTATAGTACTCTGTTGTACCTTGTAGAACACTGTCTAGCTACAGCACACCCCTGCACCACTACTGTACAATGTTATACACAACATTGTTACACAATGAATAACATTATCACATAGCAATATACTGGGGCACCTGTCATGTACACCAATGACATCTCACCCTACCACACAAAGCTAACCTGGTATTGCATGACATTCCCAACAGCAGAACATACGAGTTCAGTGCTTGCATGATATGCATATCAAGTTCAATGATGAAATATTTGAAAAATATTGAACTGAACAGATATAGGAACCTGTATCTCTATATCCCCTACAACCATCTCTACAGCTACAACATAACATCTTCACCTTTGATACTGGAGGCCATGGAGGACATGTTGATGATATCCCCTATAATCATCTCTACAGCTACAACATAACATCTTCACCTTTGATACTGGAGGCCACGGAGGACATGTTGATGATGCTGCCTGACTTTTGGGTTACCATCTGAAAATCATGCATGCATTGAAGATATAATGATGGTGGTGAGGTGGAACATAGCGTTCAAGATGATTGTACATAAACATGGCTGTGTAATGCTTATACCAACAGAGGCAATATCAGGTTTAGTATTGATACCCCAGTCAGCCCTATATACAGATGCCAAGCTGACCAGAAGTTATTACAGACAGACAGACAGATAGTTTACTATAACTTCACTTTGTGTAAACATTAAAATATCATCTATAAAAGATATATACATAAAAAATAGAATCATAAATATACACAAACCAGTCGTTTAGGAGTTATGAGAGACTGAAAATAATTAAAACAAACAGCACAACTGTACAACACTAGTGAGATAAAAAAAAATTTCGTCTTATTAAAATACTATTGCAGGTTTTGGCACATATAACAGATAGGCTTTCTTTTTGGAGAAGTACTGACCATTTGTCCCAGTCAATTAGCATATAAAATTCCTAACACACAATGAAGCTTCTTTCAGCAAATTTAAACGTAAATCATACTATGTCCTGGGCAGTTAAAAATGACATCTGCTTCATCTTCATTGACGTGATTGTTACATAGGGAGCAAGTTCTATCCTCCACTGTGAAGCTTCATATCTCCCAGTTTCTATAGCCTGATTGGGTCCACTCCATATCTGAACTTCGCAAGGGCGCTGTGTTGATAAGTTTGTAACGGTAACTGCACGTAGTGTTTGACGTTGTAGTCACGTTTAAACAAGCAGTAAGTTCGAAGTTTACCTGTGTTGTTGCTAAAACGTTGTTTCCAATCACTTTTGAATTTCTACAAAAAGCTTCTGTGATATAGTATCTATCGTTCTTGGAAGTGTAAACTGTGTGCTGCAGAGTTCTGTACATCCGTTATCATCAAACAGTTTATGAATTTTGTAATACCAGTTCTTGCAGTTACATGACTTACTCTCCTCAGCCCAGATGAAGATTTTCTTATTCAACCTTGTGTCTCTCATTGTAACATACCTTTTCCATTGTCTTAACACTGCTTCTCTTTGCACGATAGATATCGGTTTCCATCCCAGATCTCCTAACACTGGATCTGTTGGAGTGTATCTCCCTACATTTAGAAAGAATCGCCCAGCCCTGTGCTGTATAGCATTAATACAGGAGTAGTCCTGGAGTCCCCAAGTCGTTATGTTATAACAGGCTAGACAAGGTTGTCAAATAACTTTGTAAACACCCTGGAGTTCATGCCTCCTAATTGCTTGCTGTTTGCGATCAAAAGCCCAACGCCCGGCTAGCAGACTGAGCTACAGCCTTGCAGTCACATTAAGATCCAGATATTCATGCAGCACGAGTCCCAGATAACAGTACCTGTCCGCCATATTCACTGTGACGTCTCCACGCGTAAAAGTAGACCGGGTTAATGGGACTGAGGGATTTCGGAAGTGCATGATCTTAGACTTGTCCGTGTTAAGACTTAGCTCCAGGCAGGGTAACAATAAGTGACAAGTTTTAAAATTTTGTCAGTATGCTGCTGACGGGTATTGAACCACAAACCTTGGCGACAGTCACTAACAGCAATACAATAACAACATAATGATTACCTATAACATTGCTGATGTCTCAGCGACTGAACAAATGCATGTGAAGCTCCACCATGACAGTAGAAGTTGGGGGCAGCCTAGTGGCTAAAACGCTCGCTGTCACACCAAAGACAGGGTTTGATTCCCCACATAGGCACAATGTGTGAAGCACATTTCTGGTGTCCCCCGCTGTGATATTGTTGGAATATTGCTAAAAGTGACGTAAAACTAAACTCACTCACTCACTCAGTAGCACTTGCCCTAATTATCTCCCCTGACTGTGCCCTCTGTGGCTCACCTTGGGGAGGATCTGTTTGCACATCCTGTACATGCTCTTCACGTTGAGGTCGAAGGAAAAGTCCCACGACTTTTCATCACAGTCCAATATGGTGCCATTATGAACAAACCTTTGATCAGAGAATGAAATATCAGGGAGTCTAACTAAAATATACCACAGCCAGTTAGATGTATACCGGTACATATGGAAATTAATCAAGCAACACCTAATTCTGTGAATTAAGAAAACAGATAATTTTTCTGAATGATTTATTAACATTTTGCATCTCGTTATCAACAGGAGATCCTTGAGAGGGCTGTTTTGATTTTCCTCACCCTTTCTTTTCACTGCAACATTCATATGGCATGAACATCTTTGACACATTTTATGCACCAGTTCATTAAAGTTGCTCAGTCTGAGAAGATATGGGAGTTCCATGTGTATATGTATCACACCACCTGATATACAGCAGGTTATATGCACGTATCACACAACATGATATGATATAATGTATGATTAACAGATGAAACATGCCAATGCCAACCACATACTCTATTTTTATCATATTTATTGCTGTTATTTTCATTCATTTTAATCGAAAATGTATATAAAAAGTATGAACCCAGTGGTTTTCTTGAAATGCATTCAAAAATATATATTTAATTTTTACAGAAAAATGAGGATAAGAGCTCCTTGTGGACAAAATTAAATAAAGTGAGTCAGGCTGGGATCTTTATCAACTAATTCTGGGAAATGTCTTACCCAGCACAGTTGAATACAACATCAATCTTGTCAAACTTGGCAATAAATGCTTCAACATCCGCCGTTGATGTGACGTCCAGGAGCTGTGTCTCAATACCTGTAAAGGTCAAAGATGGACCACTGTGTTCACAAACCCACGATGAGAGATATATGGTTACAACTCTTTCTGATCACCAAGATATTTTACCAACCCTTTTCATGCTTATCCACTTTTGTCTCCCAAGTGATCTCCCTTGAAAAGGATGCATATTTTAAACCAAAATTTCATGTCATGTTTATTTACACTAAAAAAACTATCTTCTTAATTAATGCATTAATACAATATGTTTCTATTTATAATGAGGAATGCAACGAAATGATACAAGCATGAAATACTACCTTTTACAGATTCAAGCTCCTTCAGCTTGTCAGTGTTGATGTCTGTTGCAATCACCCGGGCTCCCTCCCTCGCCAGCGCCTACAGTGAAACTCGGAGTCAGTGTGTGATACACCCCTAAACCTTCTTTACTGAGCCCCTAAACCTTCTTTACTGAGCCCAGTGTGACAAAACAAAGATTCAGACAATCATGGCTGACATTTGAGCACCACCTGTTTAGTGTACTGATTGGAAAGAATAGGTCATTAAAGTGTAATGTTGCACTTTGGTCATATTTTCTTGTGGCCTACTGCTTATGAAATGATCGGAGTTTTCTCCCTTTGAATCATGATGTTTCACCTCTAACCCCACAACAAGTGATGTTTGTGTATCTGTTTAGGAATGTGAATTTTGAAAAATGCTTATGACCCAGATACTATTTTCCAGATGAATATGCATTCGTTTAATCAGAAAGGTTCTAAACAGCACCAACTTCCCCCCTTAAATGGTTACCACGCCAAGAAAATGATAAAAAGGTAAAAGTTCAACTTCACAAACAATGAGGAAAGTTCAGATATGGGAAGAATATTTGGCATCACATGTGAACATAACAATCAGTCAGTTTGGACTTCCACTCTTAAGTATAGTTGCAGGGAACAGTGTCTTGTAGCAGTGACAGCACAGAGTGACAGCACTAGGGATACTACTGAGAGGGGCGTGCAGTCAAGGTAATGACTATATGTTTAAAGTGGTATTGTTATACATCACGTTCTGCTTTATTCCAACCATGACACAAACCACTCTGTAATGTCTGTAAACGTCTGATCGATAACACATTTGTTGTTTATACCAGGTTTATTCTTCTTGACTGTGTGAGCAGATACAGCAGATGGCGGATGGAAACATGTGGCATTTCTTAAATCACTGCACCACTCACTCACAGGAGGTAATCATTACATCTCACTGCAACGTCCACTATAGAACACAGCCCTCACATGCCATGAGTGGAGTCAAGGCACAAAATGGATTATTTATTCAACACAATGACTTTACAACACAATGACTTTACAACACAATGACTTTACAACACAACAACTTTACAACATGACTTTACAACACAACAACTTTACAACACAATGACTTTACAACACAACGACTTTTACAACACAACACAACACAACAACTTTACAACACAACGACTTTACAACACAACAACTTTACAACACAACGACATTGCAACACAACTTTACAACACAACTTTACAACACAACGACTTTACAACACAATGACTTTACAACACAACAACTTTACAACACAACAACTTTACAACACAATGACTTTACAACACAACAACTTTACAACACAACAACTTTACAACACAACAACTTTACAACACAATGACTTTACAACACAACAACTTTACAACACAACTTTTACAACACAATGACTTTACAACACAACAACTTTACAACACAACAACTTTACAACACAACTTTACAACACAACAACTTTACAACAAACAACTTTACAACACAACAACTTTACAAAACAACTTTACAAAACAACAACTTTACAACACAACAACTTTACAACACAATGACTTTACAACACAATGACTTTACAACACAACGACTTTACAACACAACGTCTTTACAACACAACGACTTAACAACACAATGACTTTACAACACATCTGACCTGGATTCATGGTCAAATAATCAAATGACAATGATTCTTTCAGAACAATAAAATTTCATGTCCAAGATATTTTTATTTTATTTAATTTTTTTAATTTCCCTCACGACCTTTCGAGACCATTCCATGGAATGGTCTCGAGACGTCATGAGGGAAATTAAAAAAGAAGAAGTTTAATCCATAAAAATATCTTGGACATCAATGTACAACTTCTAAATGCCACTGAAAGACATAATAACATTTCATGTAGAATTAATATAATCTACAAACAAATGTACAGTTTGTTGGGACCAACATTATGTAGCTTAAAGTAATGTTGTCATGAATACTAGCATACCTGGCAAAATGCTGTAAAGAAAGAGTCTAGTTGAAATTAACAATCTGCTTTACAGACAAACTGTGACCTTTCATTTTCATAAACTGTACACAATGAAATGCACAAAAGATTTCATATTAGAAAAGTTGTTAATTGTGATAGGAATCTACATAACAATCATTACTGTAGAGTTGTTAGCTAAATTATCATTTCCATCCAATCCTATACTAAAAAAAGTGTGCACAAACTTACCTTTTAAAGAATATTGGAAGGATAAAAACAGAAGATGTCTTCAGGCTAGAATAATGACCATGACCCTTTTGACTCTCACGGAGGCTAATCCAAGTTCATACTCTAACTCGGAGTGACTTCCCCTTGTATACATGTTGCTGAATGAGCATCTAGTTCAGTGGTACAGTCACTTTAGCCTTTATTTTTCATGGTTCACATTGATGTCAATCCTACATCATTATTTTCAAGTAATAAACAATTAGATATTAGACATAAGGTTAAACCATCCACAATTCTCAGCAGTTTGTACATAACAATGTATAGGGACATGCAGTTTTCACAACTGAGTTTAAAACATATTTTTAATCATTTAACAAAGAGAGAAGCTTATTAAAATATTTAAACTGGATGCTAAATATCTGTTTCTATTTTTGTGAAAGTACATACTGGCAAACAAGGAAAAGTTGGACCGGCGCAGAGAATGTGTTTACAAGAAGTAGGCGGTGCACGGCAATGAGCAAACCCATTGGTTTGTGAAAGGTAGAGATGTAGGGTAGTGCACGTGCATTGCATGACAATGAAATTGATTCATCGTGTAGCTGCACACACCTTGCTCATAAGACTCTCACGCTGGTGTAGCAAGTCACACTACACTTGATCGCGGACAACCTGCATGGAGCCCCTTCACTAACAATGTCAAGCACCAGAGGGCAGCACCCATACATGCTAATACGGGTCAATTGTCAGGTCGGTGGTCAACTTATACTTGTTTGCCAGTATATTTGTTTCAATTCCTAAACAGTATGGAACATTTTTTAATACTGACAATATACATAATTAATACCAAGTGATAGTACAATTTCAACAAATATTAGGTGGTAAGAGCACCAAAGATATCTTAGCCCTATAAAATGCCTGATGGGCATGTTCTCATTTCGCCTACAGTCTTTAAACAACATTTCATGGTCTGTTGACTGTTGATTATGCATTGGTAAACTAGTGTCACCCCTATGATCTAAAAGTGGACTCTTCTAGTTAAAGTAGTTTAAGGACAAAAAGAATTTATTTCTGTTATTTGTCAGTTATTCTGTTATTTGTCATTTCCCGATCACAATGATATTCCTGTGGCAAGAACATCCTGAACTTTGATCAGCTTGGAACAACCAGCCTGGCTGTTTAATAAATAGACCAGAATAAACCTATCGGCCTCACAACCCACAGCCGTTTGTATTCTGTAATGAACGCAAACAAGGCGCTGTTATATTCACATCATATCACAAATTCACGTCATATCACAATAGTATTAAGGAAGTTAACTTGTGCAGATGTCCACTTAGGAGATAAACATACTGTGTTGGAAAATTAGAGGTTTATAATGAAATTATAATAGCTTTAAATTTTAATTAAACCCTACGTATAGCGTGAGGTTTTAAATACAAAATTCAGAGCTATTATAATTCTATCTCTATTCTACCATAACCGTGTTATTAATATTAAAAATAATACATATTGTATTGGAAAATCAGTGAAACAGGATTATACATGTATACCTCTGAATGACTGTGATTAACCACAATCCAGTCTCAACTTGATAAGGTGATCAGCCGCGTCGAGGGCCTAAAGGGGTGATCTTTAGAACAAATGTATTATGTTACCTACGTATACGTATAAATACTAAAATAGTTTGAGCATTTTGAACATTTGTGATGTGCTTTCTTTGAATACAAATGTCAGTTGAAATATTTGGTAGATGAAATTTAAGATGTAATGATTTTAGTGCAATTTCTATTTCCATCAGTGAAAATGACATTGCTACTTTTCGATAGACACAGAGACCAAACAAAGAGAAAGCCTTACACTGGTTGTAAACAGTCTTTATTCACATTTCCTATGCACTTAGATAAACAATTTCTAAACTGTTCGATGTTTTAATATACCAGCTATGACTTAATTTGACATATATAAACGTTTATGAAATATAAGGAATTATGCGATATTTGTTTCATTTTTTTTATCTTCCACCCAAAATGTAGTTTTTGATGCATTTTCAAATTTATTTGTACTTACCGAAAGTTCCAACCGTTGTCTCCCAGATGAATAAGATAGATGTGTAACAATGATTTGTTTTGTTTGTGAAAAGAACACTAAGTGGTGCTATTTCACTTACACCAAACAAAGGTATCAAAATGGTTCTATTTTCGTAACGCTTGAGGTTATGTAACATGAAAGAAACCATGATATGGCTTCACAGTTTCTATAGTCATTAATATATTGTGCATGCAGAACAACAGTAAATTTGGATGTTAGGCAACATATAATCCATCTAATCACAGGATATACAAGGTATGATGTTGGTATTTGTAGGTAATTTAGAAAATGAGCCTTCAAATTCACTGATCCACCAACTTGTCACTTTTAGAGATTAGTGATGGCAACTGATTTTCACAAGAGGCAAATATGTTGACTTTACATTGGTACAAAGAATTACAAGGTGCAAGCAATTCTACTTTGGACACCTTATACCTAGCTGTGTACACTTTTCGTTAGAATCGAACACATATCTTTATAACAACAGTCGATCAAGATGTAGTGTGGCACTGACCAGTGAGTCAGGTTCATTATAAGAGTAGGGGTGAAATTTCTAATGCAAATTAGCCTACAGTATTTTTGTATGCGAAATGGGATGTAGGCGAATTGAGATGTAGGCGAATAGAGACTAAACCGGTGCATGATGGAAAATGACTTGATGTAACATGACTGAATATTACATAATGGTGCCTGAATATTACATAATGGTGTATGACAGAATATAGCTTTATTCTTCATGAATTGTACAACAGCTGTTGTTCATCCATCTGCATGACAGAGCCCACATTTGTTTTACAAACTCTACTACAGACAATGTGCATGATCACAATGCAATGTAAGCTTCTTTGAAACAAGAGTACATCTATATAGAGAATATGTACTTACCTCAGCTGATGCTCTGCCGATGCCTTGTGCAGCAGCAGTAACGATAACAACTTTACCATCAACGCGACCCATGTTGCTCCACACCTGATGCACGAGCAGTGACTGACGATCTGGAACACACCAGTGTATTGAACAGACACGGTAAACTGGAGGTGACCAATATGTCCCCTGTATTCGTGATGTCACGTATAGTCAAAGGTCAAGGTTGCCAGATGACAGTCAGCTGTTTATCAGCTGTTGGTCAAGTCAAAACAATATTGTAACGATTAGTAACATCTTGGTCATGTGACAAGTATACAGGTGTAATGTCCCACAAATGTATTGATTTCTGAACATGAGGCATTTGATGGCGATTATATTTTTATATTTTTATTATTAGGAGAAAATATTCATATTTGCCAGTTCAAGTGATTGCATTAATATAAAAGCAGGTTCATGTTACATATTCATGTAAGATAAATGGCTGGCTGCACAAAGCATAACATTCAGTCGGTTTGACGTATGGTGAAATGATGCAGTATAATTTTAAAGCATTTCCAAAAGATCTTTGCAAACGCTTTCACACAGGACAGACATATCCTGACAAGACAACTTCATTTTGGATTACATCTTCTGACCATTTCATATTTTATTTGAGCAACTCTCATATACCAGAGATCATATACCAATATGAAATTAATGATTCTTTACATCCCTGTTCCATGTTTGGAAAATAGACTAATCCACAGAAAACCACCAAACATCAGCATTATATGTTTGGTGGAAGAGTTCATTAAACAACTGTGGAGGATAGGTTATTACATATTATTGCCCTGTTTAAAGGTATACTTTGAGTGGTGTTATGTGGCAGTGATATATATTGTGTAACATTGTTCTAAGTGTTATACATTGTGCATGTGATATTCAGTGGTGGTGTGCTATATTCAGACTTGTACTATATTTTGATTGAGTTCTGGAAGGTACTACAGTGTACTACCACCCATTGGCTATTCTGATACAGGGATTTGGAGAATTTTCCTGCATGTTTTTCTTCGGTATATAGGGGGAGTTAACTCTTGTCTCTCATCTCACATGACGTTTTAGGATACAAGAGGATCAGCATAATGTGTGGTGTTCATTATACCCTGCCAGGCCTATTTTGCAGGTTGGATTATTGTATCTGAGAGGTGAATATCACTGCTCTTGTGCTATATTGCCTTTGAATCAATGTACTGCCAGTCTAGTTTGTACGGCCATAGAGATACCTTTGTGTTGATTGTGAAGTTAGTTAATGTTAGAATACAACCATTAATTACATCATGTGTCTTTGTTGTTTGTTGGTTTTACACCTAGGTGTTTTACAGGCTGAGTCTCAGGTAACGTTGTAGTCTCAACTAAAGCAACACATAACAGTGGGGAGTCAGCATGATTCGGAAACATCCATAGACTCTGCATGATCCATAACCACCAAGGTCTGTCCTCCAGGCTGTAGAGGCTGGGTAGTCTAATACTGGCCATACAATAATAATCACAAACCAGGCTCACTGTGATAATCACAGGTGAGAGACTGACCTTCACACAGTATTGAACAGAATTCAGTTATATTACAGTATGTCACAGATAATGTGCTATCATGGCTATAGAGAGTATGCTATCATGGCTATAGAGAGTATGCTATCATGGCTATAGAGCAATTGCTGTCAGGGCTATAGAGAGCTGTCATGGCTATAGAGAGTATGCTGTCATGGCTATAGAGAGTATGCTATCATGGCTATAGAGAGTATGCTGGCATGGCTATAGAGAGTATGCTATCATGGCTATATAGAGTATGCTATCATGGCTATAGAGAGTATGCTATCATGGCTATATAGAGTATGCTATCATGGCTATATAGAGTATGCTATCATGGCTATAGAGAGTATGCTATCATGGCTATATAGAGTATGCTATCATGGCTATATAGAGAGTATGCTATCATGGCTATAGAGAGTATGCTATCATGGCTATAGAGAGTATGCTGTCATGGCTATAAAGAGTATGCTGGCATGGCTATATAGAGTATGTCATCATGGCTATAGAGAGTATGCTATCATGGCTATAGAGAGTATGCTATCATGGCTATAAAGAGTATGCTATCATGGCTATATAGAGTATGCTATCATGGCTATATAGAGTATGCTATCATGGCTATATAGAGTATGCTATCATGGCCATAGAGAGTATGCTATCATGGCTATATAGAGTATGCATCATGGCTATAGAGAGTATGCTATCATGGCTATAGAGAGTATGCTATCATGGCTATAGAGAGTATGCTATCATAGCTATAAAGAGTATGCTGGCATGGCTATAGAGAGTATGCTATTAGGGCCATAGGGCATATGCTATCTTGGTTATAGCAATGAATATCTTAAAAATCAAACATAAACCTGATATTCAAATTTTCTTTTGCAAGCAAAGTCAATATCAGCTGATGTAGATCCATTGTATAGGAATGAAACTCTCCTTTAATTCATTTACATTGAGGAGCTGCTGCTGAATATATTTGCCACTTCTCAACTTTCATGATCCCAGTTTGGTTTTGTTTGTTTATTGTGTAACACCACTCACAGGACTATTCCCACTATATGGTGGCGGTCTGTAAACAATGGAGTCTGGACATTCCATTGGTCAACAGCATGAGCATCTATCTACGCAGTTGGGATATGATGACATGTGTCAACCAAGTCAGTGAGTCTGACCACCCGATCCCGTTAGTTACCTCTTACGTTAAGCATGGGTTGCTGAAGACCAATTCTAGCTCAGATCTTCACAGGTTTCATGATCCAAGAGGAACAGATTTTGGCAGCAACCTATCTTTACCCTCATAACACAATAAACCCAAAGTATGGAGATGTTATCATGCAATATTGTTTTGGGATGGTAAGTATTTTGGCATAGGAATATAGGATTTGGTTTCAAAATTAAAATAACAGAAGCATCTCCTCTATGGTGGTACTACATAAAATTTCAAACCACAGTAGATTTATCTCCTAGCTTGGAAATAGTTCATTTTTTTCTTGAGATATATCTACTTTTTATTATATTATTGGGTGACTTACATATTCTATAATTTAACAATAATATTTACTATTAATATACAGTCAAATCCCGATGAGTCGAATGCCGGTGTCTCGAATATTATGCATAACTCGAAGTACCTGTCGGTCCCCACCATTCTCTGTTATAGTTGTCATCATTTGATTTCCGGTTACACGAATTTGTCTCATAAATACACATGATGACTTGAGAAGGAAATTTGTTCCCATGAGATTCAAACAACAGCAATCTTGTATACATAAGCCGAAGTCTGTCAATGAGAAGTTGATTGGCGTAGCAAACTGATCCAATTAACAAACCAGCGCAGCTCACACCTTTCCGCCATTGACGGGTGAGTTCAAAAGGCTGATTAGTGATTTTTTACGGAAATCACTGTCTGTGCTAATGAGACTGGAACTGATAAGGTGCCCCTATTATTGATAGGGAAATCATTAGATAAACAAATGATTAGGCAGAGGAATTAGGACTGGATCATCCTTTTTTCTACCCTTATAGACATACCCATGTCTGGAATACATCGATAAGTCGAATTTATTACTTGGTCCCCAGCGATTCGACTCATCGGGATTTGACTGTAGTTGTAGGCAACGGTGAGGGCTCCTTGGCTTTAGTTCTATCTATTGTATCTGAGGGCTAACTGCTGAAAAACATGGCCCAAAACTGTAAACAAAAATAACTGCCAAACGGTACGTTTTAGCGACTTGACCTGTCCACACAAAATTGTTGGGAATTCGATTGTGCATCTGTACAAGAGATTTGGAAGTGTTGGTACAATTAGTTTTTTTAGATATTTCCTGTCAAACTTTGAAATTTTGGAATTAATTTTGAATTATCTCCCCTTTGCTATTGGGCCTAGAGCCTTGAGATTTTTAAAGGTCACATGCAACTAAAAAATCAAACATAATTAAAACACAATTATCACTTATTCATGACATATAATATACATTGCTGGTTATGAAAAAACATAAAAACAAAATTATAAGCATACAATCGCAAATCAAAAGTGCAATATTTTGTACTTGGGTTTACTTCCCAAGAAACGAACCAGCCGGGATACCGAACCCAGTCAGAGCAGGTGGGTGTGCACTCAAGTGTAATGGCTGGTTCATTTGCAGATGCCCTCACGGGTCATTGTGTGTGTATATATAGAGATGTTGGGTTTTGTAAATACATGCTCATTTTTTGTGTATAAATTTTGCAATCAACAGACATCATAACATGTCATGTGTACAAGTATCACACCTGCCTGTCTGTGTAGTTACATAATGTGACAGAGACCGAACTCGGGCCATAAATCAATGCGTTTTGTTTATGGTGTATAGCCTGATATAGGTGCCAATAAAACAGACATTGAGTTTTGTCTGTGACAACGACGTATCTATATCACAGTTAGAAATTCTGTCGACGCTAAAGAATGACATTGCTTTTAAGTATCGAACTGAGAAAGTGACTCGGTAAGAAGAACGTGTGGTGAAATAGACAAATGAAATTATATAAACAGTTAAATCGGTAATCTTCTGTAATAACATATAAAAAGCTCGCGCCTGTGAAATATCAACAAAACATTAGAAAAATAGCTCACACCAAAGCCTTCACCGAATATTCACCGGACAACCCGCTTCCAAGCTCCGCGAACCTATTTCACTGCACATGTGCTATGAGTGCAGCCCAGCTGTTGAAACCACTTCAATTCCCCCAAGCTCTGGGGGAAAGTTAGTGAATCGTTTGAACTACAATTTCGCGCTGGTTTCTTCATCGCGTTATTTTTCAACTTTATAATTTTAATTTGCATTTTTGATGATTTTTTTCAGTAAGTCCATACCGAAAGGTATCAGAATCTGCAAAGTTGTGTTTTACGTTGCATCAGAGACCATATAATATTATATGGTCTCTGGTTGCATGTGACCTTTAAGGGGAATATCTACACCCCGATGCGCATCTGTGTGATTTTTTGTAAGCGATTTGGAGCATTGGTTTAGGAGTTATGTTTTGTACAAAAATCGGCGGAATAATACATAACAATAATAATCCGAACGATTACAATATGTCTTCTGCCTAGAGGCAAGGAGCCCTAATTAATAAGTTTCATTTAGACACTAACAGCTGAGATTTATACAGATTATCTTTATTAGAATGATTTTCATGTCATTATTTACTTATAAGGTTGCAAAACAATGGGCCAAACAATGTAGGTCAGTTGTAAAACAATGTAGGTCAGTTGTCCTTTAACAGGCAGATCCTATATATCTACATGACTTCATAGGCATGGCCTTGCATTGGGGCTACCAGAGAAGGGGCGTTCCAGCTTCACAGTTTCTAATTTTCTGATGATGACATGAGCATTTATTCCTAAATCTTGTATTCATATGCCACTTGCGATTAAATTTAATAGAAATGTATGCTCAATAAAAACGCTTACCTTGGACTAAGGTGTAACACAATATAACACAAAACTTATCAGATCTCGTTGACCTGAGACCTTTGAACTCGGACCTTTGTTGTCGTTATACAGAGTAGTGTCCCCTGCTGCGAGTTTCGCAATCATCCCAAACGTCTGTCATATTTTCATGAATAAATACTTAATTATTTCTTATGGAATACTACTGGTACTGTTGAGATCTATTAATAAAATTAATCAACGACACAACTAAAAACCCAGAGACCATATGGTCTCTGTAAAAACGTATGGTCTTCTGGGATCATCTTTTCTCTCTCTAAATTTCTTATAAAAATATATAAATAGATAGATATGATTTTCGGTCTGCTTAGGGGGGAAATATAGATCTATATGTAAACAAGAATAACATGTAACGAATTTGCATACAATGTTCGACAAGGCTGCTCTACGCGTGAAATGCGGGCATGATTCCGGATCTCTATTTCAATCCATCATTTTATAAAAATAGACTAGCTCCTAACAGCGATAAAACCGTCCTTCTATCGCATAAATATCGAGTCACTTCGAGTGCACTGTGCCAGAGCCTGAGATATGACGTCACAACATGTCTGACCTAAGAGTCTTGTGATCGCTTGAATCTATATAAACAGTGTTTTGATTCATACCCACGTTTCGTTCAGGTGACAGCTGGATTTATCTGTTATTGTAAGTTAGCAGCTAAACTTTCACCATGTTCAAGAGCGGGCCTAATTACACAAAACTCAAAACTAACCTCAGACTGGTGATAAACCGTCTGAAGTTGTTAGAAAAGAAAAAGACGGAAATAGCTTTGAAATCGAGAAAAGAAATCGCCGACTATATTACAGCCGGTAAGGAAGATCGAGCCAGAATCAGGGTGGAACACATCATTCGTGAAGATTATCTGGTTGAAGCTATGGAGCTGTTGGAGATGTACTGTGACTTGCTGTTGGCACGGTTTGGGCTGATTCAGACACAAAAGTAAGACTTCTTGTATCTTTTCATCATGTGTAGGTTACAAAGTTAAGAATTTATCACTAAGTAAGAAAAAGGTAGATGTGTTTTAACTAAAATTTATTTTTAGTGTACTTCCCTATTTATCAGCTAAATTATGAGATCAAATGTTCTCTACTAACCCAACCCAACATCAATGACGGAATAGATGACATCTATCTTCCCAAAATGTGCTTAATGACAGTCATTACTCCAAAATCGTCACCTCGGTTGTTTTTTATTGTGTTTTTTTCTAACTACATTTATACTATATACCCAAGGACGCTCCTTGTTATCACAGCAAGTCCCATCACTTTTTGCAACTTAAACAATGATCATTTGATTTCTTCTGTGTTAATTCCAATATCTCCCATGTTACATTTGTATCACTGTACATCAATCTTACATTGTGTAAACATATCAGATTGTATATACATGTACCTGTAAGTAAACTCACATACGCTCACTCTGTATTCAGATAATTAATGGGTTGGTGGGGTCCCAAAGTGGTTAAATCATAAGCTTGTCATGCCAAAGACCCAGGTTTGATTCCCCACATGGGTACAATGTGGGAAGCCCATTTCTGGTATCCCCTGCTGTGATATTGCTGGAATATTGTTTAAAGCAGCATAAATCTAAACTCAATCATTTAGTACTACTGGTAATACTACTACTAATTAATAAAGCTATTATCTCCCCTAAAGTTTCATGTCTTGTTGCTAAGAATTGTTTACGTATAAACATGTTAAAATGTAGTCATTCAAAAACTTTACCATTATTATGTATTGATTTCTACAGAGAACTTGATCCTGGATTGGAGGAATCTATTGCAAGCATAATATGGGCAACACCCAGACTACAAGCTGATGTCCAAGAACTGAAAGCAGTTACTGATGAATTTACAGCCAAATACGGAAAAGAATTTGGTATGGCATGTCGATCAAATTGCCTGAACAATGTCAGTGAGAAAGTGATGCACAAACTGAGTGTCCAAGCACCACCCAAGACTTTGGTGGAAAGATATATGGATGAGATTGCCAAGTCTTATAATGTCCCATTTGTGCCAGATGCATCGGTCATGTCACATGATGAGATACTGTTGGCAGAGAACATGCTGATAGATTTTGGAAACGAAGACAGGAAAGGAGGAGGAGGATCAGGCCCAAGTGGTGGTATGGGGGCACTCCAGCCCGTACCTTCAGCCTCATCAGCTCCTTACCCAGCCAACAATGTGTCCTACCCCCCACAGGTGCGATGGCAGTAGATACTGTGTTATTGTTACATGGATAGACATTATCACTAGTCTGCTGGCTTATTTCGTAATGTTGATCAAAGGGCTGCAGTAAAATTTTAGACATTATCTAGTACTTATAGTAGTAGTTCATATGTGCCAAGGAGCCATCACTATTTGTGCTAGGAGACTTTCTGTAAAATTATTTTGTATATGGTGTATAATATATTAATGAGGATATATTTCTCTGTTGAACACAGTGTTGAAAATGCTTTGCTAGTCTCAAGATGAATGTTTTAATGTTAATAATGGACATACTCACTATTCAGAAATATTTTCAAATCTTCTTCGATTGATGATCAGGCTTCATTTCCATTATTTGTATCAAATAGCAAAGCAGCTTTGTTCTTCTGTTTAAACTGTCAAATACACATACATGAGTATACCCATTACATAATTTAGTATATTTTAACAAATCATTATCTCTCTGAGGTGATATGCTTAGTGCTAAATTATTTTATACATGAGACAAGACTTTGTTTCAATTATAATTGATAACAACATTGTAAAGAAATTGTTTGCTAGTTTTTCTTTGTGTCTATGTAAGTAACGTATATAATGCTGTAGCAAAAACTTACCCAGTCATCCTTGTTTTTTCAGCACCAACCTTATCCCGCTGGTAAAGTACCCCCTGCACTACCAACTTCACCCCCCGCAGGGCCCCCCAGCATGTCACCACCCCCAGCATACAACACCCCTGGCTACCCTGAACCGAGCGGTGCTCAAGCCCCCTACCCTAGTCAGGATCAGCTGTATGACAACAATGTCAAGCCAGCCATGCCCCCCAATCCGGGCTTCAATATCCCCGATCTGCCGGCCGTCCCCACCAATACCCTCCCTGACCTGGGTAACACTGTGGGGTCAGGATCAGCGGGGGGAGAGGATGTTGACTTTGATGACCTGACCAAGCGGTTTGAAGCTCTCAAGAAGAAGAAGTAGTTTCTCTACATTTGAACAGTGTGTATAATTCCCGTCAAGATTTTAAGCAGTATGTGTCAAGATGTATTCAACTGTTTATCATTCACATCTAGCAAGCATGATGAAGATGATGATGAAATCAATATAATCCCCCTGGTAAATACAGAAGGCTGTGTATCATTGTATGCTACTTCCAGACAAGAGACTCACTGTGGCCATGGTTTCAGATGTAATACTATTAAAAATGTTGATATTTGAGTCTTTGGATCTCTACAGTTTTCGTCAAGAAGTTGTGTTAATTTGATCTTTGTGGAGAATTTAGAATTGTTAAGTGTTAAGAGAAAGTAACGTGAAGGCCACTGTTTTGTTATGCTTTTCACCTACCATACCACAATGTACTTGGTAACAATGTTAGCAAGGGACGTACAAAGACAGATGTCCATGTTGAAGTGAATGTGTTATGTGTATGTATAATATGTATGTATATATAGACACACACTGATTTGTACATTCATATATTAAACATTTTAAACCCTATTTTCCCATTCTTTATCACCAAGGTGATCCACATATTTATCTACGATTGTTTCTGATTAGCTGTTGTCTTTATTCCCCATATAGAACATTAACTTATTGTACTTAAAAGGCCATTATGACTTTGTTATGAGTTACGAGTAGATGACAAAAGTCCAGAGTCATTGTCATTCATAATTTCCGCAGGACAGTTTGTCCCAGGATAACAGTTCACTGGCTGTTGGGTTTAATGGAAGTTGGGTTTAATGTATGATTTGTGTAAGAAATACTGGGTACTTGATATCAGTCTCATAGTTAATTTATTGTGGACTAATTGTATGGAACTGAAATTGTTTTCAAAATACTTTCAAATACTGATACAGCAATGTTGATATGTCTTAGGGAGTCTCAGGAACATAGCTGGTACCATATACGGCTTTAGAAATTTGCTCTTCTTAAGACTTGGCCAGACGACCAGTGTAGACTAAACAACTTTAGTCCTGACAACTGGTTCGGAAGTATAGCCCTGTTCTGGTAGTGGCAAGGAAGCGCTACCACCTTGTAATTCCTACTTGTGGCCACAGTCTGAATTTTGGAGGCTGTATATTCATTAGGGTTCTACAAACATATTTCAGTTAATAATTAGAAAGTTCCGGGTATATTAATAACTTTGTTTTTAGGTTTGGTTTGCACATTACAGAGCACCAGTAAAAGATACCTGACATGGCACTGATGTTAGCAATAAGTTACATGATGGCTTCAGATGCATCAGCTGTGTATCACTGCTTGGAATACTTCATGTTGTGACACCCAACTTTCTGATTTGATGCCTTTTCCTCTGTCAGGCCTGTTTATAATTCTCTGCGCATTGCAATTTAATGTTTCATTAATATAACCATTTTAAAATATAATCAACTTGTGTTTTGTTGTTTATGGATTATGAGAATATTCAGTGTGAAGACCTCGCCTGGATGTATTACTGGCTGGTTGTATGTCTATCCACTGTCAGACTCACAACCTGGGGGAATGTGGGTAGACATCTTGGTCCATAGGGATAACTACTTTGTCACTTGGTTGATCACATTTAAATCGTACCTGAAGCACATTAATAAAGTCAGTAGTTTTGCTCAGTCCCCTGTTTTGTAGCAGGAATATCCCTGCTATAATGTGTTCCTCGCTGACCCAGCATATACCATTACACAAGGTTTACTGAGAAATAACCATATGTGATAAACAACAAAACACTTCCCAGCAGACATTACATCATTTGGTTAGTTCTGCAACATCTCTGGCAGACTTTTAATCCACTTGGTTATGAAGTTGCAGTTAGGAGAAAAACATTAACTAAGTCATAATTAGGTCAGTAGCGTCCATTTTGATTGTTATTGACGTAAGCTGAACCATGTGAGTTTAGTAGTTCTGCTATCTGATTGGTCAGTCTTACTTTGAGGCGTCCTAATGGTTCTTGTTTACAGTGAACAATAGTCATATATTGCACAGTACACCTAAATGCTATACAAGTTCTAATATAATCGCGGACTATCATTTGCCACTACAAAATTTGAACTACATAAAAAAATCTCTCACGATTGAGCTCGCTATCTACACAAGAAAACAATGTTGTCACGGAAGGATACTTGTTGAAGCGTCCGTAAAATATACACAATGCCTCCTACTGAGTTTGAGTTGGAAGATGAGGATTTAAAAAAAACAACATTCATTGTCTATGAGATTTTGCTGTTAAACTAAAACAAAATTATTTGCCTCTATATGCAACAACATATTTACTTTGTGGTTAAATATAACACTTGGCAATACTCCACTTATACACCTATAACGCTTACTGATCAGGGTTCAGATTGGTCTCTAAGATTCCTTTTATAGTAAGAGGTCGCTTTCTGAATCGGGTCTTCGTCTCATAGCAGTTTCGCGTGATGTGAATCACAGGTACATTAGTTTGACATAAGTGAGTCATCATTAGTGAAATTCCCATAGACTTGCATGTTAATTAACTCATGGAAGAATAATGTTCATAAATTTAGTTTCGGTCGAATTGCTTTCAATACTTATCTACCAGCTGGGAAATCATCTCAGCTACATACACATAATTTCCATTCAATTTTCCGATGATTATTAAGAAAACTGCAAATATTTGAACAGCATATATTAGAAATATCAATCAAGTTTAAAATGGCTGTCTATGGGATATATTAAAAGTTGTACTTATATATGGTGCTTTATCAGGTGTCATTCAATAACTAATCAACGGAAAGATGAAAGACAATTATGTACACGTAGCTGAAGATGATTTCCAAGATGTTTGCAAAGTATCAAAATAAAATGACTTCTGCTCAATTTATGAAAATTATTCTTGCAACAGTTAACATGTAAGTCTATGGAAATTCCACTAATGATGACTCACTTTTGGCCAACTACTGTATGTCTGGTCCAGACTCGATGATTTACAGCTTCCGTCACAGAGCTGGATTATCGCTGCGTGGAGCGTTGAACAAGCAAATATCCCCACTCCCTGTTAAAACTGAAATACGCCGTATAGTATAAGTAAATACTACAACACAAATATCAGAATTCACTCTACAAGTGCAGAACAAAAATAATACAGAACACATTCTATGGTAGTGTAGTGTCGCGATCTGATGTCAAACTACACCAGACAGGAAATATATCATATGAAAAGGGTATTGGGATTTTCATATATACGGTTAATATTTTTATAAGTTGAATTTGCATACCAAATATGATATAATCCGTGTCTCGGACAATCTCTAAATAGACCTGTCGTGTGGAGAATCTACAGTCTCCTTGGCCTCCCTCCCCTGTATCTGACAACCGGTAGTTATACAGTTTATTTTACAGAAATACATACTGAGTTAATTGAACTAGATATAATGTACAACATTATACTCAATATAATGCCGTTCTCTTGCAAATTAAATAACTGTTGGACACCGTTAAAGAATAAAATACAAAATCCTTTTATGCTACTACTGTATGGGCTATTCGACCTTGTAATATCGCCTATGTTATAATGTGTGAATTCATCTCCTTACTAACGTCACGATCTGTAACGTAAATTGCTACGTTGTAATTAGCACATGGCTATGCGTGAACAATATTGTGAAATAGTTACTTTATCAGACAGTGTGTAAGTCATTATCCGTATCAAAACGAAATCTGACGAGCAGTCACGTGACTAACTACATGGCAACACCTAATACAATATGGCGGCGAGTGTTGTGATTGATTGTGTTTGAAGCGGGTTATCGAGCAATATCTCCAGTACTGAGCACGTCAACACCGTATGACTTCCACAATGGACAGAGGTAAAATTTTAATACCATTCATGGCGGAAATACGAAATGTCAACCCATCTCGATAATGTTTGTGTACATTGTCCTCGTTGTATAACGAATATGTATAGAGCTATTAGTACAGAGCTCCTAACTGATCTTCTGCAGGTGCCCGTCTCGTGAATTGTTGGATATTGCTATATGAGCACGGAGATTAGGATTCATTTGCATACATGTTTGATACCAATATTTTCACTGACTTCTAGCGTTTGCTGTGATGGTAGACAGCTAAAAGAATGCACAGAGATGATGATATATTACGATAGCATATGTCTCTCTATGGTGTATTGAACTTGCTATATATGAAGATTTACACTTATAATTCAGATAAAAAGGCTATACTTTGTATTATTTATAATCAGATTCAGCTGTTATTTTGATTGGCAATGAGGGGACTGAGCTAATAATTTATGGAGTAATTTATATAGGTCTAGACGAAGTGATTCCTGCATTTTCATCCCATATAGCATCTCATACGATAACATTGATACATAGCAATTATGCTTGATAGCTGAACACTTTAATGAATGTTATAAATATTTTTCACAATGATTAATAGATAGTGTATGTATCAGCCAGCAATATGTCAGCATGGTCTGCCAGGAAGTTTTTAGACCAACAAAGACATGTTTTCTGTTTATGTGGAGTGAACCTAATAGGCGTGTATCTGTATTAATGCCATGTATCACAAGCATGTTTAGCGGCCATAAAATTTCTGAGTCCCGTGCTGGGATTCGAACCACGGACCTTCTGATCAGAAGTCGGACGCCTTGTCCACATGACCAAAGATGTTAACCCCGTCAGCAAGCCGACAAGGTAAGGATGTCATCTGTGGGATGACTCCACGCCCTGCTACACATGTATCACCTGTATGCTTATTAGTGTTGTGTGCTTCAGCTTTAGGGAAGAACTTGGAGGCACTTGCAGAGGAAGATGATGAAGAGGAGGAGGAAGAAGCCACAGGACACTCAGAGGGAGCAGAGGTAAGCAGCATTAGTGCTTAGGCTGGTAGTACATGACTAAGAAATATATACTAAGCAGCAAAGGAAACGTTAGTTTGGAATTTTTCTTCGCAGAAACGGATAACTGTAAACTCATTTAATGTTTTGATTGTATATTTTTGACAACATCTCCACTTTACCAGAGCAAAGACATTCCTTCCCAAACTCAGAATCGAACCCAGGAAATGGTCTCAAAAATGCAACCTGATCACGGAGATGGTACGGTGTTCTCCATGTTTTTCATGCAACTCATTCTGCATGTGCTGTTCACAAGGACCAGCCCTATAAAATGCACCCCCAAACCTGGTTGAAATATTCACATTACAACGTCAATAGGATGCCGCGACTAACGACAGCTCAGAGGAACCAGGCGCTAGGAAGACTTGAAGCTGGCCACACTGCACAAGCCGTTGCCAATCACTTCCAGGTCAACATTTACATGGCTGCAGCAATGTTTCCGGGCCACCAACACCACAAATGATTGCCCCCATACTGGCAGACCAAGGGTGACCACAAGACGACAAGACCGCCATGTTGTGTGACAGCATGTACAGAATCTCTTCATGCAGGCATCCGAAACAGCACGCCAGACACTTGGAACACACAGAAGACCAATCAGTACTGATACAGTATGCCGTCGTCTTAACAGCGGGAACCTCCATTGCCGTAGACCTTACCATGGACCTATCCTCACCCCTCGTCATCGGCGTGAACGTCTACAGTTTGCCCTACAACACCAAAACTGGCGATACAGGCAAGTGGCAACTGCTCTGTTCACAGATGAGAGTCGGTACTGCGTATCAACTGCAGATGGCAGAACAAGAATATGGCGACGACGTGGCCAGCGTTACTCAGACCAATGTGTTGTGGAAAGAGACTCATGGGAAGGTGCAAGCATCATGGTATGGGGTGGAATAGGCCTGAACCAGAGAGTGGGTCCTGTGGTGTTCCAGAACCTTGGTCCAGGGAGAGGAGGCGGCATCACAGCGGTGCGCTACATCAACCAAGCTCTCAGACCCCTTGTCATACCCCATTTCACACGTCACCGGAACAACATTTTCCAGCATGATAATGCCCGGGTGCATACTGCCAGAGCTACAGCGTTATGCAGTGGCCAGCCGTTAGTCCTGTTTTAAACCCAATTGAACATTTTTGGACTGAATAATGTCATACCAAGGCCGAACACAGCCGATTTATTGCGCCAGGCCTTTCTCAGAGTGTGGTTCCAGGTGCCAATGGCCTTCATCAATCGATTGGTGCACTCCATGCATAGACGCTGTGCTGCAGTTATTGCCGCTCGTGGTGGTCACACTAGATACTGAGGTCAAGGGTCTGAATGAACTGCAAATGTTCACGTAATGTCTTGAAATTGTGCTGAGTTATTTACTGATGTGTCAAGATATTGTACACAAGAAATGTTTTTGATCCGCTTATTATGTCCATTTCTGTAATGATTTGATTACAGTGCCTATTTAGTTTTGATTCGTACTGACGTTTTTTGTGCTGCTGAGTATATATGGTGACAATGGAGACCCAGCTACATGATGGATCTCGAGTTTAGTTTTACGCCACACTCCGCAATATCCCAGCTATATGGTGGCAGTCTGTAAATAATCAAATCAGACCAGACAATCCAGTGATCAACAGCATGAGCATCAATCTACACAATTGGGATAACATAACATGTGTCAACCAAGTCAGCAAGCCTGACCACCTGATCCCGTTAGTCACCTCTTACGACAAGCATGGGTTACTGAAGATCAATGCTAACCCGGATCTTCATGGGTCTTATTAGTGCTTAGGTATGTAATATATGTATTATACCAAGAAGTATATGTAGACTAAATGTACATATAAGATATGATGGTTGGTAAACCAAGCTATAGTACGCTCCTATGAGGCAGAGGTAAGCAAATTTTGCAGGATGTTTTGTCCCGAGTAAACAATTGTTGTTGGTATTTCGAGAAACATTTCTTATGGGGGACTACTCATTTGTTATTTTCATATCATATTCCTGCTCTCCTGCCAGCATGTATCAAGCTGATGAATATTGTCTCTCCTTGAACTAGAGTGAGGTTGACTCGGACTCCGATGATGACTCCGATGACGATGATGGGGACACTGGTGCTGTGCGAGGGGAACCTAACAAGTTTGAAGGGTTGTGTGACGGGGTGCTCAACGCCACAGCCCTGGTACAGGTGTCCTTGTTGGAGGTAACTAAACACATATAGTCAAACTGTAATGAGATTTGTGTCATGGGACAACATTTTGTGATGTTTTAAACTTTGTCCTTTATTTGCTTTAAATTCGGTCAAAAAGCAATTGCCTGCACTGTAAATATCATATGTGACACTTTAATGTCACCAGTTCCCACTGATGATGTCACCTGTTTCCACCGATGATGTCACCTGAATTTGTTCAAACTCTTTAAATCCATTTTTCAACATAGTCTTGTTGTTTGTACCTGTTGGAGTTGATGTGACTCACCTGTACATAACATTCAGGTGTAACAATGTGTAATGAAGCATACAGGGATCGTCTTGTTGTTTGTACCTGTTGGAGTTGACATGACCCACCTGTACACAACATTCAGTTGTAACAATGTGTGATGAGGCATACAGGTATAATGTTGTTGTTTGTAGCTGTTGGAGTTGAAAGATGAGCTTCTAGGCCATGCCCTCCCACCAACACTGCTCGTCAAACTCGCCCTCACCACGGCTAAAGTCTTCCGCAGGTAACACAAACTATTCAATGTTTGATTCCCTTAATATCAGATACACTGAACTGGTTACTTATATTTTTAAGGATATTGGCTCAGAATGGTGCCCATAAATCAGTATCCCTCTCAAAAGTTGAATTTTCTCATGAGAATGTGTGTTTCCATTACTGGAATGTAAAACTATCAACTTAGCGGCAGTAGGATAAGTGGAAACACGTAAACCGTATATACCTGAACCAGAACAACAACATACCAACAATGTTGCATCAGTCATAAAAATCCAAGAATCTTCAACAAAATGGGAATAATAAAAATTTGGAACTTAAACAAACTGAAAAATGATTAACGCTTTGAGAAAATTGGTGAATCTTAACCACTACAGTGCCTGTTAGTTCTCTGAATCAGTCCTTGGAGGTATTGCTAGTAGACTGGTAGTGTCAAATGATTCAGTGATACCACATGATGAAATAACTGATTATGTTCCTCAGAATGGGCATTTTTGGACAGATATGTTTGGTTTGGTTTATGGATCTACAACGACTGTTTCCTCTACTGCAGCATTAGCGACATGAATATGCCCGTCAACGAGCTGGTGCGTCTGGTGCGTGTGTACTCCACGCCCTGGGAGGAGAAGAGTGCGGCCCTCAAGAAGCTGCACGAAGACTACGAGAGCAAACAACGGCAGCTGAACATTGCCATCAAGAGACTTCAGCTCGTCGATGCTCATGTGAGGACTAGCAACTTTAACTTGTGGTCCATACATTTTGCTGGGGGTCGGGGAATGTCATGAAGGACAAATGCCTTTTAAATTCAGTTGACATGTTTAAAGTGTTAAAGTTTCTCTAGTTCGGTTGATGTTGAAGAGGTAGTGAGATATTTTATACATGTTGAGTCAAGGTCCCCATGCTGTAGTTAGTGCTGTGTGGAACTGTGATATTCTCTGTCATTTGGTCTGTCAAGAAATACTACATGCATGAAATGCATCATAAAATTGGAGTTTCCTTAACCACTTCAATCAAAGTTGCTGATGCTTCTTCTGACTTGACCATACTTGCCCTTTAAGATTGCATGAAGCTGATGCTGTAGATAATCATGTCTGACACATGATACAGTGTTAGCAATCTCTCCAGAAGTTATTATGTAACAGGGAAATAGTATCTGGTCATCACTTTGTTGATACTATCAATGGAATATACAGTTAAGATTTTACAGAAATTCTGCCAACATTTTCAGAATTCATAAGAGTTCTGAGATAAGATGGGTTCTGTTTGTCACCAAGTATATAGTTATTATCGTTCATAATGATTACTGTATTCCATCAGATTATTCCCATATTTATTCTGGACTTAACAGAACAGGGACTTGTTTCCCATACAGTCTGACAAAGGCTTGACCAACATATGTGTGACCACTGTGCAAAACTTGAAAGTTAATCTTAACAAAAGTCAGAACTCTTAACATATTTATCTGTCGTGGTTAGCTCTTATAAAACATGTGATATTGTATGTAGTTGGTGACACAGAACGGTTGAATGTGTCGTGCCTGTACTAGTCATACACTGCTGTTTGCAGTCCAAGAGAATAGCCAAGGAGAAGCGCATCATGAACTGGGAGAAGCTCTTCTCCAAAGTCACATCAACTAAAGGTCATGGCCTCAGATGGAAGTTCCTCATTGAGACAATCAAGCAGAAGGCAAAGATGGGGTGAGTGTTCCTCCTGGGAGGGTGCTGTACAGCTGCAGGCAGTGGGGTGTATAGGGGGTGAGTGTTCCTCCTGGGAAGGTGCTGTACAGCTGCAGGTGTTGGGGTGTATGGGGGTGAGTGTTCCTCCTGGGAGGGTGCTGTACAGCTGCAGGTGGGGTGTATAGGGGGTGAGTGTTCCTCCTGGGAGGGTGCTGTACAGCTGCAGGCGGTGGGGTGTATAGGGGGTGAGTGTTCCTCCTGGGAGGGTGCTGTACAGCTGCAGGCGGTGGGGTGTATAGGGGGTGAGTGTTCCTCCTGGGAGGGTGCTGTACAGCTGCAGGCAGTGGGGTGTATAGGGGGTGAGTGTTCCTCCTGGGAGGGTGCTGTACAGCTGCAGGCGGTGGGGTGTATAGGGGTGAGTGTTCCTCCTGGGAGGGTGCTGTACAGCTGCAGGCAGTGGGGTGTATAGGGGTGTGAGTGTTCCTCCTGGGAGGGTGCTGTACAGCTGCAGGCAGGTGGGGTGTGTATAGGGGGTGAGTGTTCCTCCTGGGAGGGTGCTGTACAGCTGCAGGGGCGTTGGGGTGTATAGGGGTGTGGGAGTGTTCCTCCTGGGAGGGTGCTGTACAGCTGCAGGCAGTGGGGTGTATAGGGGTGAGTGTTCCTCCTGGGAGGGTGCTGTACAGCTGCAGGCAGTGGGGTGTATAGGGGGTGAGTGTTCCTCCTGGGAGGGTGCTGTACAGCTGCAGGCAGTGGGGTGTATAGGGGGTGAGTGTTCCTCCTGGGAGGGTGCTGTACAGCTGCAGGCTGGGGTGTATAGGGGGTGAGTGTTCCTCCTGGGGGTGCTGCTGTACAGCTGCAGGCGTGTGGGGTGTATAGGGGTGAGTGTTCCTCCTGGGAGGGTGCTGTACAGCTGCAGGTGGGGTGTATAGGGGGGTGAGTGTTCCTCCTGGGAGGGTGCTGCTGTACAGCTGCAGGCAGTGGGGTGTATAGGGGTGAGTGTTCCTCCTGGGAGGGTGCTGTACAGCTGCAGGCAGTGGGGTGTATAGGGGTGAGTGTTCCTCCTGGGAGGGTGCTGTACAGCTGCAGGCGGTGGGGTGTATAGGGGGTGAGTGTTCCTCCTGGGAGGGTGCTGTACAGCTGCAGGCAGTGGGGTGTATAGGGGGTGAGTGTTCCTCCTGGGAGGGTGCTGTACAGCTGCAGGCAGTGGGGTGTATAGGGGGTGAGTGTTCCTCCTGGGAGGGTGCTGTACAGCTGCAGGCAGTGGGGTGTATAGGGGTGAGTGTTCCCTCTGCTGGGCAGTGGGGTGTAGGGGGTGCTGGGAGTGCTGTACAGCTGCAGGCAGTGGGGTGTATAGGGTGTTCCTCCTGGGAGGTGCTGTACAGCTGCAGGCTGGGATAGGGTGCTGTGCTGCAGGCAGTGGGGTGTATAGGGGGTGAGTGTTCCTCCTGGGAGGGTGCTGTGTACAGCTGCAGGTGCTGTAGTGGGGTGTATAGGGGCTGTGAGTGTTCCTCCTGGGAGTGCTGTCCTGGGAGCTGCTGGCTGCAGGCAGTGGGGTGTATAGAGGGTGAGTGTTCCTCCTGGGAGGGTGCTGTACAGCTGCAGGCATTAGGGTGTATAGGGGTGAGTGTTCCTCCTGGGAGGGTGCTGTGTACAGCTGCAGGTGGGGTGTATAGGGGTGAGTGTTCCTCCTGGGAGGGTGCTGTACAGCTGCAGGTGGGGTGTATAGGGGGTGAGTGTTCCTCCTGGGAGGGTGCTGTACAGCTGCAGGCAGTGGGGTGTATAGGGGGGTGAGTGTTCCTCCTGGGAGGGTGCTGTACAGCTGCAGGCTGGGGTGTAGGCCTCCTAGGGAGTGGGGTGTATAGGGGGTGAGTGTTCCTCCTGGGAGGTACAGCTGCAGGCAGTGGGGTGTATAGGGGGTGAGTGTTCCTCCTGGGAGCTGTACAGGCAGGTGGGGTGTATAGGGGTGGTGAGTGTTCCTCCTGGGAGGGGTGCTGTACAGTTCAGGCAGTGGGGTGTATAGGGGGGTGAGTGTTCCTCCTGGGAGGGTGCTGTACAGCTGCAGGCAGTGGGGTGTATAGGGGTGAGTGTTCCTCCTGGGAGGAGGTGCTGTACAGCTGCAGGCAGGGGGGTGTATAGGGGTGAGTGTTCCTCCTGGGAGGGTGCTGTACAGCTGCAGGTGGGGTGTATAGGGGTGAGTGTTCCTCCTGGGAGGGTGCTGTACAGCTGCAGGCAGTGGGGTGTATAGGGGTGAGTGTTCCTCCTGGGAGGGTGCTGTACAGCTGCAGGCGGTGGGGGTGTATGGGGGTGAGTGTTCCTCCTGGGAGGGTGCTGTACAGCTGCAGGCGGTGGGGTGTATAGGGGTGAGTGTTCCTCCTGGGAGGGTGCTGTACAGCTGCAGGTGGTGGGGTGTATAGGGGGTGAGTGTTCCTCCTGGGAGGGTGCTGTACAGCTGCAGGCGTGGGGTGTATAAGGGGTGAGTGTTCCTCCTGGGAGGGTGCTGGGGTGTATAGGGGGTGGAGCTGCAGGCGTGCTGTACAGCTGCAGGCGGTGTGGTGTATAGGGGGTGAGTGTTCCTCCTGGGAGGGTGCTGTACAGCTGCAGGCGGTGGGGTGTATGGGGGTGAGTACTTCTGCCTCCGGGGTAGGGCTATGGAGATGCTATGGTTATATAGTTTGTGTCAACGTTAAGGTGGTATTCCAGGGTGTGTTGGTATCGTGAGTTGTGTTAAGGTGGTATAGTTTGTGAAGATGTCAAGGTGGTATAGTATGCCATTGTGTAAAGGACATATTGTATGTTATGACGTCAAGGAAATATACCATGTGATGATGGTAAGGTGGTCTACTATGTAATTGTTTAAAAGGGTTAGTTAGGTGATAATTTTGACAGATGTATTTGGTGACTATTTTGCGTTTACTGTGTGTTTAAGGTGATTTAGGGGTTATATGATCCTGGAGATGTTATTGATGATGTTATTGATGATGTTATTGATGATGTTGCAGTCTGGAGCACGTGCAGGAGTACACTAAGGCCCTGGAGCAGACGTCAGACTCAGAGGATGGGGAGGAGGAGGAGGTCGTCGACACCACCAAGGCCACTGAGTCGTCGCCAGAGGCCATTGATGTTGTCAGCGAGAAAACAGTAAGGAAATATTGGTTATGATTGTTGCTCTATAATGATTTATTCACTAAGTTATGGATGTTTTGGCATTAGTAAAAGGATCTTATGTTCATCCCTGGTGACCGAGATGCTGATGTTGTACAGGAGGAAACCACAGAGAGCCGAGGAGAGAAGGAAGACGAGGAGGAGGAAGAAGAAGATGAGTCGGAGGCAGAGAGTGAAGACCACGAGGAGGAGGTTGTGCCCACTGTCACCATCAACCTGACGCAGGAGAGTGACGTTGATGACGAGTCTTCCGATCAGCTCAGTCGTTCAGTCTCACCAAAGGTAAAGTTGTCTAAGGTCACTTAGGAAAGCCAGAAATCTATGAGCAGGTCCAACCCTTGTAATGTTTTCTAAGTTTGTCAGCAACACTTGTGCTTTTGAGTTTCATCGTAGTGATAGTTAAATGCTGTGAAAAAGAAAGTTAGGTGGCTATGTTCAAGGAATCCATTCTGGCTAAAGACAGACACAAATGGCTACAGTACGAGGAGCAAGATGTGTGTCATTTGTACAAATCCTGGAATGTATAATGCATTTTCAACAAACTGAAGATGCAAAAGTTTTCAAAATATATAGTTAACTTCACATGAAGCATTAAAATTAAAGACCATGCCAAGGCAATTAGAATTTGAGAAAGTCACGTTATTGTTCGTCCTTTGCTGAATTTAGCGTTAAATAACTACATATAACAATATTTCGTCAGTCTAGTTTCTTATACAAAGGTACTCCTTTAAGTATGTTTGAGAGTCATGGCGACTCACAGAATTGGATGTGAAGGGAAAGCCCCGTAACTCATTCACTCACTCACTCAACCTCCCCAAATGTACAGCTGTTCTGACAGGAGTTAACCTTTGCAATATTTCCTCTTTAACTGAACTTTATCTTGGATATAATAATGGAAAATATGTGTTTGAATATCTATGAATACAGACTATGGCATAATTTTGTTAACAGAAAGTTCGGTTTGGTGAGACTGAACCGCCCCCTGTAGTCAAACCTCAGATGCGAGATGTGAACATCGACACGGGAGAGCCAGAGTATGACCTTTACCTTCATGTGCGGATGTTTGCTCCCGAAGATCTCAACCATCAGGGTCTCAAGTGTTCCGTGACGTATGGCGATCAGATGTACAAGACTGGCGTGCTGGATGTGGAGGAGGCAAAGGAGGTGGGCGTTTGCAGGTGGGGGTGGGGTGGCTTCAGGTAGGGGTGTAGGGTGGCTGGATTTGGGGTTGGCTGCAGGTGTGGGGTGTGGGTGGCTTCAGGTAGGGGTGTGGGGTGGCTGGATTTGGACGGCTGCAGGTGTGGGGCGGGGGTGGTTGTTGGCTGCATTGGATTAATGACTGCAGTTTGGGATGGGGTGGCTGGAGCTTGGTTTGGCTTCGGGTGGGGGTTGAGGGTGGCTGGTTCTGAGGGGTGGGGGTGTCTGGAGCAGGGAGTGGCTGCAGGTGTGCAGGTGCTGGGTGAGGAAGGATGGAGGTGCCTGCTGGGGAAGGGGAGGACAGAATACAGGGTGGGGTAGAGGAGCTTGCAGTGACAGGAAGGCAGAGATGGAATGAGAATAGGGTTCAGGGAAAGAGGAAGGTGCTTGCAGGGTGGAGAAAGGAGTTAGGAGGGGAGAGAATATAGAGGTGCTGGCAGTGGAGAGGAAGGTAGGGTGGAGAAGACAGGTGCATGGAGGGGGAAGAAATTATTTGATATTGATAGCGGTAATTATTTTCTGTATTTTCCTGTGTTGTAGCCAGAAAATGCGGCTGAGACAACGAAGTCAGAAAAGAAGCAGCCGGCAGCCAGCGGAGGCAAGAGTAGTCCAGGTGAGGAAAACCATCTTGATAATGGCAACTGTTGAATACCTTACCTACCTACCGCCACTTGCTGGTTACATAGTGTCTCATTTGATTTGATAATGTATGTCATTATGGTAAGTGAGTTAGTGATTGAAGTCGGTTTAATGCCACGTCAAGCCTTATTTCACTTCTGTGTTTGTGGTTCAGCCTCATGTTGGTGGAAGGCTCAGTTTGAAGCAGGTCATTCAAAAGAGCAAGTGTTTATTGAAGAATTTAACACAGTGGACAGTTCTGGAAATGAAACCCAGGATCATGCTACATCTAAGGGGGCACAACTCAGTGAATTGCTGTGCCATGGACCTGTGTCCTCTACAAGTGTGATGGTGTCAGGACTTGACGCCATGACCAAGTAGACCATGAAAGTTATGTCTGTCCTGATCAGACAGTAATTCAAATATAATGAGACTCTAGTGAGTGAGTTGGGTATTACGCCGCTTTTAGCAACATTCCAGCAATATCAAGGCAGAAGACACCAGAAATGGGCTTCATACATTGTGCCCATGTGGGAATCGAACCCGGGCTTTGGCTGACGAGTGAGCGCTTTAACCGCTTTAACCGCCTAGGCTACCCCACTGCCCCTGATGAGACCCCAAGTAGGCTACCCCACTGCCCCTGATGACACCCCAAGTAGGCTATATGGCTGATGAATAAATTGCAAAGAACAAACAAGAAAGAGGCAGGATTTATTTCACAATAATACATTGTATAATAAACAAGGACCACAGTTTGGGTGTTTCTGAATGTATCTATGCCTGTAAACCCATTTGTTAACAGGATAATTCACTGTTGTACAAAACAGATGTATAATGAAGTATTTGTGTGCAGGTGCTTGTCACATCTCTCAGGTACCACAATCCCAGATTGCATGTTTCCACTGACCATGTGTTGGTGGTCTGTATGTGAAATGTAATTAGTTCACTGAAATGTTTATAAAACAACAACCTAATCTTTCCAGTTTCCAAAGCATCGGCTGAAGAGGAGGGGTCAAAGACCAAGAAGTAGGTACCTTCATATCTAAGGGAGTAGAAACAATTATAGTAACAGCTCATGGGGGCGATGGTGTAGTACAGAGCTCATGGTGATGATGTTGTGGTACAGAGCTCATGGTGATGATGTTGTGGTACAGAGTTCATGGTGATGATGTTGTGGTACAGAGCTCATGGTGATGATGTTGTGGTACAGAGTTCATGGTGATGATGTTGTGGTACAGAGTTCATGGTGATGATGTTGTGGTACAGAGTTCATGGTGATGATGTTGTGGTACAGAGTTCATGGTGATGATGTTGTGGTACAGAGTTAATGGTGATGATGTTGTGGTACAGAGTTAATGGTGATGATGTTGTGGTACAGAGCTCATGGTGATGATGATGGTGATGATGAGCTACAGAGGGTACAGAGTTCATGGTGATGATGTTGTGGTACAGAGTTCATGGTGATGATGTTGTGGTACAGAGTTAATGGTGATGATGTTGTGGTACAGAGCTCATGGTGATGATGTTGTGGTACAGAGTTCATGGTGATGATGTTGTGGTACAGAGTTAATGGTGATGATGTTGTGGTACAGAGCTCATGGTGATGATGTTGTGGTACAGAGCTCATGGTGATGATGTTGTGGTACAGAGTTAATGGTGATGATGTTGTGGTACAGAGTTAATGATGATGTGGTGTGGTGTGATGTGGTACAGAGTTCATGGTGATGATGTTGTGGTACAGAGTTCATGGTGATGATGTTGTGGTACAGAGTTCATGGTGATGATGTTGTGGTACAGAGTTAATGGTGATGATGTTGTGGTACAGAGTTCATGGTGATGATGTTGTGGTACAGAGCTCATGGTGATGATGTTGTGGTACAGAGTTAATGGTGATGATGTTGTGGTACAGAGTTAATGGTGATGATGTTGTGGTACAGAGTTAATGGTGATGATGTTGTGGTACAGAGTTAATGGTGATGATGTTGTGGTACAGAGTTCATGGTGATGATGTTGTGGTACAGAGTTAATGGTGATGATGTTGTGGTACAGAGTTCATGGTGATGATGTTGTGGTACAGAGTTAATGGTGATGATGTTGTGGTACAGAGCCCATGGTGATGATGTGTGGTACAGAGCTCATGGTGTACAGAGCTCATGGTGATGATGTTGTGGTACAGAGTTAATGGTGATGATGGTGGTACAGAGCTCATGGATGTTGTGGTACAGAGCTCATGGTGATGATGTTGTGGTACAGAGTTAATGGTGATGATGTTGTGGTACAGAGTTCATGGTGATGATGTTGTGGTACAGAGCTCATGGTGATGATGTTGTGGTACAGAGTTCATGGTGATGATGTTGTGGTACAGAGCTCATGGTGATGATGTTGTGGTACAGAGCTTCATGGTGATGATGTTGTGGTACAGAGTTCATGGTGATGATGTTGTGGTACAGAGTTCATGGTGATGATGTTGTGGTACAGAGCTCATGGTGATGATGTTGTGGTACAGAGATGTTGTGGTACATGGTGATGATGTTGTGGTACAGAGCTCATGGTGATGATGTTGTGGTACAGAGCTCATGGTGATGATGTGATGATGGTGGTACAGAGCTCAATGGTGATGATGTTGTGGTACAGAGTTAATGGTGGTACAGAGCTCATGGTGATGATGTTGTGGTGATGATGAGAGTTCATGGTGATGATGTTGTGTGGTACAGAGCTCATGGTGATGATGTTGTGGTACAGAGCTCATGGTGATGATGTTGTGGTACAGAGCTCATGGTGATGATGTTGTGGTACAGAGCTCATGGTGATGATGTTGTGGTACAGAGCTCATGGTGATGATGTTGTGGTACAGAGTTCATGGTGATGATGTTGTGGTACAGAGCTCATGGTGATGATGTTGTGATCATGGTGATGTTGTGGTACAGAGCTCATGGTGATGATGATGTTGTGGTACAGAGTTCATGGTGATGATGGTGATGATGTTGTGGTACAGAGTTCATGGTGATGATGTTGTGGTACAGAGTTCATGGTGATGATGTTGTGGTACAGAGTTCATGGTGATGATGTTGTGGTACAGAGTTCATGGTGATGATGTTGTGGTACAGAGTTCATGGTGATGATGTTGTGGTACAGAGTTCATGGTGATGATGTTGTGGTACAGAGTTAATGGTGATGATGTTGTGGTACAGAGTTAATGGTGATGATGTTGTAGTACAGAGTTCATGGTGATGATGTTGTAGTACAGAGTTCATGGTGATGATGTTGTAGTACAGAGCTCATGGTGATGATGTTGTAGTACAGAGCTCATGGTGATGATGTTGCAGTACAGAGTTTGCAGTACAGAGTTCATGGTGATGATGTTGTGGTACAGAGTTCATGGTGATGATGTTGTGGTACATAGTTCATGGTGATGATGTTGTGGTACAGAGTTCATGGTCTAGATGTTGTACAATAGCGTTCATGTTGCTGTAGGTACGAAGAGTTCATGGTGAGACTACCCGATGAGGTTCACCACGGGCGATGATTATTGACAAGGCCAAGTCCGACAAGCCCAACAGTGTCCAGATAGCAGTCCACCACGGACAGTTCGAGGACATGATTGCCATGGCAACTTTAGACCTTGAGGACTTAAAAGAACTGGTAAGTATTGGGATTCATCACGGTAGAGCGAGATTTCAGTATATTCCACTTTATCAGATGGCCGTATTCTCTGTCTCAACTGTATTCTATTATCTAATGATTTGATATTAAATGATATGTCATTTGTAATGGTGGACTTTTGCTATGAATGTGACAGGGGTGGAGCTAGCAAAAGTTGAGGAACAGTAACAATATTTGAGTAGGTTTTTGCATACTTTTTAGATAATATACATAGCTAACTTAGACCTCCACATGGTATGCCTATTTCTGTTCTTTGTCAACAATGGAACATCACAAAATACATGACAAGCATTCAGGATTTTACTTTTTCACATGCATTGTCACATACGTTCCTCTGCCAGGACCTACGAACAGTGTACCTGCCGCCACCTAAAGGGGATGATGATGTCCCCCGAACCAGCGCTGGAGGCGATGATGACCTCCTGTCCTTGTCAGACTCCATTGACTTGTCGTTTGATGATGACGAGTCCGAGCAGGGCAGCCCCAAGCCCCGGGACGACCCGGTGAAGGACGTTGACCCCCTGCCGTTCCCCCTGTACTCCCTGCAGGTCAGTGGTCGCTCTGACGCTGTCCACATGCCCATTGGCAACCAGCCCCTCATACTGTACTGGGGCAAGAGGAGGAGGCCGCAAGTCTTCAACAGGCAGACAGGTGAGCCCCATCTTCTGAAGCATATCATCTCAGGCATGAAATATCAAAAGCAAACACTTCTTAGTCAGTCTACAAATAGACGCAAAACTTGTGTTTCTTTTCTGACTTGACGAACTTACTGGTTTTGGTTTGGACTTATTTGCAAAATAATATTCCTGAAAGTTGTGAAAATATTGTGAGAAAAAGGAAAGTTTCTGTACCAAGTAAGGCCTTATACCTTTATATGTCCTCTATATATGCATTTCTTGAACTGGGTCACAATGGTGTGCAGGAACCCTTGGCATCAATGAGGTCGTGTTTGACCTGACGGGGATTGACCTGAACACAACCACGAAGGAAGACCTCCATAAGGATATGAGGGACCAAGCTCTGTCAGCAATAGAGTTCACACCAGAGCCCCAGGAGGTAAGTTTAGAGGTCGGGAGGGTGAGGGGCCAGGCTACATCAGCACCAGAGACCCAGGAGGTGAGGTCGGGATGTTGGTTGGTTGGTTGGTTATTTAATGCCAGACTCAGCAATATACCAGCTATGTGGCACTGGTCTTCAGAGGTCGGATAGTGAGGGATCCTGCTATGTCAGCAAGTGACATCTTACATCAGGCTGTGTCAGCAATAGTTAAAAGGAGCCCCAGTTGGTGAATAGGTATTTTATGTTAGTGAACAATGCACATGGTATATGAATGTGTTATAATCTGATCTTGTTCCCAGGAAACTGTAGCCCTGACTGAGGTGGAAGAACTGCAGAAGAAGCATACAGAAGATATGTCTGACATGAAGGACTCGTACGAGTGAGTCATGTTCCTTGTTACCATATGAGGGATTAATGCTGACTTGAGGCTGTGCTAAGAAAATCAATCCTATGTCAATATTGTGTCATGATACATTTTTTGTGAGCAAGAAATGTGACATACTGAAAGTGAACTACATGCAGAAACTGAAGACTCATATCCATATTTGTATACCTGTTCTATGACACTCCTTCTTGGTTCTTTTTCTTCCTCTGTTACTTGACATCATCTGGTGCTCACTCACTCACTCACTCTTCCCAGGAAGCAGCTGAAGGCTCTGCTAGAGAACATCTCCCATCTGGAGGAAGAACGGAGAATACTCCAGGAGCAGCAACAGAATATGCGCCCTGTGTCAAAACGCAGCCGAACTAGCCCCTCCCCACCACGCACCACGTCGCGGGGAGCCAGCACGCGACGAACACCCGTACATACTCCAGACAAGGACATGGCAGAGTCAGAGAAGGTGTCAGTTACCATCCCTGTGTCTCCTGGCATCAAATACAGGTAGGGGCTGCAGAATGTTCAGTGGAGCAAGCAGAATGTTCAGTAGGGGCTGCAGAATGTTCAGTGGGGACTGCAGAATGTGTGGTAGGGGCTGCAGAATGTCAGTAGGGGCTGCAGAATGTTCAGTAGGAACTGCAGATTGTTCAGTTGGGTCTGCAGAATGTGCAGTAGCGTCTGCAGAATGTTCAGTAGGGACTGCAGATGTTCAGTAGGGTCTGTGTTCAGTAGGGCTGCAGAATGTTCAGTGGGGAATGTGCAGTAGAATGTTGTTCAGTAGGGTCTGCAGAATGTGTGGTAGGGGCTGCAGAATGTGCAGGTAGGGGCTGCAGAATGTTCAGTGGGGCCTGCACAATGTGTGGTAGGGGCTGCAGAATGTTCAGTAGGGTCTGCAAAATGTTCAGTAGGAGCTGCAGAATGTTCAGTTTGGTCTGCAGAATGTGCAGTAGGGGCTGCAGAATGTTCAGTAGGGGCTGCAGAATGTGCAGTAGGAACTGCAGATTGTTCAGTGGGGCTGCAGAATGTTCAGTAGGGTCTGCAGAATGTTCAGTAGGGTCTGCAGAATGTTCAGTAGGAACTGCAGAATGTTCAGTAGGAACTGCAGAATGTTCAGTGGGGCCTGCAGAATGTGCAGTAGGGGCTGCAGAATGTTCAGTAGGGTCTGCAGAATGTGTGGTAGGAGCTGCAGAATGCGTTGTAGGGTCTGCAGAATGTTCAGTGGGGCTGCAGAATGTGTGGTAGGAGTTATCAACTTCAGTCTGAGATTTTTATCCCACGCCGCACATTTAGCTCGAAGCGGGGATATAGTATTAGGCTCCGTCCGTCCGTACGAATTGGAATATCTTAAGAACCTTTGACTAGATTCTTTTCATATTTGGTACCTATGTTCATCACAGTATAAGAAAGGCCCCAGTCAGGTCTGGTGACCTTGACCTTAATTTCAAGGTCACAAGAGGACTTTAACGTTTTACTCTTGTCAGCAAGATATCTCAAGAACCGTTCCCTAGATTTTCTTCATATTCAACACCAAGCTTTATCTAGGGAAGGCACAGGGCTCAATTGATTTTGGTGACCTTCACATAATTTTCAAGGTCATGGCGACACTTTGAAGATTTCAGCATCATCTAGGGAAAGTGCAAGGCCCATTCAATTTTGGTGACCTTCACATAATTTTCAAGGTTACTGCAACACTTTGAAAATTTCAGAATGTTAACCTGAATTCACTGGATTTTCTTCATAGACTTTCAAGACTTGAATGTTTTCAATAAGCAATTTCTTTAGTATCGTTTTGGCATATTTCATACACTATGACATTCAAGTCAGTCTTGAAAATATTTGTGTGTTTGAACAACTAAAGAGCAAGATATCAAAATAAGTTGACTGGTCATGTTTTTGTTGACATTTAACTTCATCTTAAACTTTCATTGCTTTTTAAGTTTGATTTGATAATTTGTGGCGTCGGGGATTATGTCACCTTAGTGACAATGCTTGTTATTCTGAGGTTGTCACATCAGGAACATTTCTATCCAGTGCTGAGGCTTCTAAATTATTGGTGTTAGAAGTCAGCAAAGCATTCAGACAAGCAGATCTGATTTCCGTATCTTGAAACAAACTTAAATGGTCAGTTCTAAATGTAGCTAATAAAGGCAGTGCAATTTCATTGTGGTTTAATAATCTGTTCATCCTGTTCAATGCCATGGTAGGGAGTAGAACTGAAGGAATACAGTAATCAATAACACGCTTATAATGAACTGATAGATGTAAGAAACTGTCCTTTTTGTTCACTTCACTTGCTGTATATTAAATTTATATATCCTTATATATGAGGCTGGAAGGTCAATGTTCAGTCAAGGTTGACCTGATGTGACCTCCTAATAGAGATGTTGTCAGACTTGGATGTCAATCTAACATCAAATTATTACATGTGTGAGGTGAAATGGGATTTAACATTGTACTCATATGACGACCCGCATTACATGAAAATTCACTGGCCAAGAAATGATCATGTCTTTTGACATAAACGCATTATAGCTCCCAGTCTTGTCTGAATGTTTGTGATGTTGACTTACGTTACGTTAAAAATAGAATGGAAATAACAGGGATATTGCATTTCCCAAAGCTAAGCCAATCTGATGGCTGCTTGTTGGAACTTGTGTTCCACTTGAAGTCTGTATGTGTTTTAGTCACTGAAAAGCAATTCTGTCTTCGTGCAATACGTTCTAAAGTAAGAGTCCGTCCGTCTTCATGTAATACGTTCTAAAGTAAAGTGGCCATCCATCTTCATGTAATACGTTCTAAAGTAAAGTGGCCATCCGTCTTCATGTAATACGTTCTAAAGTAAAGTGGCCATCCGTCTTCATGTAATATGTTCTAAAGTAAAGTGGCCATCCGTCTTCATGTAATATGTTCTAAAGTAAAGTGGCCATCCGTCTTCATGTAATATGTTCTAAAGTAAAGTGTCCATCTGTCTTCGTAATACGTGTAATAAAGTTCTAAAGTAAAGTGTGCCATCCGCCTTCATGTAATACATTCTAAAGTAAAGTGGCCATCCGTCTTCATGTATATTATACGCTCTAAAGTAAAGTGGCCATCCGTCTTCATGTAATACGTTCTAAAGTAAAGTGGCCATCCGTCTTCATCATGTAATAAAGTGACCATCCGTTCTAAAGTAAAGTGGCCATCCGTCTTCATGTATGTAAAGTGGCCATCATCCGTTCTAAATACGTCTAAAGTAAAGTGGCCATCCGTCTTCATGTAATACGTTCTAAAGTAAAGTGGCCATCCTTCATGTAATTCATGTAATACGTTCTCTAAAGTAAAGTGGCCATCCGCCTTCATGTAATATCGCTCTAAAGTAAAGTGGCCATCCGTCTTCATGTAATACGTTCTAAAGTAAAGTGGCCATCCGCTTTCATGTAATACTTCTAAAGTAAAGTGGCCATCCGTTTAATGTAATAGTAAAGTGTGGCCATCCGCCTTCATGTAATACGCTCTAAAGTAAAGTGGCCATCCGCTTCATGTAATAATTCTAAAGTAAAGTGGCCATCCGTCTTCATGTAATACGCTCTAAAGTAAAGTGGCCATCCGTCTTCATGTAATACGTTCTAAAGTAAAGTGGCCATCCGTCTTCATGTAATAAAGTGGCTCTAAAGTAAAGTGGCCATCCGCCTTCATGTAATACGCTCTAAAGTAAAGTGGCCATCCGTCTTCATGTAATACGTTCTAAAGTAAAGTGGCCATCCGCCTTCATGTAATATCGTTCTAAAGTAAAGTGGCCATCCGTCTTCATGTAATACGTTCTAAAGTAAAGTGGCCATCCGTCTTCATGTAATACGCTCTAAAGTAAAGTGGCCATCCGTCTTCATGTAATACGTTCTAAAGTAAAGTGGCCATCCGTCTTCTTCATGTAATACGCTCTAAAGTAAAGTGGCCATCCGTCTTCATGTAATAATGTTCTAAAGTAAAGTGGCCATCCGCCTTCATGTAATCGTTCTAAAGTAAAGTGGCCATCCGCTTCATGTAATACGCTCTAAAGTAAAGTGGCCATCCGTCTTCATGTAATACGTTCTAAAGTAAAGTGGCCATCCGTCTTCATGTAATACGTTCTAAAGTAAAGTGGCCATCCGCCTTCATGTAATACGCTCTAAAGTAAAGTGGCCATCCGCCTTCTAAAAGTAAAGTGGCCATCCGCTAAAGTAAAGTAGTGGCCATCCGCCTTCATGTAATACGCTCTAAAGTAAAGTGGCCATCCGTCTTCATGTAATACGTTCTAAAGTAAAGTGGCCATCCGCCCATGTAATACGCTCATGTAATACCGTTCATGTAAAAGCTCTAAAGTAAAGTGGCCATCCGTCTTCATGTAATACGTTCTAAAGTAAAGTGGCCATCCGTCTTCATGTAATACGCTCTAAAGTAAAGTGGCCATCCGCCTTCATGTAATAGTTCTAAAGTAAAGTGGCCATCCGTCTTCATGTAATATCGTTCTAAAGTAAAGTGGCCATCCGTCTTCATGTAATACGTTCTAAAGTAAAGTGGCCATCCGTCTTCATGTAATACGTTCTAAAGTAAAGTGGCCATCCGTCTTCATGTAATACGTTCTAAAGTAAAGTGGCCATCCGTCTTCATGTAATACGTTCTAAAGTAAAGTGGCCATCCGTCTTCATGTAATACGTTCTAAAGTAAAGTGGCCATCCGTCTTCATGTAATACGTTCTAAAGTAAAGTGGCCATCCGTCTTCATGTAATACGTTCTAAAGTAAAGTGGCCATCCGTCTTCATGTAATACGTTCTAAAGTAAAGTGGCCATCCGTCTTCGTGTATTACGTTCTAAAGTAAAGAAGCCATCTGTCTTCATGTAATACGTTCTAAAGTTAAGTGGCCATAACTATGTTTGCTTCTTCAAAGCAGTAAGAACCTTCTGTCTTCAGTTAGGAACATGACTGACAGAGTTGCTTCTCTTGCAGACCAGCACCACCTGCCACACAGAAGCCGAGGAAGAACTTCCGTGTAGGGCGACCTTTGCCGAAGTGGGGAGAGGCATTGCCACAAGACGTGAGTTTAGTGGGCTTTGATATGGATGAATCTGTTTTTAATCACAAAGTAATTTCAGTGACATTTCATCTTTTAATGCGGTTCGATGTTTAAGATATCAGTAGTCATGTCATTCATGTCACTTCAGTTCTTTGAGCGACTTCGGTTGTATGAAGAGGAGAGCAAACAGCACATGGCCGAGCTGAATGAGCGAACACTCCGGGACATTCGAGACAACTTGGAGAAGAAGTTGGCTGGACAGCATCGACTGAGCAAACGAGAGGAAGCCATGTATGACGCTCTGAAAGGTATGTCTGCCATCGATTTCTCTTGTTTCCTCTCCATGTGAGAGTGGTGGGTAGGCGGTTGGTGGGAGAGTAAGTTGGTGCATGTGGATATGGTTGTTTGGGTGGGTTTGTTGAGTGAGTGAGTTAATGGGTGGGTGAGTGAGTGAGTGGTTGGATGGGTGACTGAGTGAGTGGGTTTTGGTTGTTGAGTGAGTGAGTTAATGGATGGGTGAGTGAGTGAGTTAATGGGTGAGAGGCTTGGTTGGTGGGTAAGTGGTTTGGTTTGTTAGGGGTTGGGAGTCAGTTTAGGAGAGAGGTACCAGGGGACGTTTGTGTAAGGTGAGATACCTGACTTGACACTTCCTGTTTTAGACGTCAGCCTGCCAGCGTTGTTCATGCCGTTCCGGAGCGGGACAGTGTTCAACCCTCGAGCTCATCAGTACTTTCACCCAACAGGTGAGCTAGATTATTCATCAGTGAAGTCATACTGTTTTGATGTAATTAAAACATTTTATGTTATCATTTAGTGGTTTGGGATTTGGTATGTCATATGTTTAATGTGATAATTCCTGTGACTGTGTGTATCTATTGCATGTTGTCAGGTTCCACAGATCTCCGTCTGACTCAGCCGCCGTCCATGTTCCAGCTGCCGCCACTTACCAAACACAATGTATCCTTCTGTAGGAGCTCATATCACACGGCTAGTATAACCAGTAACATATGTATATTGGTGTAATGATATCTTTATTACTCACACGTGTATATGCAAGAGCTAGACTGATGCCTTTAGTGAATCAAGAATGTTTGAAATGTACATTCTTCAATTCTCTCTTATATTTGGCATCTCCAAGGTACCAAGATGCAGAGTATTATATTAATATTACAAGTAAGACCGGCCACACAAGGAAGTGTTTGACCCAGATCAGATAAGAAAAGATATACAAAAAACCCACAAGCAACAACTTTGAGTTCCAAAAGCTATTGCTACGCATACATTTTATGGATTTCAGATATTTTTTAAATTTGACACTGACAGACACTTATTCACATTGAATTATGTTCTAGCATTTTGAAAATATCCTTCAGAACATTGGAATAATTAAAAACTAATCACTAATTCACATACACAAGATTATTGCAAGCAGTAAAGAATGTAGGTAATCATGGGGTATAGTCATTGATCAATGCATCACTTGTACCCACAAAATTTAGGATTAACCTCAAAGGATTTACTTTTAGAGGTTATGACATGCTCAATCTGCTTCTTATCCACATATTTAGAAGGGTGGAGGGTGTCGATGACTTTGTCTTCTCATTATTATATCAAAAGTGGCTAAGTAATCTGTTTTGCATATTTCAGTGGCCATTTACTGGTTCCTGATCTCCAATATTGCAAGGTATGAAATAACTGTCACTGAGTGGTTTTATTGAAGTGATTTTTGATTCAGGCAAAGAGTAAGAAAATTTCAGAATAGGATTGCTACTAGAGTTGCAGGACATGTCATTTCCTTAATGTGCACAGCAGAAATTGTCTGTGGTGAATTTGTTTGAGCTGAGCAGCAACTTTTCGTCGAGGAGTCCGAGTTGGTTTGTCGAACGCTACATCCAGCAGCAACAGCCTGCCTCCAATGAAGCCTTCAACTTCTCTACAACAACATCCAACAAACCTGCACCCAACTATCTCACCCAGGACTCCCAGCTGTCAGACTCGGGACTACTTGATGCCCCTCCGCACACTCCCACGGGAAATCCCAGCATGCCCGAACAGGAAGTCGGGAGTTGAGGTTTAGCAACATGCAATAGGACAATTCCAGGTTTGACCATTTGTTGACCAGATGGACTTTGGACATATCTGTGATAATAAGCAATGTATACCACATGCCTCCATGTTTCTTTTACTACCTCCCCGGAAATCATACTCCTCAACATTTGCTGCGGAGTGTTCGATAATAGTCAGAGCTTCAGGATTACCATTCCCTTCCCACAGAGGTTACTTGTCATATCTTCCTACGAACCTCTGTTCTCATACGGCCATATTTCCTGGTTCTCGTAAAATCTCCTAGCGCCAAAAAATTGCAACACAAATTATCTCCCTTCTTTCTATCCAATCAGAACACGTGTTACATCGACTTAGATCCAACTTGACTAATGCAAGCAAATATGGGGCCAGAAATATCCCTCCTCTGCGGGGGACTTGTGCTTATGTGACACACAGGATATTTAATGGCTAGCTTGTCCGTTGTCAACGAGGGCGATGGAGGCGCCATTGATCCGCCATTACATGACTGAGTTCTGTCTAGAAAAAACGTTTGCACATCGCGCAGGGGAAGAGGTTCTAATTTTCCGGAATCATACGAAAATTACTGAGGCCTTGCGAATGATCACATTTGAAAAAACGTCGCTGTTTGCACAACTAAATCTGATTGCAACCAATCCCGAAACCTGAATGCTCGCACCATGAAAGGGCTGACACGTATTAGAACAGAGGTTTGTAGGAAGATGTGACCAGTAACCTCTGTGGGAAGAGAATCCAGGATTAACTGTTCAAATTCATGTTCATGTTTGCATATCAAGAAAAGTTTAGGGTTCACTGTTTGAATGTCTTGTCAGCATCCATTAAAGGAGAGGATATATTGAGGAAGGTGGTTGTCCAGTCTCTCCTCATCCACCAAAGATCACTCAAGATGGATAAGGAGTATATCTGACAAATGTATAGACTTGGTTTAAAACTCGTAGCAAATGTTGAAAGGTATTAAGAAAAACTGTCACCTCAATCGTGTCATTTATAATGGATAGTGACATACTCCGTGTATTGTGGGGAACTTGGGGAACTACTGCAGTCTGTTGGGGGACATCTCCTGCCACTGTTGTCAGTGTTCAGCTGTATCATTGCAATATGGAGTCAGTATTCAAAACTTCCTTTTCTTCCCTTTTTACTTCTGCCAAAATCGTAATCCAGTGCTTCTGAGGAACAGAAAGGTTAATTGTTTGATGGGCATTCTAGAAGTTGGTGACTCAAAAATGCAATAAAAAAGTTGTCATCCATAAAGTTGTATGTTTCATTTTTGAACAGAAGCGTAGGTTTACTAAATAACATGGCGTGATGATGTCATAAACTACATGTGGATGGAGATGGGGACACCTGTCTATGTAGTATTAAGTGACAATATGGACGTTACTTCAGTGATGCAGCTGTGCTCAGTTGTGACTCTTTCTTGCACCTCATCAGCATTCCCATGCAGAGTTGTGTCCCTTAGTTGCTCTTCCCCATATATTGGCAGAGTTGTGTCCCTTTGCTCTTCCCCATTTTCCTTAGTTGCTCTTCCCCATACATTGGCAGAGTTGTGTCCCTTAGTTGATTTTCCCCATACATTGGCAGAGTTGTGTCCCTTAGTTGTTTTCCCCCATACATTGGCAGAGTTGTGTCCCTTAGTTGCTCTTCCCCATACATTGGCAGAGTTGTGTCCCTTAGTTGTTTTTCCCCATACGTTGGGAGAGTATCATCCTTAAACATTTTGCCAATGCAGAGTCGAGCCCATAGTCGCCGTTCAAGAGTATGCCTATGCAGTATTGTGTTCCATAGTCATCCCTCAACACATGTCCATGCAAGTCATTAAGTGGAATGACTTATTAAAATATTACATGGCGGCTGATCTGACCCTTCCTTCAGTCAAGTCTAGCTATGGTCCACTGGGTGATAAAACCAAAGAAACCAGGGAGTGGCTAAAGTATTACAATGAAGTTTTCATGATGCACCCTGGGTACTACAGCTGAAATCCCAGCTGTCAAGGTCGTGAAGAATTACTGTGTAGATTTGTACATTGTTTTAACACTTTTTAACATATGTGTGAATGTGTAATATAAATATAAATCTTGTTTTTAAAAATATCAACAGACATAAATTATTTTGTCTTATGTTGTCTTTTCTTCATGTTGTTCAGCGTACATTAAGCAGATTATAATCGAGAACCTCTTGGAGCAAACATTATTCCATGATTTGGAAAATACTTGGTTCTGATTGGTCAATCAGTGGTTTCAAGTCACAATAACCACCTCTGACTGAAACAGCTGATGTCCCAATCACCTCTGAAGATAATATGTACAGAGTAAAGTTTCTTTCTCAGTCAGTTTTGTTAAGCATTCTGGTTTGCTTCACTGGTGCCAACTTTGTTAGCTATGCTAAAACATTTCAAACAGGTAAAGTATAAGGACGTAAAAATGTTTTAATGGTGTCACCCAATTCCTTACAGGCCGAAATCCCTATTTCATTCATTGAGATCACAGACCCTCAAAGAACTCACCAACATGATGCTCATTATCTTCACAGACAACAAAGAGATTGGGTTTAATTTTGTCACGCTATAATGTAGACTAGTGTGGTTTGAGTGTAGAGCCAGGTTACCGGTAGATTTAATTGCACGAAATTCAAGATCTGGAACCCAACACTGTGGCTTCCAAATTCAAATAAGCAGAGATAAGTCTATTGGAAACTAAGCTCAGCACTGAATCACAGTATGGGTATCTCTTATTACAAGCATCTGGCAGTAAAAAGTAGGATACTGCTTTCCTCCACACAACTATCAGGTGAGTGTGTACTTGAGGTGTAAATACTGTTTTCCTACAACACAGTATGAGTATACACATGTACAGCTGTGAACTGATGAGGAGTAAACCAGAGCCACATCCACTTTTGCAGACATATAATGCAAGTTGTAAGCAACTGAAGATGTGCATCTAATAATCACAAAACAAACAATTTCAACTGTAAGTGTTTATTTTTACAAAACTATCTATACAACGCTAGCTACCGTTGCTTTATAAATAACTCGAAACAAGAGAATATGTTTCCAAGTCTTCACCAAATTGATACGTACACAGCAATGAAAAAATAAATATGGAAGTGCAACCTGATGGATATGGTGTCACACGATTGGTGGATTTGTGTATGATGCATGGTCACATGACCTCCACAACAACGTTGCTCCTGGGAGTCACACCCCCATCCTAGTTACACAACATACAGCCATGAAAGTCCTGCATAAAACCAAATACAGTAATGCTAAAATGTGACATTGTATCAATACTTCTACGGAAGAGTGGTAGGGTAGCCCTGCAGACAAAGTGTTGGCTCTGCTATCCTTGGTTTCAATGTCACTTGCTCTAATGACTTTTAACTAATTTTAAATTTCTTAGAATATATCTGACATTAAATTTGGCAGTTTCTGCAAGATTCGTTCTAGTTCTTTATTATCAATACAGAAATACAGTGGACATTACTTGGTATACAAACAGCAAGTATGGAATACAGATCATTATCTGTCAAGCACCTGACACTTGCCTTACTTCTTCATTAACTACCAGAACATGTTTGACTGACTGGCTGCGACGGAGCTGTGTTCCCCGGAGCAAGCTGTTGTGTGGCCATGGCATTATGAGGACGACACTGACATACTCAATATAGGAAACAATGTGGTGTGACAAGACAGGCACTCCCAGTCATGGTAGTGTGTACTATCTACAATGAGATCGAGATGCTAATGGTGTTCATCCATGCTTCACATACATCCCACAGGCACTGAAACACCAACATCGAAAACAGTTCCATCATTATAAGACCTTCGAAATGTTTTAACCGAGGGGGAAAAACAGAAGACAAGTCTGACAAATAAAAAAAAGAAAGAAGAAACAGTTTGGTTCATCGAGGGCAAGTTGGTCAAGTATCTGCATTTCATCCTACCTATTGTGCGGTTGGTGTTCTGGGAGTCGACTACATGTAATCCTACCATTTCAGATAGAGGTGCTATGGGCAGATCCACCACCACGTGGCAGCACATGACATCAAACAAAACAGGGTCTACCAAACTAACTGCTCGAGATTTTCAAAGACAGAATACAATGCTGAATCTGAATTACCAACATGACAAAGAACAATTTTCAAAAAGGACATTAATTGATATGAGTTTTAAGCAACACTCATTGAACTCTTCATTCCTCAGAGCAGTTAGTTGACTCCCCAGATCCATACACGAACCTGTGTGTAGTTGTCACATTGTCCCGAAGGTTTGGTCTGTAGCTGTGAACAAGGCACCAGTCCAGGAGGGTGGTCAACCAACGGCTGTATCAGGTCAGGACATTGTCTGTCACTCTACATGTCAGTACAGAATACAGGACATGAGACATCTTGTCATTGTCACTTATCACATTGGTCATTGTCACTTATCACATTGGACTCTAGACTGTCAACTTCGTATACTTCACCAAGAGGAGGTATTATGACTCAATACACAGACATCGCACTCAGCCTTAGAAATTTGTCTTTTCTTAAATACAAGTCCAGAAAATTGTGTAAGTGTGTGGAATGAGACAATAACGTTGAAATTATTCAGTTCCAATTTGAAGCCAAATGGAAGTATTTAGAACTGGTGGCACTATTCTTGTGGACGCCTGTCATTGGATCTTTACTTGTCCTCAGTATCAGTTAACAATCTTGGTACAGCATCAACATTGATTCTCGTCCATGTGAAGTCAATGTCACCTGTTACGTGGAGTGATAACAACTGTTAGCAGTTACTAGCACAGAAAACCTCATTCAAAAGAGTGATAATCGGTGTTTGCTGACCAATTGGATACTCAAACAAGTCTCTCAGCAGCATTATACACCATCAATTCACAACTTAGAAATAAACAAATATGTTTTCAAAATGAACCTGAAACTAAAACATTGCTGTGTTTTCAGAGTGCATTAACCCCAAGATAAATAACTCCCTTCTGATTGAAAATCCTGTGTTAACCCCTTGCGGTTACACTTGGATCCTGACTCGAACAACAAAGCTGTAACATTATTTGGCAGTTCTAGAATATCCATGTGTATTGTTCATCATGCAGATATACCTATTTTTTACAATTCCATGAAAAACAGCACAAGGTATATCCTTCAAGTTTTAAAACTGTCCACTTAAAATACTTCTCTCATTGAGATAGTTCGTGAACGAGGTGTGTACACTGACATGACATCAAGAGATCTGTACAGATACACAGCAACATTACAGAGAGGTCAGGAGATACACCTACTTCATTTGTGCAACACTGGTAAACCCAAACATTCTTAATAAGGACTTAGAACACAATAAAGTTCACCAGAAATAGTGTTTTCAACTTTCCATAAACTTCCAGAAAAAGTCCAGACAGAACAACAGGAGGGTATTTTGATCAGTGAATACAAGGAAATATCTACCATATGAAACATTTTAACTATGTACACTCAACTTCATCTGTTTCTACATTCAGTGGCCATCCCTGCTGGCAAGTTGCCAAAACGTTATTCCCCACTGGGATACCCACCCAGCAATTAAAGCAAAATTAAGATTCATTACTCTACATCTTGTAGCATTTGTTAAAATAAGGTCAGGTGATACAAACATGCCAATATGGCCATAACTACCTGCAATATTGTTCTGTGAAGATCCCAATATGTCCATTATTGATAACATTATTTCACCTCCTCACTGATATCATTCTGTTAACATGCAAACAATTGATATCATTTTTGGAGAACATGCCAAAAAGTTATTAAGTCTGCGAACAAGCCAACATGTTCACAATTGATATCATTTGGTGGACATGCCAACAAAACCAACATATGATATCATTTGGTGGATATGCCAACAAAACCAACACCTGATATCGTTTGGTGGACATGCCAACAAAACCAACATCTGATATCATTTGATGGACATGCCAACAAAAGCAACATCTGATATCATTTGGTGGACATGCCAACAAAACCAACATCTGATATCATTTGGTGGACATGCCAACAAAACCAACATCTGATATCATTTGATGGACATGCCAACAACCCACAATTGATATCATTCTTTGAACATGCTGACAAGACAATAATGGGGGAGGAACATGGTGTACATTACTTTTGCTATGAAGAATTGCAGTTGGTTAGTTCCTCCTGGTCCCTGTGCGTACGTGGGAAGGTTCTCATGAGACAGTTCATTCACTACACACCAAGTCTGTACAATAGGTCACAAGACCACCATGTTACACAACTACTACACAACAGAAAGTTGAGTCTATGAAGGGTCTGTAAGCCTGGTCCAGATCTACCTCTCTTCACTGGACACATCTAAGCAGTATTAACAAAAACTTTTATGCATTTTAACATATGAGCAGTATTGGGAAAGAAATGCTGTGGTATAGTATTTGTGTTTTAACAATAATATTAAGCCACTGACTAAAAAAACACAATATTCAGACAATATTCAACAAACTTTATCAATTGCTTATTGTGCCCAATAAACTCTTTTGAAAAATGGACAAGATTTTGTTATGAAAAGGATGGACATTTATTGGAACACTTGAAACAACATAAACGCCCCTCTTCAAAACAGTACTACTACACAAAGACTCATTATACAAAACTGGTTTACACTAAAACTGGCATAACAAATGAATAAGTTGTAGGAGAATATTGTGGCAGTCTTGCAGTGATGGTGTCGACAGCCACACATTCAAGCTATCCACTTCTCTAGGTAGCTGTGTATCAATTATGACCTGTAACATTATGCAGACAAATTACACAGGGACAGACCTTCCAGTTCTAAATCTATATAACACAAATACCCTTTATGATATACGAACATTTATACCATCCTAATAAACCAATCATATCTTGTTCAGCTTGGTGTGGGATAATACAGCAATAGGAGGGAATATAGAAAAGTAGTGCAGTTAAAGATGTGCATATATTTCTTAATGTTGGTTGACTTGTTTCCTGCAGAGCCAACCAGTGGAGACGTCTTTCTACTTGAAGTTTAAGTTTCTCCTCTACCAAGTTGACCAGGAAGTTTACTGGACTCAGCAATCTAACACAACCTTTAATACTGAACAGTGACACAGAGGAGGATAAGCCCATGACACAATATCTTAAGGAATGACAATTTGCATAGATAGAAAGATATATGACAATAACTGTCAATTTGGTTTGCTCTCATTTCATCCACAAATAATTCATGATTGAAGTAATGACAACTAGTGGTCTGAAGTAATGGTGCAACATACAAAACCAAGCTGGTATTTATTCAAAGTCAACGCTGGCTTGCAAACTTCTTTCTAATTTCATATTCTATCATTATCGAGTTACACACATAGAAACGAATCACAAAAGCATTAAATTAAAAGGAAATCAGCAAGTGAAGAAAACTTAATTTTAGTTTCCTGGGAAATATCAACTTTAGTGCCACCCTAACAAGCTGAGGTGCATGAGGACTGGTTGCTCTTCTGTCCCCCACTCAGCTGATGTAGCCGGTCCTGCTCTTTACTCAGCAACAATGTGGTGATTACACAGCTACATCGTCATGGATACGTGGCATCAACTCAGCAGTAACTATATTCACTACATCCAAGCAAACAAAGTGGTTTTGTTGACTGAAACAGTCATCAGATCTTAAATTTATTTCCATGTGGTGAAAGGACTTTACATTAAAATGTGTAATCTACCAAAATTAAAACGAACATGCTTCTTTTCCAAGAATGGTTGACTTTGGTATAAAAATGGTTGATTGTGATGTGGAAATGGTTGACTGCAATGAGCAAATGGGTGATTGCAGTATTCAAATGTTTCACTGCAAAGAGGAAACAGCTGACTGTGGTGCTGAAATGTTTGACTGCAGTGTTGAAATGTTTGATTGTAATGTGGAAATGGTTGACTATGACGTGGAAATGTTTGAAGTCTGTGAGGAATTTTTTTTTATCTAATGACACTATTTGTAAAATGTGTTGTATCTAACCCAACATTTTCACAAGTGTATATATGTAACAAAATGTCACAACTAACACTGACCTGTGAGTCAATGTGAATGAGTGCCATGGATGCATGCTGCTTCGAACAGCACTTCAACAGGAGAGCACAGGCCTTAAGTTGGCTGTGGTACTGTCAGATCTACACACATAATCAGGCCAAACTAGGATTCAAATACACGATCAATATTTTGGACATAACTAAAGGGTGCAGTCCTGTGTAGTGAATAGTAGTGCTTTAGACAACTTGCCTGTTGATTCTAGAAATTTGCTGGTATGGAAAAATTTGTTGCTTAGAATATGTTATTACTACTTCAACATAAACAGCATGGCAGTGATACTTATAAGGGCATGCCCAGTCATCCTCTGGTGAAAAACTGAAAGCACTGAAACATATTTTCAGTTTGATTATAGAATGGACTTTTTTGTCCCTCATATGTGTTTGAATATGTTGCATGATCGCTGGAATCATGTGAGTGAATATCTGTGTTTAATAAATTGCCACCCATGCTAGGATAGTAGGTCCCTTTACCCCAAAATGAAAGACAAGAAATGACATGTTCCCATTCAGGGCAGATCTGGTTGATTGGGGTTGACAGTCATCAGACCATCCTTGGTAACCCAGGGCATCTTATCTCCATGCTATTGTCATATACCCTTGATTCCCTGGATAACACTGGATGGCATGACACTATGGGGGAGACTTTGGTTGACAGCAGGCATGTTGGCATACTGCCAACTCTGCAACATCAGCAACTCAGCAGTTCTAATCAGCAAGATGAACAGAAAGAGCAAAACAGCCAAGACCACTCAGAATGTGAGATAAGTTATGTGCAAACTTTGAGGAGATAGAAGAGTTTGTGCAATCAATTCTACGGAAACAAATCTCTTACAACACAGTTGGACATACATTTGAAAAATAAATGAAAACCATTGTAGTAACATCCTTCAACTTCACCCACTTAAGACTCTGTACTTATCAGCTGTGATGCTGGAATTATGCCGGACACAAACAAGTCTACAGACACGGCAGACCTTTGTCATCTTGGCCGGCCTGGGTATATACAAGTAGGCTATACTGAATATAGCTGGGAAATAGGTGTCCACACGGAACATCAAGTAAGATGAAACATGGGTCATGATTATCTAGCAATATATTTTCTATTAGGTCCAGTAAGACTGATTTAAGGCTAATATGGTGAATTATCGGTTTTACTTCCAGTTTTACAACTGATCTGCAAAATGACTTTCAGCTTAGGTCATGTTCTGCATGGACACCATAGGCACTGATGACAACATCTATTTACTTTCTTTAAAATAAAACCAGGTTATCTGTACACAATATAGTTTTCATATATACATGAAACTCATCAACCACTGTTTCAGTTCACAATTATAAAGACACCATGGATTACCATTGTGATAGTTCTACACAGAGACGCCTACAAGTAGGACTCCTGGCCTCGCGATACCAGTTGACGTAACATAAGACTAAAAATAAATATTTTGAACTCTCAGGCACTGTGTGGATCAGCACGACAGCCCAACTTGACGACAGTGTATTTCTAATAAAAACAAAGAAAATTGTGAGACCTGTGTTATTGGTATTTACACTACAAAACAGTTGACCTGCCCAGGTTGATCCCTTAATTACTTCCATGGAGCCTTGATCAATGTGGCTACCCAAAGTTAATTTACAAATTGTGTGAACAAAAAAGATGAATATTGAAACTAAAGGTAAAACAAGTAGTATGACAGCTATTGAATAGTTGGTAACTGTTTGCATAAATGGAGACTAAGATTCAGGTAAAAATGTTTTAGAGAAATATGGAAAAGCAAATTGATACTCTTACTTATGGCACTTCATGATAAGATTAACTTAAGTCATATGAAAGTATCGAGTGGTTTCAATTTTGTTTAGCATTATATGTTAGTCTTTTGGAGTATCAATGAGAATAAGTTACCATTTAAATAAAAAATGTTGCCATGGTTACTAATTAAAAGGATACATTTGGACAACCGTGTAGGAAAGCATTGCTGGATCCCCCTGGTCAAGGTCACCTCATGATTGTTGTGGGTATAGATGAAAGTTTGAAGCCAATCTTGTTAACATGTTGTCTAGTCTCAGGTTGTGCCACATTTCCCTACAACCAGCTGTAAACCCTACAGGTCTCCATACAGCTGACAACACACATGCTACACTGGGCCACACAACAATATACCACAGTATATTCTCATTGTCAAACACAACATTTGACCAGACCAGTTTGCTTCTTGAGTTGATGGATTTTCAAGATAAAAGTATCAAGATTCATGAGGTAAACAGAAAAAACATAATTTGTGGTTGATTGGCGGTGAGTTAGACAAGTCAGGGTCATCAACCCAGGCAGTCAGGATATCACTCCTGACAATGCTTTCCACAAGACTAGTTGTGTGTTGTTTCAGGCTGTTGGCAAATTTTAGGTGCAACAAAGATGTTTCGAAAAATGCACGTAATTTAATGGAATTCACACTATTTGGGCGGAAGAGAGGGCATAAAAATACTACAGTATAAAAAATGGTCTTGCCTTACAAAAAAGTGTTCCCCTCTTCTGTATACATTATTTGTACAATGGTTGATTCATGGTGTTGTATATCTATCTTACCACAGACAGGTTTTGACATTTTGAGTCAATTAATAAATGAAATGTAAACAAAAAAAGACAAATTGGTGTTTACACAAAAACAAAGGTAATTTAACACGATACACATAGTGTTTTGTTCGACATTTAGGGCTCACATGAAATGCAGTTCCTAAACTTCTATATTCAATAATTCAAATTTAAAATAATAAATAATACATAAGGACTCATCCATGAATTATTATACAAGTTGATTAAAATGAATTTAAAAATCAACTAACAATGTACTGACAATCAATCCAACACTGAGCTCCTGAACCGGTGAGAAGGACTTCTGGAAAACCGTTGGTAAAACATTGATAACACAAGACTTTAACAACTAAACATTGATAACACAAGACTTTAACAACTAAACATTGATAACACAAGACTTTAACAACTAAACATTGCAAAAAGCTAAAAGCACTAAACAATGACATGAAAACACATCGAACACACGCTACTGGGTCTGAAACACGCTTCCTGTGTCAGGGACAACAATAACAAGACAAACAGTTTCCATACAGGCTCACACACTCTTTCACACATGTACGTAATTGGGTAATTGCACTGTTGCATGCTGGGAAGGTATTATTTTCGGCGATGTTTGCGGAACCTATGGTGCCTGTAGAGAGAGGGGTGGAGGTTGGCGGCAGAGTCTCGAGGTAGCTGGGTAAGTGGAATGACTCTTTGTGACTGTTCGCTGACTTGAGATTCAGGCACCCATACATCTGGCAAACTGAAACAACACACATATATGTTGGATATATATATATATATTCATGTTACAATTCTAAATAAACTGATGATCTATTAAGGGTAACACTCAAAAGCTATTGAATGCCTACTGAATGATTTAAAAGGAATGTTGACAAGCTCCCAATCAAGTAGAACAGCAATTAGAATTGAAATCTAAAACTACCAGCTTATGTTGTAAAACTCCCTGAAGAACCTCAAAGGGAAAATTAATTAAAATGCATTTCAATCATTTTCAACTGAAGTGGCGGGAGAACCATTCTATACTCCGAAGGGTAGATTTTCAGTTTCGCGAGCAAGCTGGCACAAGGGAGACAACTCTGTCATGAAGGTCAACCCACATGTCTGTCACATCAAGACACATCATCTGATCTATACATCATGAAGTTAGCCATTTCCGTGACATACACTGACATGTCCTCTCGGCCCAGTACATGTCCTTTCGGACCAGTACATGTCCTCTCTACCAAGTACATGTCCTCTCTACCCAGTACATGTCCTCTCTACCCAGTACATGTCCTCTCTACCAAGTACGTGTCCTCTCTACCAAGTACGTGTCCTCTCTACCAAGTACGTGTCCTCTCTACCAAGTACATGTATTCTCTACCAAGTACATGTCCTCTACCAAGTCGGTCCCTCTACATGTCCTGTCTTCTCTACCAAGTACATGTCCTCTCTACCAAGTACATGTCCTCTCTACCAAGTACATGTCCTCTCTACCAAGTACATGTCCTCTCTACCAAGTACATGTCCTCTCTACCAAGTACGTGTCCTCTCTACCAAGTACGTGTCCTCTCTCTCTACCAAGTACGTGTCCTCTCTCTCTACCAAGTACGTGTCCTCTCTCTCTACCAAGTACGTGTACTCTCTACCAAGTACGTGTCCTCTCTACCAAGTACGTGTTCTCTCTACCAAGTACATGTCCTCTCTACCAAGTACATGTCCTCTCTACCAAGTACATGTCCTCTCTACCAAGTACATGTCCTCTCTACCAAGTACATGTTCTCTCTACCAAGTACATGTCTCTCTACCAAGTACATGTCCTCTCTACCAAGTACATGTTCTCTCTACCAAGTACATGTCCTCTCTACCAAGTACATGTCCTCTCTACCAAGTACATGTCCTCTCTACCAAGTACGTGTCCTCTCTACCAAGTACATGTCCTCTCTACCAAATACATGTTCTCTCTACCAAGTACATGTCCTCTCTACCAAGTACATGACATATACTCACATGTCCTCTGGGGTCCAGTGGAGTAATACTTTGATTTTTCCTGATTCTTCAGTTCGCTTTGCGATGACCTGCAACAATTGTAAGTCAGTGTTAACACACAAGAGACATTTATACCTCCTGTCCATAGAACATATGGTATTTCTCACAAGCAGCAGAACACTTTTAGACACAGCCCTTCTGTTCCCCCACCCTGCAACAACCCCACCCTTATGTTCCGCCACCCCTCAACAACCCCGACCCTTCTGTTCCCCCACCCCTCAACATCCCCCACCCTTCTGTTCCCTCTCTCTCAAAAAACCCTGCCATTCTCCCCCCCTCACCCTTCTGTTCCCCACCCCTCAACATATCCTGCCATTCTGTTCCCCACCTCTCAACAACCCCCAACCTTCTGTCCCTCTCCATCAACAACCCCTTCTGTTCCACCTCTCAACAACCACTGCCCTTCTGTTCCTTCTCCCTCAACAACCCCCACCCTTCTGTTCCCCCCCACCTCTCAACAACCCCTGCCCTTCTGTCCCCACCTCTCAACAACCCCTGCCCTTCTGTTCCCCCACGCCTCAACAACCCCTGCCTTTCTGTTCCCCACCCTCAACATCCCCTGCCCTTCTTTTCCTCTCCCTCAACATCCCCTGCCCTTCTGTTCCTCTCCCCTCAACATCCCCCACCCTTCTGTTCCCTCTCCCCTCAACATCCCCTCCTTCTTCTTCTGTTCCCTCTCCCCTCAACATCCCTTCTGTTCCCTCCCCTCAACATCCCCTGCCCTTCTGTTCCCTCTCCCTCAACATCCCCTGCCCTTCTCTGTTCCCCCACCTCTCAACATCCCCCCACCCTTCTGTCCCCCTCCATCAACAACCCCTTCTGTTCCACCTCTCAACATCCACCACCTCTTCTGTTCCCTCTCCCCTCAACAACCCCCACCCTTCTGTTCCCCACCTCTCAACAACCCCTGTTCCTTTCTGTTCCCCACCCTCAACAACCCCTGCCCTTCTTTTCCCTCTCCCTCAACATCCCCTGTCCTTCTGTTCCCTCTCCCTCAACATCCCCTGCCCTTCTGTTCCCTCTCCCTCAACATCCCCGCCTCTTCTGTTCCCTCTCCCTCAACATCCCCTGCCCTTCTGTTCCCACCTCTCAACCCCCTGCCCTTCTGTTTCCCCACCTCTAAACACCCCCAACCTTCTGTCCCCCTCCATCAACAACCCCTTCTGTTCCACCTCTCAACATCCACCGCCCTTCTGTTCCCTCTCCCTCAACAACCCCCACCCTTCTGTTCCCCACCCCTCAACATCCCCTGTTCCTACAACCCTTTTTCCTCAACACCTCCTATCCCTCACACCCTTGCTCCTCAATATCCCCTAGAACTCATCATCTTGTCTTCACCTCCCACCCTAGCGTGTCCCCCAACTTACAGCACTGTGGAATGTGACAGAGTGAGGCGGTCCCAATATGTCTAGCTGTGTCCGCTGGGTGAGGTCTTCTAACTCCTGCTGCAGTCGAGCCATGATGCAGTTGTCAAAGAAATCGCCTGTTCGAGCTGAAAGGAAAAAAAGAGAAGAAATAGATAAGTTGTCCCTGTTTGCATGAATGAGTTGATTGATCAGCATACCACAGTGGTATGATCTTGCATATCTCCGTCCATAATCCTGTGAGCCTGATTGATGGGCAGCGTGAGTCTCGGCATCCGGATGATGCATCTCTTGCCTCCCACAAAATCACACAGGTTAATTCTGGTAGGATTGTGTCACAAAAGACTGTCATACCGTATATGACCGTAGATAAGCTGAATTTTGAGGACCAAAAAAGGCACAGGTTACACTTTCATCAAACTTTGTTTCTGGTGGTACGAAAACGGCATTGTATCATCAATTTTGTTTTCTTCTTTTGTTGGACATCAATACAGCCACAGACATGAAGACATCAAATTTGCAATTACACATAATCAGACAAGATTTTTACCTTTTCAGTTCTAATTGTTTTTGCTAGGCATTGTATTTTATGCAGGGATTAAGATTACTATGTGTATTTGTCTCGAATAGAGAGCCGGCAAAAGCAATCAGTTGTGCAGACATTTCCCTGTGATCTACTGGTGATTTAGTTAAAACATGAGATGAATTCTGCTTAGGTGATCGGAAAAACATAGTATCTGAAACTATTATTTTACCAAGAGAAATATATTCCAGCATTGTGAAATTTTAATTGCAGGTTTTGCTCTATAAATGTGAAATATTTATAATCATTTCCACCGCAAAAAAAGTTAATATGTTTACATGTGATTGTCCAGCTACAACAGCTTTAGTGAAAGAAAATACATATGCGCATCCATTTTCTGTCAACTGCACTTCATTTCGAGGTGTGAGTTGATACAATATTATTGTGACTGCTTTGAATAATGAGGACTGAAGTTATCGGAGGAACACACGATTTCACCGCAGTTAATATAAACATTCTTGAAAGACAAATTGAGTAAAATTAATAAGTCCAGATGTGTAAAGTTTTATTACGCGATAGTACAACAACAGGATTAACTTGTGTAAATCAATACACATTTGTTGATACTCTATTTCTAAACACTAATCATGATGAGAAGAGGAATGAAGGTTGGTAGGTCGACTTATGTACCGAACATACCATATTCATACTGATATTAAGGGTCAAGTTCGGACCTCGGCTTATCTATGAGATTGGCTTATCTATGGTCATATGCAGTACACCTTTGGTGGGTCATGATTAACCAGTCATTATGTGACTTCATCAAGATCTGGGGCCTCCAACATAGCAACCCAGCACTGTTACTAACCAAGTAAATTCACTGTGGGTTGAATGTCAGGTGAAACGCTCGGGCATAACTGAGTGAGTTAGTGAGTGAGTGAGTGAGTGAGTGAGTGAGTGAGTGAGTGAGTGAGTGAGTGAGTGAGTGAGTGAGTGAGTGAGTGAGTGAGTGAGTGAGTGAGTGAGTGAGTGAGTGAGTGAGTGAGTGAGTGAGTGAGTTTGGTTTAATGCTGCAGTAAAAATATATTTCAGTTATATCACGGCATGTAAGTTTAGAGTTTAGAGTTACTACTTTTGTGAAGCTCACATGGATTTGGTGCTGACAAATTCAGAAACATTATTACAATAAATCAATGATACTGAAACCAAAATCATCGGTGCCTGGCATGCCTAGGGGATGTAACTCTGCACAGCAAATTACATGACTGGGCCACCCATGGCCCAAGGTTTATCTTGAAGGAATATATCACAAAAGGAGAGATTGATGAAAACCCAATTGAACTGCCTGGCAGAAAATTACAACATCAACCTTCACAAAAGAAAGTTTCTAAACAAGGACCAAGTAATTGAGAAAATATCAATCACATTGAAACTTTATTTCAAATTGATACTGAAATATTGATGATCAGAGAGAAAGGTTTATTTGTCTATGTGTGCATAAAACTCACAGGTGAGTGAGCACGGTGACGAACTAGGACACAGCTCTCCGAGCCAGCTGGCTGTGCACCATTATGAACAGCAGGGATTATGGTTCAAGCCTAAGTGTGACAATAACCTCTCACCTTGTGTGATAACATGATCAATGCAATACAGGTCATTCTGACCGAAGTAGGGACGTGATATGCAAACTATCTTCCGGGAAATAACCATCTTATCGGAAATTCAAACTGCCAGTAAGTGTTCCCTGTGGGTGCAATGTTCACAATACACAACAAAGTACTACAAAGTGTATATATTGTTTGGATGGGACAGCAGCAGGACCGGCCTTCTGTAGGGGAGTGCCATGTTCATTATCACTACTATAGGCCGTAACTGTTGTCATATTTCAGAAAATCAATGTTCCATTAACACTTCACACACGGATGCTTCCGAACAGGAACACAACGTGACACCCCAGTCAGCATCCTTTCAAATCTCGGTCAAAACTCCAAAAATAAACATGCTAAAATCATGGATCCTTTTTACTTTTGATTTGTTTACGATGTTATTCACCCATAAAGGTCTCGGCAACTAGATATTTAACACAGGGAGTCCTACTTTACAAACATTGCAAATTAACATGTAGAGCTTTAGAATAATTTTCAACTAAACCACTCTTCAATGAAATCTATACATATTTTTTTCCATTGATAATGAATTATTGATGCTTTGTACCAGCTGTTGCCATCTGAAAAAAACAATGTAATCCTCCACAAATATCCTGATACATATCTTGAAAACTTGGCATTAGTAGCCTGGCATTAGTAGGTTAAAGCGTTTGCCTGCAAAACTGAAGGCAGGGTTCAAAGCCCATTTCTGGTGTACCCGGCTCTAATTTTGCTTGAAAATTGCTAAAAATGGACTGATAGTCTTCTAAATACAAGGCTCAGAAAGGAAGAACTTATGGATGTAATATTATCGTAAAACACTAAACAGTTTAATCGAACTAATAATAACGGCCTATGCTTGTTACAATTAATGTAAGGCAAGTTGTTTATATTTCCAGCCCTCGACTCCAGCGGTGGGTCACACTTGACCAACATGTGGCAACACGTTATTGTCAAGTGTCACACTTACTTTTAACTTCAAAACACCACTTACACAGGTACTTGTAAACAGTTGCTTTGGGGATAAGAGCTCTAGAATTATAGCTGTGAAGTGGAAACATACTTTTGAAATACACTTTTACTGAATTAGTATCTATATTTTTAAATGCTAACACCACTGTTTTAAAAAACACAGATAGAGTTGTTTGGCTGGTTGTTTAATGCCGCAATCAGCAATATTTCAGCAACATAGCGGCGGTTGGTAAATAACTGAGTCTGGACTGGACAATCCAGTGATCAACAACATGAGATCTACACAACTGGGATACGATAACATACATGTGTCAACAAAGTCAGCAAGCCTGACCACTCAATCTGTTAGTCACCTCTTACAACAAGCATGGGTTGCTGAAGACCAATTCTAACCTGGATCTTCACAGGTCACACAGATTGGGGACACAATAGATAAGCTTTTAGCACACAGTGGCCAATTCATTGGATAAAGGAACAGAAACAGATTCCAAATCAGTCTGCCTTAAACCATATATAAAGCTATCTGGACATTGAAAGAGTGAGTGAATGAGTATGGTTTTACGCCGCTTTTAGTAATATTCCAGCAATATCACGGCATGGGACACCAGAAATGGGCTTCACACACAGTACCCATGTGGGGAATTGAACACGAGTCTTCAGCTTGACGAGTGGAGGCTTTAACCATTAGGCTACCCCTACCACCATGTGTTATTGTTTTACGCCGCTTTTAGCAATATTCCAGCAATATCACGGCGTGGAACACCAGAAATGGGCTTCACACACAGTACCCATGTGGGGAATTGAACACGAGTCTTCAGCTTGACGAGTGGAGGCTTTAACCATTAGGCTACCCCTACCACCATGTGTTATTGTTTTACGCCGTTTTTAGCAATATTCCAGCAATATCACGGCGTGGAACACCAGAAATGGGCTTCACACACAGTACCCATGTGGGGAATTGAACACGAGTCTTCAGCTTGACGAGTGGAGGCTTTAACCATTAGGCTACCCCTACCACCGTGTGTTATTGTTTTATGTCGTTTTTAGTAATATTCCAGCAATATCATGGCAGGGAACACCAGAAATCGGCTACACACATCGTGGGGAATTGAACCTGGGTTGTCAGTGTGATGAGCTAAAGCACTCATTGAAAGAAGTCTCCACATACATTAGACATAAAGCAGAATATGTATTTCAATCTCTGAGAGAGCCATTGACTTTTAAATCCATTGACTTTTGAGATGATCGAATTCTGGTCCTAACTGGAATGTAACAATAGAGCAGACGGCTCCACAGATATCAATTATCCTTGTGTCCTAGCCCACCCCATATCACATCAAGGTATGTCCTGTCATCGGCACTCATATGAGATAAGGTGACGGCCAGGTGTACATCATAAACCTAATGACACCTTTGTCAACCTCATACTGGATACCACCGCTAAACGTCAGACTCTCAGCTGGTCCTAGCAAACAACCTTCTAAACGTGCTTCAGTAAGTCTGTCCAATAAGTTTGGGTCCACCGTATTTAACTATTTAACGGGGACTCAGTCAATGCTATTTATATCTTTGTTTTTTGTCTATCTGCTTTGACTGGCAGTCTCACCTGCTGACAGGTGACCTCATTATAGCACCAACCTAGTAATTACCTCATTATAACACCATAATGGTAAATCCTTTGTAATACTGTGTACTTTCAGATTGTAACAACACAGTTCATTGAACACTAATTTGTCAGTATTTTACTTGTCTCTTGATGAAAACAGGCGAATAGGAGCCCGTTGGATCTTTACGAGATAATAACCAGTCAATACTGACTAATGAAAAGTTATGTCCTTGTTAAAAACTTGATAATTACAAAAATTATGAAACTTGCTTCTTCAAACTAGTAGTAAAGAAAACTATCCATCACAAGCAGACAGGTGTAATTGACACCTCGCAGCGATCGCCTCACTTGTATTGATAATCTCAGCAGGACTGGGGCCAGGAGATCAGGCAGCCTGTGTCGGACAATGACACACCTATCTCACCTGTGTTCTCACCTGTGTAACTCGAGTGCCATGGACCATGATAACAAGGAGATCAATGAATAGTGGCAATCTTTCCATGTTGATGAATGAATAGTAATACTACAATAATGAACTAACATGGGCAGGTGAAGTCATGAGCCAGAATAACAAGAGAGACATACGATTCTTAGACCTGACAAATGTACATGCCACCTTTCAATGTGGTATTTTCTATACACCAGTGGTAATATGAATGTGGACATGAGTTTACGACACATGGTAGCAATGGATAACTATCCAGTAAATATTACATCGACTGTATCAGACTGGTCGTTGTGCGGACTCTCGTTGATAGTTACCTGGATATGTGGTAGGAGTGAGTGAGTGAGTGAGTGAGTGAGTGAGTGAGTGAGTGAGTGAGTGAGTGAGTGAGTGAGTGAGTGAGTGAGTGAGTGAGTGAGTGAGTAGTGAGTGAGTGAGTTTAGTTTTACACTGCACTCAGCAATATTCCAGCCATATGGCGCCGGTCTGTAAATAATCAAGTCTGGACCAGACATTCCAGTGAACAGCATGACCACCCGATCCAATTAGTCGCCTGTTACGACAAGTATGGGCTGCTGAAGACTAATTCTAACCTGGATCTTCACGGGTTATATGTTGTACGATCAACTAAATTGAACAGACAATCTTATATTGATTCATATATATAGTACCTGTTTCTCCAATCCAAGTTGTCACTTATCTGTTTCTCTTGATATTCCAATTCATCTATATTCACCTTTTTCTTGATTTTCTGAAGTTCTGAGTAAACCAGCCCTAACTTAGTTTTTTCATCCTATATGATTTAATGCTATGACCCTAGACAAAACCAAATTTGAGTATACTTGGGGTTCAGGCTGTGTTAAAGTCGCAGATTGTGGATGGTTGCCAATGACAGATAGTCATGTCCAATATGGTAGCACTGCATGAAGCCGGACCATCTATGCCACTTGGCTGGAGACGGTTCATGTACATTCATTCAGTGCCTGTCTCCACGGTAACGACTGTTGAAAAATGTGGTAACCGTGGGAACATGACAGGTGTATGTTTCCACTGACAACTCAGTCCTCATCCCCGCCACTTACACACTTGCAAAGAAAGTCTTCCTTCACATTCATTTGTTGCTTCATATATCTAGAAGTGTCTCACTAAATATGTTAAATAGAATTCCTGCTCTGGTACGATATTGGACAATCATCTTGAAAACCATGTAATTCAATTATTTCTCTTCCTTGCTTGGACATTTCTGAAGCTGTTCATATAGGGTGAGGTGTCATGAGTTAAAATTCTTGCACACATATATTGTGACTGAGAACTCTGACCACCGCTTGTTTTATATACGTAAGGCCGAGCAACAAGCAATAACAGGTACCATTTTTTAACATCTATTGTTGAAGGTCAGGGTCAGAGATTGAGCCACTGACCTTTCGCCCACAGAGCAGATGCTTTCTCCTCTCAACCAAAGGAGTTCCGCACCTAGCAACACTTAAAAAACAAATACCTGACAAATACAGCATATAACCCTAGTAAGGCTTAAAGTGACCAAGTGTGATGCCCATTGCTGGAATATTGCTTAAAGCAGCGCAAACCCATTCTCTCTCACTGAAGTGACCACACATAGTGACAGGCTTCATGATGTTTCATCTTTCTATGGATAGGTACCAGCACAACAAGTAATTATCTGTTATTCTGTGCATGTACTTCCTGGAGATCAGGTGAAAATCATAAATCTCAGTGTATGTGTGTGGTTACTTCCATGAGTCAAGGTGAAGGTCATGTTTCTATGTGTCTACTTATGCCTGTGTATTCTAACTTCCATGAGCCAAGGTGAAGGTCATGTTTCTATGCGTCTACTTATGCCTGTGTATTCTAACTTCCATGAGCCAAGGTGAAGGTCATGTTTCTATGCGTCTACTTATGCCTGTGTATTCTAACTTCCATGAGTCAAGGTGAAGGTCATGTTTCTATGTGTCTACTTATGCCTGTGTATTCTAACTTCCATGAAATAAGGTGATGATCATGTTTCCGATTGCATAAAGTTGCTTTCTTCAAACAAGGTGAAGGCTTTGTGTGTGTATACTCTCTTCCTAGAAACAAGGTGAAGGTCATGTTTTTGGATGTATATTATCTTTCTTGAAACAAGGTGAAGGTCACGTTTCTGTGTGTATATTCACTTCCTTGAAACAAGGTGAAGGTCATATTTCTGTGTGAATGTGTGTTCATGTCCTTGGAACAAGGTGAAGGTCATGTGTATTGAACATTCATTTCTTTGATACTTACTTCCTTGAGGTCGCCTTCTCTTTATCTTTCGTTTCCGCAGTAATTTGGTTGGTGTGTCTTCCCGAAGTTTCTGCGTCTTCTGATTTGCTTGTGGTAGTGTATTAAAGTGACTATTGACATGTCTCTCCAGTCCTGCGTGAGTGGTAAACCTCTGCCCACACCCCTCCACAATACACTTGAAGGGTTTGTGTCCGCTGTGGCACACAATATGTCTAGACAGCCACGACATGGAACAGGAGGACTTGTTATACACCTTGCATCCATCCCACAGGCACACGAAAGTCTCACTCTGTTGTTGTGGATCTACATGGACCTGTCGTATATGCTCCAACATGTTTATACTAGGGTCTATTTTCACTGAGCAGTTTCTCCATCGGCATGGAATTTGTTTTTCTTCAACCTTTGTTTTACAGTTTTTGCAGTTAAGTGAGTCTTTATTGCTTGGGATGGTGATTGCTGATGGTGCAAGGAACGGATTTGGCGTACATGACCTTGAGGTGTCAGGCGTGACCTGCTCGGAGCACGGGGCAGACGGCGGCTCACTGGGACTTGGCACTTCATGTTTAAGGCTGGACGTGTCTAACTCAAGGTGAGCTAGTTTGAACTCTTCTATATCCTTAATTCTGGAAATACAGGAAATAAAATATCAGAATTTAAAATATACAGTTTGATAATAATAAAAGCATACTGTATCACCACCACGGATGTAATTTACTTACTGACTTGTGTCATACTGACTTTACAAAACGAGTGTCAGAGGTCTTGTTTCTCCCGAGTGAAAGTGAGAACATGACTTCTCATATTGGATTAGTAAAATCAGTATGATACACATGCGAGCGTAATGGAAACACGTGTGAATGTAATCATTTCTATATTACCAATCCTTCTGAGCTCTCCTTTGGAAGCAGGCCCTTATCACACCAACCACAACTGCTGAATGGTGTCAACAAACTTCAGCCATGACGTCATTTCTTCAGTCCAAGCTTACATCCAAACGAGATTCAAATGACGTCAACAATACACTGGTGAGCGGGATATTCGCATGAGTGCACATACATTGTTCATGAGCCTGGTTACTTCCAACCGTGTGGGTAGCACATGGACTTAATACTACAGATATCTAACAAGGTGAAATAATTGGAGATTGTCTGATTGGTCTTTATTTTCCTGAAGTGCAATTCAGCCACTGGAGACTGTTGATGACATCAAAGGATCATCCTGTCCCTGGAGAGCAAGGTGATACTTCAGATAGCATAATGATTAGGGCTATCCTGCTTCTAATGATGTACACCTTGAGAGCAGGAATCTGTTGTGAACTGAGCCTGAAGCTATACAGCCCAGGAAATCATCAACTTATAATGCTTCAAGCATAGAGTGAGTGAGGTGGTGAGGTGCCATGGCCCTCTGAGATACCACGTTGTAGTTTAACTTGGATATACCAATTAAACATGTTCACTCTGAGATCGGACGCCCGTTTCACAAGGTGATCGTAGTGCTAGTAGGGTTCTAATTTCAATGCTTTAACACAGACTTACGACAAACGTAGCACTACCATTGCTTCGTGCAATGGTCCTCTGTCCTTGTATCTCCTCAATGCTGTATACCAGACAGCGAAGTGCACCATCTATTAACATTGTTTTGTATGGCACTGTCTGTCAGGGTTTGAATCTCAACAGTAAGTAAAGGAGAAGGAGAAGGGAGGTGGGATGGTTGGAGGACGGTGGGCGTTTGACAGTGGAAGGTGAAAGGTGGATGGTGGATGGTGGATGGTGGATTGTTTCTTTTGCATCTATATAACAATCATTGGTGGATGAAGACTGGGCATCACAAACTGAAACAATGTTGTGAATGGAACCAGCTCTTTAGTTAAGCAGGAACATTAACCTTGAGACTACCTATGAAGCCTTGGGTGAGAGTTAAGGATGGATGCCGTACAGGGAAACAATCTGCTGTTGATTGCTTGGTGGCTGTGATGGTGCTGTTCCTCTGCACCTTGTGTTAGTGCTAGAGTAACATGTACTAAGACAATAAAGGATTACCAACAGATCAGACAGGTGCTCTCACAGACTCTCTATCCCTGAGAGTCTTCTGTACACGGATATCAGAGAGGAAATATACACAATGTGACATATACACAAAACGTCAGCTCTGGAGAACAACCACCTCTCCTGCAACACCCCTGTGTGACCAGGTGAGCTAAATCTATTCCCATCTGTTCAAGACACCTTGTATCAATGATGACAGACTCGAGGACACACAAAACATCTCTAGCCCTATAATAGTAAATTACAAGAACAAAGACATTTCTATTTATAGTTCAATAACAGCAATCAAGAACCTTTGACCTTTTCGAGAGATCCAAAACACTGTCACCAGCCCTGGGCTGTGGTGGTCCATTGATGTGAGATGGGGCAGTTGTCCCAACAGCTCCAGCAGATTACTGCCAGCAATCAACGTCACAGATGTGATGGACAAAGATCCTCCTCTGCTGATCAATGTAATCTAACTCCAGACAAAAGCTACCCATAAACTGCTTGGTATTCAATACTGCTTGTCAGGTCAAGTGTTCGATGGACAGACACAGTCGCTAGGTGCCAGTGACAATACAAAACTATTTGTAAATATACTGAACAAAACCAGTTATGATCAGGAATATTTGAGGGATATTGTTTGTGATGAACGTTATGCATATGAAGAAGTCCAACAGCATCCAAGATCATCTTTGTTCATTATCTGTCCACCCCATAAATTATGTATTATATTCTATATATCTCCATACAGAATCTCACCTTATTTATAAACTAAATTTGGCAAAAAGTTGATTGTAAACGAACCACAGAAGCTAAGAGTTAAGGTGAGCTAATTCAAAGTGTTAAGACAAATGATAGAATGATTATCCTAACACAGTCAAACAAGTGATGTTCAGGTTGCAAGTGGAATGGGCAAGTCAGACTTTAGCATTCTTTTTCTTTTTCTGTTTCTTCGCACATTTGCCTTGAGAATTGGTAAAACAAGTTGTATCCCAAGCCATGACTTAGGCCTATTCGACACTGTGATCTCAGCACTGTCCTATGTCTGTGAGAAAGTATGTTACTGTAATAAGTCACACTACTGCTACTGCTCTATTTGTCCATTCAAATCAGCCACGACAAATCAACAACTCAAACTTTTTAATCACCTGAATTGGGCAAGAAAAACAGCTTCAACGTCAATACAATGAAGAACAGAAGTTTGTTGGATTCAAACTGAAGACAAGCTGCACAAGAAGCATTATCACACTGACTGTTGTATAATTCTGAATGTTTTAGTCAGTCGGTGACAAGTAAGGAGGAAGAATGTGACACGAGCATGCATGGCCCTGATAGCAAAGATGGATTCAGGTCATCCAGACTTGGGACGCAGGGAAATATTGACTGCACCAATCACAAAACACATGAATAATAGATTCACTTTGTGACAAGACAATGATCCCGGCGTTAAGATTGAGACAAACTTGCCATTACATGTAATACAGCACCAATTGGAAACAGTTCCCTGCTCACAAACTTCCTGGAAATGCTTCATAAATGACTGTGGCAAACCTATTACCCTTGCAACTATTTCTGCTAAGTGAAACTGATTTTTGGGAAATACTGCGAGAATGTTTTTTCCCCCCAAATTACAAATAGTACAATAATACCATTAATTCAGAATTATTTTTTGACAATGTTACTTATTTCTTACTTTTCATAACAACATTGTGTTTCATGGAATCATTTGGTTGTGGAAATGGATCCATCTGACCATAGGGAAATTAGCTATATAAACTGAGTCCACTCATCAGAATATAGTTGTTTGATTCTTCTCAAATGTAACACTCCACAACTTTCTACCTTTATGGTGGAAGTCAGTAGATAATCAGTTTTGGATCAGACAGTCTAGTGACTGAAATCATGCAATAAGGATATGGCGACATGTAGCAAACAAGTTTGTGAGTCTGACCAGCGTATCCCATGCGAGTGTTCTGGTAGTGTTATTTGGGCAATCAGGTTATGGCCATGTATCAACCAAGTTTGTGAGTCTGACCAGCGTATCCCATGTGAGTGTTCTGGTAGTGTTATTTGGGCAATCAGGTTATGGCCATGTATCAACCAAGTTTGTGAATCTGACCAGCGTATCCCATGTGAGTGTTCTGGTAGTGTTATTTGGGCAATAAGGATATGGGGATATGTATCAAACAAGTTTGTGAGTCTGACCAGCGTATCCCATGTGAGTGTTCTGGTAGTGTTATTTGGGCAATCAGGTTATGGCCATGTATCAACCAAGTTTGTGAGTCTGACCAGCATTCCCATGAAAGTGTTCTGGTAGTGTTATTTGGGCAATCAGGTTATTTGGTTTGTGAATCACCATATCCCATGCGAGTGTTCTGGTATGTTATTTGGGCAATCAGGTTATATGTATCAACCAAGTTTGTGAGATCTGACCAGCGTATACTCATGCGAGTGTTCTGGTAGTGTTATTTGGGCAATCAGGTTATGGCGACATGTAGCAAACAAGTTTGTGAGTCTGACCAGCATATCCCATGTGAGTGTTCTGGTAGTGTTATTTGGGCAATAAGGATATGGGGATATGTATCAAACAAGTTTGTGAGTCTGACCAGCGTATCCCATGTGAGTGTTCTGGTAGTGTTATTTGGGCAATAAGGATATGGGGATATGTATCAAACAAGTTTGTGAATCTGACCAGCATATCCATGTGAGTGTTCTGGTAGTGTTATTTGGGCAATCAGGTTATGGCGACATGTAGCAAAACAAGTTTGTGAGTCTGACCAGTGAGTGTTCTGGTAGTGTTATCAAACAAGTTTGTGAGTCTGAGTGTTCTGGTAGTGTTAATAAGGATATGGCCATGTATCAACCAAGTTTGGTGATGGCCAAGCGTATCCCATGCGGAAGTGTTCTGGTAGTGTTATTTGGGCAATAGGATATGGCGACATGTAGCAAACAAGTTTGTGAGTCTGACCAGCGTATCCCATGTGAGTGTTCTGGTAGTGTTATTTGGGCAATAAGGATATGGGGATATGTATCAAACAAGTTTGTGAGTCTGACCAGCGTATCCCATGTGAGTGTTCTGGTAGTGTTATTTGGGCAATAAGGATATGGGGATATGTATCAAACAAGTTTGTGAATCTGACCAGCGTATACTCATGCGAGTGTTCTGGTAGTGTTATTTGGGCAATCAGGTTATGGCGACATGTAGCAAACAAGTTTGTGAGTCTGACCAGCATATCCCATGTGAGTGTTCTGGTAGTGTTATTTGGGCAATAAGGATATGGGGATATGTATCAAACAAGTTTGTGAGTCTGACCAGCGTATCCCATGTGAGTGTTCTGGTAGTGTTATTTGGGCAATAAGGATATGGGGATATGTATCAACCAAGTTTGTGAATCTGACCAGCGTATACTCATGCGAGTGTTCTGGTAGTGTTATTTGGGCAATCAGGTTATGGCCACGTATCAACCAAGTTTGTGAGTCTGACCAACGTATCCTATTAGCTGCAACTGACAACAGGCCCGGGTTTCTCCAGATCCAGGATCTGTGAGTGTACACTAAATACCATGTACATATATTGATACAGCTGTGGAAAC